TTCTACAACGCTTTGTAGCATGAGTTATTCGTGCTTCAAAATGTCTAAATTTGGAGAGAATTTGGCCAAAAATAAGGCGTAGTATGTTGTGTTGCCAAGGGAGTCAGTAAATCACGGTTCTATCTGATGATCCCAATGTTCTGCATTGTACGAAAATCAATATCTAAGTGATAAACGCTTTTATTCTACTTCTGAGAAGGCTCAGGTCTCCCTTTTGGAAATGCGCGACTACAGTAATTTCATATCTAGAGCGTCAACGATATTATGCAAATTTGAGTCTGATAGCTTGCTCAGATTGAACGAAATGTTTATCATCTTAGCAGTATAATGAAATAGCTACCCAAACGCAACTTGATTAAAAACCAAAATTCATCAATTAGCACTCATTCATATTCATGCTATTTGATTCTATTAATAAAGCGCTCAAACGTACATCAACAATCATTTAAACATACTAAAATAAAGATGCACGCTTATCTCACACATCGTGTGAATGAACCACTCCTGATCACAGTGTATTCAATCACACCCCATGATGGTCGTAATAAGTGATTGTTGTGCCAGAAGGGCTACAACTGTCTATAAAGATTAAGGTATTCTTGATGGGTAGATATGTCTGTGTTGTGCAACAACATGGACAAGCTATGATAAGTAAAGTGCATCTCAGCTATCTAAATACTGAGGTTCACTAGATGTGATAAGCGTTGTACAAGATAAATTGCTACTTTGGCATTCAGAAGTTAGTATAAATAGAATAACTCTTGTCTTCTTCATCAATAAATCTTTAGTTTTTGTGTCTGATCTTATTCAAATAAGTCTTTTCTTGTTTTTATAATATCGAACTTTTTTTATAAGCTACAAATAATAATCCTTTTATTCTTTGTGCTTAACACATTGATAACAGTAACGTATTTCAGCCTCAGCCTTTTATTAGCATTTTTTCCTTTTTCCTTTTTTCGTTTATATATATATATATATATATATATTATATCTTGCAAGCTTTCTACTCATGAAATAACGCTACCTTTGTAAATAGAATTGAAGTATAATTGATAGCTGCGCAATAGACGTAAGATACAATGTTAACGCGTTTTATACTGTGGTTATACCTGGGATAACTCTACTAGGGATCTATTTCTGATCTTTTGCTGTGCACTGGCTGCACACTTGGTGGTGGCTGCTTTGATGGTATATCATTGCTTCGGTGGTTTTTCTCTGCTGTTTGCTTATCCTGCGGTCTGTTGTCTTTGATGTATGCTGGTTCACTGGTCTATCTCTGGTCGTGATTCTGTGGTAAGAAGTGGTAAGTATCTTTTTTTTTTCTTGTGGTCGCAATGATATAAAACTTCTTTGAACGTTTGTACTATTGCTTCCTTTCCCGCGATAATGTATTCCTGCTGTTTGCTTTATTGCCTTTTCTTTCTTTTTTGTTGGCTGTGATATGATCAGCTCAACAAATACTACTTGCAATGTTGTTGCTTCGTATTTACGAACAACATGCATGACACACTGCTATATAATTGTATTACTCTTGTGGTACTTTGTTATGTAACCGTGGATTGTTGTTTGTGTTGCCTCTGTCGCTTCACATGAAAACAACATTGGTTTTCATGTTGTATTACACACTTATACTGCTGCTACCGTTGCTCCTGCAATTGTGCACGTTTGTGTTGTTTTACATCATTAGACTGTTATCATGCACATCGCTCATATATATATTTTTGTTGCAATAACAAGAATATAATAACGTGAACATTTTTAATGTTTTATTCATAACATACTTTCCTTTGACTCACTTCGTGTGAGCATTCTTTTTTTCTTTTGCCTACATATACTACTGTACTCCTATAGTAATTATTATGTTCGCTTCTTTTATTATTATGTTTCTTTCGAAGCATACCTCTTTTCGTTGTGTGGATGTGCCTATCCCTGAAGCTCAACAAGACTTTATCCGAGGCTAGGAGGTAGATAGGCCGCCTCCACTTGGTTATCGCTACTTACTTTAGTGATGATTGAGGGTCTCAATGCCTGAATTTAAAGCTAGGTGGTGTAAGTAAGGCATGCTCTAGCACCTGGGGGAAGTTTGATGACAGCGCACACTGCTATATTTGATATACCTAGCGGCGCTTAAAATTTTGCCTCACATCAAAATAGGGGGAAACCCTCGCAATTTTTTTTAGGTTAGCGGAGTTTTCAAGCAATCTGATTGGCTAAGAGGTTGAAGCAACGAAGGTCTACAACTAGTTGATTTCCTATTGATTTGTCATTTAAAACTGTTCCGTTTTAGAAATAAAAGGGTATCTAAACAGTTACAATTTGAATTCTTTTATATATTCTAAAGCAAGACAAGGTGCAACCATTTGATCTAGCATCCATTAAATGCTTTTATATGAGGGATGTCTCTTAAATTTATTATATGGTAAAAAAAAAGAAAAAAAAATTGTATAATAGTAGGTACTACACAGCTGTATACTAGGCACAGGATTCTCCCAGCAATATCAAATGTCCCGCCAAACATGCGTTGTTTATCATTGATTTCCTACAAGCTTCAGTTTCGTGGGTTGCTATCTTTTACCTCATATCAAGGATTTTGGATGTACAATAGTATTTCCGGCTTCGAGATTTGGGCCATTCAAATTCAAGTTTTGAAATACTGGTACTAGAGCTTTAAAAGTAGCATGATGCTATAGCGAAATGTTGCGAGAAAAACGACAGTGTAATTGGATTTCAGGTTGGATGGGCTGTTGTTGCTGATGACTGATGAGAAATTGGCGATTTTCTAAATAAGCCAATGTTAAACCATGACCTTCATTCATACATAAGCAAAATGCTAGAGTTGCATTCATCATTAAAACGTTGGCATAGGAAATGATCATGACAGAACGGAGGCTGCTTTGTGTTTCTGAGATGCTCATGAAACATTCATTACTGAATTGACCCATTGGTTATCTTTAAATTGCGAATCATCTTCCAGACATCAATGTGAAATATCTCTTCTACAAAAAGACACGAAACAAACAGCCCAGCTCAGTATTGTTAGACTTGGAGGCTACTAACCTATGAATTACAAGTGATTACGAGTGTAAGAACGATGGATGCGATATTGGGAAACGTTATATTCAAAACCGTTTGGTGATATCTTGTTGCTTCATTATTGTGGTTTGGCAAAGGCTTTAAGCTACGCTGTGTATTTTACCAAGAACGGGGAGCAGCTTTTTTCACGCCCTATGTAGCGGTAGATGCTAAAAAGGACTTCTTGTCAGGAAGATTATAAGCCCATTTTGAGGGGTTGCTAAACATATAAGGGGAATATCATCAATCGCTCTATTGGTTGTTGTTAAATAATCAAGTGAGGAAAGTGTAAATTAAACCAACAATATAAAAAGACTAGTGTTTCGACGCTATAAACCGTACAGCTGCCAACTACTACTCACCCAGGCTTCTCTATTGATTAAATTTTGATCCTCTGTATTTGCTCTACAAAATGAGGTCTTGTTTTGGCACCTACAATGATGTTTCCTTTCCAAAACCGGGTTTTCAACGCTCAAATTGAAGCATACAGCGGCAAACCATGCTCTTTTTAGCAAGACGACTGAAATATCTATGCGGTGCCTAAGTCTATGAAATGAATTTAGGAAATGATATGGCTAATAGCAACGCGCAAAACGAGTTTTATATACGCCACTACTGTTGCGAAAATTAGTCTTGAGCCAATTTGGCAGGGGCTGACCTATTGGGGATGCTGTAAATTTATGAAAACTTATGCTAAGGCCTCAAACGATACGTATTGTATGTTTTGGGTATATGCAATGAATACTGTCACAGGGTAAGCTGGTACAGATTTAGTGCATGCTTTCTTTTGAAACCTACAAAATATGTGACAAAACGAGCCTATTTAGACACAAATTGTAAATAGACTATCAAGAGTAGTACCATTCGATGCGCATTTTAGTTCTGTACAAACTTGCTATAGGCCGGAAGTAACTGTTTTTATGAAGTATGGTATCTTGAAAAAACAAAAAGTTAATTTTTAGTGAGTATGGTATCGTAAAAGGTAAGGATTGATATTAATGAAAATAGAGCTGGAGGCAGAACCTAGGGTAGCCATCCAAAACCGATTTTAATTGCGTTTGTTTTGTTTGCCTTTTACAAAGAGCTTGCGTAGAGATAATTAGTCAACAAGGACCCTTTTGTATTCTATACCATATAAGTGTATATGTTTTCTAAATAGCCGCATGAGCGTACGCGCACAAGCTTTTGTAAATGGGAAATCCTGGAAGAAATTCCATAGTTATGTTGCAGTATTGCCAATTCAAGAAAAGGGATTCAATGTTCAGGACTTTATTCATACTATACAAGTATTCAAAAGGATATGTCAACAAAAAAGAACGACTATCATTCGGTCTTGATAACAATATTCTGGGCGCCCTTGATTTCTTCGACCTTCTTAAACCAGATGTAAATGCGTTTTTCAAGACGATATAGACATAAAGCATCGTGGAATCGTCAGATTTCAAGTGCCATATCAGTTTTCAGGTAATGGTGGCTGGCAATTAAAAAGGTAAAGCTTAGTATATGCTAGTAGGATATAGGATAGATAATTGCCAGAGACACATGAGGTTCGCTCATCATACTTGAATCTTGAATCAAGTGTTATCCACTGAACCTGAAATTCGAGGCATTGGGGTCGGTCTTCCTAATTCCCAAAGCCAATAAAAAATTTGTTGAGATGAATATACAAACTTGTGGATATATCAAAATTTTTAAGCTATTTTCAACCATCACACAATAAAATCAAGACAGAATGACTGAGAAGAAGACTACGCCATTAGAGATCCTTGAGAGCAAGAAGAGAATCAATGTCTGTGCTCCCATGGTTCGATACAGCAAACTTGCATTTAGAGAATTAGTGAGAAAGCAAGTATAAGCATTGCAGAAAATATCAATTTAATTAAACAAAGCTTGCAAATAGGTACAACACAGATATTGTTTATACACCCATGATATTAGCCGACGTTTTCAAGAACTCAGAGTTTGCTCGATCCTCAGATTTCACGACAAACAGCCTGGATGATCCTGTAGTAGTTCAGTTTGCAGCACACAATGGCGCCGATTTAGCAGATGCCGCAGAGCTTGTATCCCCTTACGCTGGAGGCATTGATATCAACTGTGGATGTCCTCAGAAATGGGCTTATCAAGAAAAGATTGGTGCTTATTTGATGCAAGACCCTGAGAATGTCAGAGACATGATTCGCACAGTGAAAGGGCGAGTGAATATACCCTGTAGTATCAAGATCAGAGTGCATGATGACCTCAAGTAAGTTGCTGTTAATCAGATACCACTGATGTGGCCCTAATGAATTGATCCAGGACCACATACGAATTTGTTAAGCGAGCTGAATCAGTCGGTGTCGATTTCTTGACAGTGCATGGACGTACTAGACTTCAGAAATCAACAGAGCCTGTCAACTTTGAAGGAATCAAGCTTGTCAAGGAGTCGATCAATGTACCTGTGATTGCCAATGGCAGTATTTTCTCATTGAAAGATGCGGATGAAATGTACGAAAAGACAGGCGTGGATGGTGTCATGTCTGCTAGAGGTCTGCTGCAGAATCCAGCCTTGTTTGCAGGACATGAATACACACCTTGGGAGTGCATTGAAGATTATGTCAAACTAGCCATTGGATACGGGACAAACTCTTTTATTTTCCATCACCATTTGATGTTTATGTTTGAGGATATCATGAGCAATGCAGAGCGCAAGACATTCAACACACTGTCCAGCATTCCGGCTATTTTAGATCATTTGGAGGATTACTGGGGATTGGATGTGACAAAGCTTGTTTAAATCGTATTATATATGTACATTCCTATTTATTAGACTCTACTTTTTCAGTTACTTTATCGCAAATCTGTTGGAAAACAGGGAATAAATTTGACTTTTCAAACATTTTGACGTATGACCCACTGCCCTCTGTTTCCACCATGCTGGTAAATCCAGGATCAATAGGCACTCTGCCAAAGAAATCGATATCGTAGTCCTTTGCCATGGATTCACCACCGCCAGAAGAGAAAATATTGGTGCATTCCTGCAAATCATCATCATCATCAGTCTCTTACTGGTGAGTTTCCCAGCTTAGTCTACTTACCGCACAGTGAGGACACACAAATCCACTCATATTCTCCACAACACCCAAGATTGGCAACTTCACCTTTTTACAAAATGAGACTTCTTTACGTACATCAGCAATGGCAACACCTTGAGGCGTAGTGACAATGACAGCGCCGTCAGGGTTAAATTCCTTTAGATATTCTACAATGCCAATGTGTTCATCTGAAGTGCCTGGTGGTGTATCAATCAACAAATAATCCAATTCTCCCCAATATACGTCTTGTAAGAACTGTTTGATCATGGCTGTCGTTTGTATTAGTCATCCATATGTGCCCCATCATTGCCCATCTGTCTCTTACCATTTTTTTTAGGGCCTCTCCAAACGACAGAGTCATTCTTGTTTGTCAATAAAAATCCAATGGACATACATGACAAGCGTTGGTTTTCATCAGCATACACAGGCACCCAACTAGTTGGACCAGTGTTAGATCACTGCTTCAATACGCACATTGATTGAAAGACTTACCCTTGAGAAGCTTGGTGTACTTTCTTGCCGTCTAATCCCAACATGCGAGGAATACTGGGCCCCGTCAGATCGATATCGAGCACACCTACCTTTTTGCCTTGGTGGACGAGGCCAAGCGCAAGCTGTGTAGTGACAGAAGATTTGCCTACACCTCCTTTGCCAGAGAGCACTAGAACAATGTTCTTTATTCCAGAGAGATTGATGTCAGTCATATCTTTTTTTTTTGATTATTAATTCAAGCAAGAAGAAAGATGGTTCTAAAAAGCAAATCGCAAATGGACTCTTTTTATAATTTTAACGTCCCGCCTATCCATCAGCAATTAGATCAAGCGGGATCATTAGCCACAGTAGGCTATAAAGTAAGGTCATCTTACCTCTATATGATTAGGTACTTCAAACCTTTGATAAATTTTGAAAACCTTCATACAAGCCACTCAATTAGATCCCTTAACAATCCTTGTCGACGAAAAAGATGTGAAGCGCTCATTGCTGATCAACATCTTGAAAAAGGGTCGCTCAAGACGCCTACAAAAACTTGATGCCTATCTCAAAAGTATACTGTTGGGTTTGTCAGATACACACCAGGATTCTCACAATTTTTCAAAAAAGCTCATCAATATGGTAAGCGATATGTGGTTGCATTGCATACGTCAAATTTTGTTGAAACTACATGGTTTATAACCATCGTTTGTGTTAAAGAAGTCTGCATCTTTGATATTTTACTCACTGCGGTAGTAGAAGCCCATTTACAACTTGTTCTAAAATATTGCAATAACGTCTTTATCACTTCAACTGTTTAGCATACCTATAGTAAATATAACCTCCAGTGTTTTCTCTAGCGAAACCTTATCATTATTGTATCATATTATAATAAACGTTCAGTCCCTAGACACTTTATAACCCTAGTATGAAACCTGAGTTTCTAGGCATCTGTCAGGCCTGGCTCATCTATGATTAATGATTTTACAATCAATCAACAAAAACCACTGTTATTTCTACCGTCTTTTCTCTGCTCAATGCTGTTAACGTTTTCTTCAAACGATGACCCGAAGCCTCAGAGATTTCCCTACTTACTACAGACATGCTATGCAGCCCATGGATCGTCAATGTCCAGACTAACGTTACTAAATATAGAATAAAAGAAAATAACATGATGAACGATACTGCTATGACTTACCACTTACTTTCCATACGCTTCAAGGGCATCTATTGCTGCATTGCCTTATAAAAAGGACATTGAGCTTGCCAGCCAGCTCAAGCAGCCAAAATTAATTCAAACCCAAAATTATATTCTGTTTTAGATTGGCCAAATCTTGATGATTTTCGACTCGATTGAACTATTTCTGTTGATTCGACTATGTAAAATATGATGATCATCCGATGCTTCTTTAAGCTTTCTTGGAGTGCTTTTCAAGGCGCATCCAATGGCACCAAGTAACGTAGATATTCTGAATAAACTTATTGAGCAATTTATGAAAATATGAAAAGAAGTTTTTGGCCAAAAAGTCGAGATTTTACATATCAAAGTCCCAAAAAGATGTTTTTAGGGGTTGTGTTAGATCGATAGAAACATTTTGATTCAATACATACCATACTAAAAGCCTTCATTATTAAAATCAAAAACGCGATCGTTTGATTTTCGATGAAAACCATGAGGGGTACTTCATGCTTTTTGGTCGAATTTTGGCCATATTTTTTTGGTCCCTAAAAAGCTGAGCAAAGGTATCAGAAAGTAACTGCCAGACAAGAGCAATTGTTTGGTGCTATTCTGACCATCTAAAACGGTCTTGAACGCAAGAAATCACGGCTCAAATGCACTCAGGCTTTGTTGTATCAGGGAGACTACGGACTGAAAAGAGGAAATACCAGTATGCTGCTTGCCCGTGTTCAAAGTGGCTACGAGTATATGGATGTAGAGCATCACATAAGAATCAGATCAACAGATAATACGAATGGTTTTGTGTAAGTAGAAGGTCAATATGAAAGTAGTAGTATTTTGATAAGATATACAAGGGAAATCGGTAGCGCGAGCTGCCGCTGTGCAGGTTGGTTTTCACCGAAGCGAAGCCAAGGTAAAGAACCATTCGAAGCATAAACTTTTATATGATTATTGATTATATATCAATCAATAACCAAGGTTCTTCTAACATTTTAACTATATAAATTTTGCGATATTAGCCAAAGGTTCGTTAGCATAAAAAGATGTAAGCATTAAATGGAAGGCTTATATGGAAGCACTGGTTGCCGCATGTACAGAGGAAGGCACTGCATTGATGGTGAACATTGGCCTTTGTATCTGTTTGGCAAAAGCCTTACTCGGCACCTATACAACATGATTCCCCTTCCATCTTTTTTCATATAGATGTGTATAGTTCCTATCAATCTATTTCGCCAACTTGCGTTAGATAATTATCTCAAGTTAGATGCGACTTGAGCACTCTATCTTTACATTGCTCAAATAAAACTCTTTTATTGTATGAAGCTGTAAGCCCTTTTCTGTCAACGAGCTACTGTGTTGTTGCAGGTATCAGTCAAATTAGGGTTATCTCTTTTATGCAGTAGACCCTATTTTATACATTCAGTCTACTAAATACCAGGATAACATTTGAAATTCTTACCTCCAGTTGATCAGAATCAACAAAACTAGGCACTACAGTCTCTGTTGGAGTTGCCACTTTAGCAATCGATCTCTGCCCTTCTTCAAATGTAGCGCCCAAATCCCTTAAAGCAGCCATTCTTTCAGCACCAGTTGGCATAGGTGAGATGTCACCCAAGAATTCTTCCTCCAGTGGATGTGCATTGTTGTGCTTTTGTATCTGGTTTGATTGACGTCTCTCCAACAACGAAGGAGGCTTTACTGGGCTTGTTCCACCATCGCTGCTGTGATTACTCTGACTCTTTTCAAGGCCTAATGCGTGTTGCTTTTGAATGTCTCTTAAATCGCCTGATGATGGTTGCTGTCTGTCCATTTGATAATAATGATTAGTTGTATAAAAGGGGACTTTTTCGTGCAATTTAAAAAGCTATCATATAATGCTAAAATGTATTAAAATACGTCATTGTAGCCATGATCTCATGAATGATGATTCACCGCGAAAACAAGCTGTTACAATTGGCTGATTGCCTAGCATGAAGGTTGCTTCTTTGACAGGTTCCTGACACATTCAGCATAAAAATCGGCGAGGAAACTTTCATTTGATCAAATGGCGATATGAAAGATTAAAAAGTAATGTTCTCACATATAAAGAGTTGAAACGGCAAATGTACCAAAGTAAGGTGGTATTACGATCAAGGACATATCGCATGTAATCCGCTTGACAAAGGTTAACGCTATTATAATATACTCAATCTGAATTGCGTTTACTTGCGCGTATAAAGTGGACGGCACTTAGCCGTCGTCGTTAGTGTTGATTAGCCTACCAACAGTTGACATTTTTACACAAACATTATTTGATGCAAGTATTTATATAAGATGAAGAAAAGGTAGATGCATATAGCTATCAAATAAAATGATCTGCTTTTCAAGGGCATTAGTAGTATATGAAAAAGAAAGCTCAATCTATTGCTAATGTTTGCATCTCGCATTATTTGGCTTGTTGTCCTACCAGCATATGAATAGCGCGCCATCACTGTTTGTTACCTCAATCAGAAAAACATACGGCTTTTTATTGCTATTTATATAGACAAGAAGTTGTTGTATGTATACTATATAAGATAAGACATGAACCCCTTTACATCTACTGCAGGCAATATTACAATGCAAGCTTCATTTAGATAGCCCATTTGCTTTGCAGATATCACTTCTCTTTCAATTTTGTTCATTTCAAATTATGGAGTTTGCTACACATTTTCTTGAATCAATCAAGCCTCCACATTTCGAAATAAAGCAAGCTTTGCGTGTTATCAGTATAGCTGATGCAACTGCTGTTCTCTATCAATCCTACCGGCGTATGATTGGGAAGAACACAAAAAAAATCCGGCCACTGCGAGATTCCTATTGCGACCTCTTGCTATCCTTACCTGAGTCATACTTTCACGCTAGGAAGAATACCATCAGATACAATACGACAATGGCACAAAGAGTGTGGCCCCGTCATGAAAATCAAGCTGTACAAACGCGTCTGGATCACCATAGCTGACCCAGCTCTAGCACACAAGGTTCTCACCACGCATGGAGCACAAGCATCCTACAGACCGCACATGAACTTTTCCTATAGGCTGTTTAGTGGAGGAGGAAAGTAAGTGTCCAAGATTAAAATGCACAAGCTTTGAAATTAAGCTTTTCTATAGTAATATAGGATTCGGACAACCAGGCGAGATTTGGAATAGAAACAGAGCTGCAGGTAATGCTGCTGTTGACTGAATTCTCTCAATAAGATAAACTCGGCGTGCATATAAAGCTGCCTCCATCTTTCAACCCAAACAAGTTAAAAAAATACATACCATTCATCAAACAAGGAGGTGCTGATTTGGTGCAGAGATTATTGGACTATGCTGAGCGCGATGGCACTGTGGATCCCCTCAACCATCTAAAACTCAACTACTTGAACTGTATTTTCGGTAAATGTTTTGGTAGAACCTTCAAAAGCATCGAAGACGAAGAGTTTCTAGTGATTACAGGCATGGTGGAGGATACCATGAAATTTTTGGCCGTGGAAGCAGATCTCACCAACTACTTTCCCTTCCTTGAAAGCTTTGATTTTTTGAATGGCGGCATTGTCAACAAGATGCGAGAGCTCATGAACAAGCGACATCCTCTTTTCATGCAGTATGTTAAGGAAATAGAATCAAAAGAGGGACATAACTTTGTCAAGGCGTTAAATGAAGGCGAATTTAACTTTAGCGACGACGACAAAGTCTTATTCCTGTGTAAGTGAAACATGGGTACAGCGAGCGTAACAAACTAACGTAGAACGTATAGTTGAAATGGTTGTAGCAGGCTCTGACAACCTTGCAATCACAACGTATTGGTTGATTGCCATTATCCTGAGGTTCAAAGTAAAATACATCAAGAGCTTGATCTATTTGTATCTACCCATGGCCGGCTCCCTGAGTTGCACGAACGAGCAAATATACCTTACTTCTTTGCAACTATTAGGGAGGTGATGCGATGGAGATCAGCTACATTCTTTGGTATCAGCCACAGTGTGATTGAAGACTGTAATGTAAGATCGTGTACTCAAAAGGGCAAGAAAAGCTAATTGCTTGTATATTGTAGTGGTTGTGGATGGCTATCTGTTCCCCAAGGATTCCATCATCAATGTTACTATGATAAGTGTGCATATGGACTCTCATTTTTACAAGAACCCCGAGGAGTTCAGTCCAGAGAGATATCTGCCAAATGTCAAATCGCTACATGCTGCAGCAAGTGGCAAGTTTGAAGAGCGTGATACCTTTGTATTTGGATTTGGAAGAAGACTCTGTCCCCGGCATACATTTAATAAGTGCTATTAGACGCACAACAATGCTTTTCTAATTTTCTTGTGTATATACCCTTAAGGCTGAAGCAGAGTTATTCTACACAATTACTCAAATGCTAGCAAGCTGTCTGTTTGAACCTACATCAAAACTGCTAGACCTAAACACCTTTCGATATCCTGGTGTCAATGTCTTACCAATGCCTTATCCAGTCAAGATTACCAAACGCGCTAATTCCGTGGTTCGAGATTCACATCATTCAGTACAAAAAATGAATAAAGTTACAATAGTGCTTTTTATTTATATGGTGCATTATTTGTTTACAAAAGAAAAGATGCAAAGAAGGGGAAAAAAAGGACTTAGATTAGTATTTGACAATATCCTTCCTTTCTTTGATCGTTTCTTTTTCAAATGTGTGAATGTATATATGATTTTTCTCTTTTTAGTTGTTCTGATGATTAGATTTCATTTAACAATAAATAATTTAGTTCTCCAAGGTGAAAGAGAGACCGAGCTTGTGTGCGTTTTCGTTAAGACGAGTAGTATCAACGGAAGCACCGAGGTTGACCTTGACACCAGGACGGAGAGCTTGGGTGTAACTATGAAAAATTTACCAATGAGACACACTGTAAAAAATCACGCTACAAAATGCATATCTCAACTTACGCAAGACCGAGGACACCAGCGTTGGAGATCTTGGCCTTAACAAAGGCAGTAGCATCCAACTTGAGCTTGGCACCAACTTCGAGGGCAACAGCGTTGGAACCCTTGGAGTCCCAAGAAGCCTTACCGGAAGCCTCGAGGTCACTGTTGACACGGTGGTAGTAAGAAGCAGCATAGTTGCTCAAGTTGTTGGTGGCGTGAACAGCAACACCATATTCAGCAGCGGTATAACCGACAGCAGCGTTGTAACGACCAATCTAAAAATGGCGAAATTTAAGAATTGACAAGGCTCTCTTTCCTATTTGCAAATTACACTATACATACCTTGCCATCCAAAACATTGTAGGCGACTTCAGCACCAACGAGGAAACCTTGTTGACCGAAAACAGAGTTGACACTGAAGTTGGTCTATTCAAAATAGGCATTTGCTCAGAATCCATCTACTCGACACATAACCAAAAGAACTTACCTTGAAGACATCAAGAGTAGCAACGGTGTGGACATTGGGCTTCTTGTAGGTAGCGTTGATCTTGGCAGCCTTCTCGTTGACAGAGGGAAGGAGGGAGGTCAAGAGTTCGAGCTTAAGACCCTCTAACAACGCGAGACTGAGGTTAGCATCTGAGATCAGCAACGTGCGCATTTCAATTCAAACTTACTGGCGAGGTTGTTCTCGAGTTCGATCTTTCCGTTAAGGTGGTTGGAGGTAGTCCAAGCTTCAGTGAAAGTAAGACCGTTCTTCTTGTCAGCGTACTTGGTTTCAAGATCACCAACAATGATACCAGTCTTGTTATCACGTTGACCGTTAACCTTGAAGGTCTGTTTATCCAATGATTCATATTAGACATTTTCTGATGCATAACGAAACCACATCCCAATGTCAATCTACTTACAACACCGTTAGGAGCAGTGGTCTTGACTTCGAGCTTGACACCACCAACGGGGTAGTCCTTGGACAAAAGGTCCTTGGCGGACTTGCCAATATCATTGAAAGCAACTATACAAAAGATTGGGGTTGAGTAACAGAAACATAGGTACCGTAAATTAGAGACAAAAAGACATACCAGGAACAGACATCTATATAAACCGAGAAAACGAGTCAATTTCGAGTACTTGTAGGTTATGCAAAATAACAAGTTTCTTTACCTTTAGAAAATATAACTACTTATAAGGTGAATAGGAAAGAAAAAGAAAAGAAACGTTTGCAATTTAGTGGGAGAGATGTAATAGGGTTCACAACACAAGCCCTCATTGCGGTTGTTTAATCGAGCAAGGGTAGCAAGATTCACAGAAATCAACTGGGGTCCGCTTAAATGTTTGTCTGCTATACCCCCTCCCCACACATGTCCATTGGCACCATGTCATACTACCGTCAGTTATTGATATTCAGTTTCCATCGCATTCCATGGCAGACAGCTATATAGATCTCTGAAAGGCTTTTGGCCTATTGCAATGACCATAGATCAAGAGAGTATCAACTATGTGGATCCAATGTGAGATGATGCATATGTATACAATAGAATCATACATATTGCCTGTGGTGTTACCAGAAATGGTGGGAAAATGTGGACATCTGAATGTGAATGGCACCACTATTATTCGAAATGAACAATGCATGATGTGAATTGGAATATTATAGGAACATGCGTTTTTTCCATCTCGTTTCAATCATGGCTATCTTCTCTGCTGTTGCTTCAAATGGCGTATAACGATTGTTTTGAGTATAGATGTACAAGAGTGCCTGATTTCATCATCTCATGTTACTCATCTTAAATCAAATCAAAGGCAAATCACGAATTAATTCGCGCATGTTCCATTGGATGTTGCCCTGCTTTTTTTTTTTTGGGGTACAGAGAGCAATGATGTTATTCCACGTTTAAAGTCATACAAATTCATTTGCTGATCGCTTCTTGTGTATCATTGTGGGTTGTCTCATCGCATCATATTTCCTATCGTTTTATGGCATTTCTCAATGTCAGGGCAGATTTGTAAAGGCATTTTAAATACTTGGATGTCGAACATCTAATGGTCATATGTGTCATAACAATAAAATCTAAAAAGAATCATATTTATGCAAAAGTGTTCACAGCATTGGAAGCCGAGATCAGCATGAATAAAGCGAGAGACAAGCTTGTATATATATAGTCTAAGATGTGATAAGAATGCATTTTTAATTTGTATATATTAAATGAACAAGAAATAAGGAAAAAAAGAAAGAAATAGAAACATATTGATGGTGGTAAAATAACAAAATGGAGAAATACAAAAACAAAGGTTATAATTAATGCTTGAGACGCTTTTGCTTCTCAATAGCAGCTCGTAGTGATTTTTGCTTGTCAAACAAACTACGCTTGGACTTCCAGAGCACAGATTGCTTGTGAGCAACCATCATAAAGTTCTTATTTCTGGCCTTTTCACGGTTGGTGGTACTACCTCTTTCCTTCTTGCCCTTGTTGGAACCAAACTTCTCGCGACCTTCACGACCTTCTTGAATAGAGGCCATTCTCTGTTCGTAATCTTGCTTGGCCTTCTTACGAGGACCGAGAATGGTCATTTCATCAATCTCGCCATCGTGCTGAGCATCATCTGCACCACGCTTCTTGCCCTGGATTTGTTCAATTTCTTTGTTCGTCTTGAGTTCTTCCAAACGGGCGAAATCAGCAGGCGTCAAAATACGAGTGGTAGCCAACTTGATGGCAGCTTCGTGCTTGGCTTCTTCTTCAGCGCGACGGGCCTTGACAGCTTCTACCAGCTTTTGTCGTTGTTCTTCTGTAATTTCAGTGTGTTCCTCAGCATCCATCATCTTCTTGAGTTGACGTTTACCGATACGACGAGCCTTGATGATCTCACCGTTGGGGCCCACCTTGTATTGAAGCTTTTTCTTGTTGTCCTCATCCTCAGGAACTTGCTCTTCATCGCCCATGTTGACCTTGACATAATCTTCATCATCACTAGCAACGTTGATCCAACCACCTTCTTCATCACTCTCGTCGCTGGAATCATCGACCTCCCAATCTCCCCAATCTTCATCGTCCTTCTCTTCAGCATCAAGCAACTCCAGGCCCTGAAGACCATCCATGTTGTTGGCAGCTTCACCGAATGCAACAGAACGAATAGAGCCATCCTTCATCTTGATGGTGGCAGTCTTACCACGGTCCTTACGCAACAGCATTTCAGGGTTGATTTCACGGAACAGAGCAATGAGAGAACGAGCAGCCATAAGCACACTCTTATCACGATGTTGTTTGTATTGAGTCAAATCTTGCAACAAGGTAGCATCAATGGCTAGAGGTTGACGAATACAAATTTCACGGATGCCGTTGATACCCACAGCCATGACTTCATTGGCAACACGGTCGGTGACAAAGTTGTTGGCAATGGCCTTCAATACAGGTTCCAAGATATCAGGAGGAACGAGGGAATGTGAAGCTTGAGCAGCACACACCAAGACCATGGTCACATCACGTTGAGAGGGTTGGAGATACTTCATCAGCAAAGGATAGAAACCTAAGATGGTCAATTGATGGATACCAATGACACGAGAGACCAAATTCATCTTCATCAAACGCACTTCCCAGCGATCGTCCTTGGATGTCAGCTTGGAGTACAGCTTTTCAGCAAAACCTTGAGGATCGTTCAAAAGATGAAGTGCTGAAAAGTTGAAATTCTCGGCCTTTTCTCCCTTCTTTTGCTTTCTCTTGACCTTCTTTCTTGCAGCATCCATCTTGCGATCTTTAGATCTGGACTTTTTGTTGTGCAAGTTGGCCATTTGCATCTTTTTCAAATCAGGAATCTAAGCAGTTCATTGCATATCAGTATCCCATCTTTTGTATAACTACATCAAATCGACTTACATCTTCATCCTCCTCTTCCTCCTCTTGATGGTCATTACTGTTCAAAAAGAACTTGACGGCTGTGACAGAGACCTTGGTGATGGGGGAAAAACAAGCTTCAGCAATGACATTGACAGTCTTGGCATCGTTCCAAACATTCTTGTGATAAAGATCAACACAGACGTCCACACTCTTCTTGGCAGCAATAGCATTTTCCTCACTGTTACCAGTAGTAGCTGACTCCAACATGGTGAACATGAATGCTTGCAAGGTTTTGTTCAATTTGTTGTTCTTGACCTTGGCATTGGAGTTTTTGATGTCGTTGACAATGTGGTTGTAGAGCAGTTCTCTGAGGTTCTTGTCTTTGCATTTGAACAGAGTAAAGAAAAGAGGTAAAAGACTATTTGAGGTTATGAATACACTATGCTTAGCTATGTGAATCATAATGTGTCCTACCGGGTATTATCGAGAATGCCCTTGTTACGGAGAAGAATAAGAGCCTGAACCAAGCTCTTTCTGACTTCAGGGTGGAGCACAGTACAGTGCTCCTTCAAGAGATCCACAATTTGCTGAGAGAAATCCTTGGTCAACTCAGGATAACATTGAGCTACTTGACTCATGAAAGTGACCAATTCACAAAGCTCTTTGGAATCTTCATCAGGCTTCAAGCAAAAGATGGAAAGAGTCGATTGGAAATGTCGCCATTGCTGGAGGAATTCGGCTTCATAAGACTTGGAATCACGCTTGATCAAGTTTTGAAGTTGAGGCAAGTGAGTAGGTAACAAGGCGGCTCTGTTGCGTTTACCCATTTGTTACTATTTGGATCAAAAGAGTGGAAGAGTCTATGAAAAAAATTACTGACATCCTCCACATAAAAATTGATTCGGCATTAAGCCACGTTGGACATCTATGAAAAATGGTCACCGAGAAAGGGCAATGTTGTCCCATTGGATGCATAAAAAGCTTATTTTATAATCGATCAGGCACATGGATTTCCTAATGCACAGAATTGATCCCTTCAACCAGTCGACTATTGTGTATTATGAAATTAGCAATCTACCCTCTTTAGCACTCAATGAGAGCCTCGGTATATTTTGCAGCTCAACTGTTAGAATCGGTTTACAGAAAAAGCAATGTAGTGCAGTGCTGCCAATTATTCTCTAATGAACCAAGATTAGACAAATGGCACTCTTGATCTATACCATACACAACCCTATCGTTTTTTGTAAGAGCCATTGATTCAAAAGTTAAATAAGGTCTATACTTGAGGTTTCATAGTTATTTCGAGTAGGATAGCAATCTTGAATCTTGCATTCAATAGGATTTGCATTCAGATGAGTAATTCACAAAAATTAAACCTACCAGAGGCAGAAATAATAAAAAAAAATGAATAAAGGAAAAGTAAAATAGTTAAGATAAGCTATAGCATACTTTGGTCTGCAATCCCCTTCTCATAAGCTTCAAAAACATCGATCGCCTTCATGAAAATTCATTTACCAGCCAAAAATCGGTTGAATCTCCGAACCTCATATTTTCTGGAAATGGGAATTTTTTGCTTGTTTCGCGACTTGTGTGAACTGTTTTCCTAGATTCGATTATATAAATTGTGCCGATCCTCCCATCCTCCCTTAAGCTTTCTTGGAGTACTTTTCAGGATGAATCCAATGACACTAAATGTGATAGATGTTTAGAGGAAGCTTATTGAGCAGCGCTCAAAAATGCGAAATGAGGTTTTTGTCCAAAATGCAGAGATTTTACATATCAAAGTCTCACGAACAAGTTTCCAGGGGTTGCTCTGGATCGATAGAAACATTTTGATTCCATATATGCCATAGCAAAAGTCTTCATTTTTGGGGTCAAAAACACGATCGTTCGATTTTCGATGAAAATCATGAGGGGTACCTCATGCTTTTTGGTCGATTTTTGGCCATGTTTTTTTTTGGCTCAAAAAGCTGAGCAAAGGTGTCAGGAAGTTGCTACTACTCAAGTACAATTGTTTGGCGTCATTTCGGTGGCTCTTGAAGGCCTACATGTCAAGATATGAAAACTTGAAAGCTGTCAAATTTGGTTATGTATTGCTTTATAGAGTTTATTTACACGGCTTAAATCACAACTTTGGTAGCTGCAATTTACTGGAAAAACAGTTCTTAATGCTTCATTAGACTGTTAAACACACCGTTCATTGTGCCTACTCCATCAGATTTATCGAGACGTGAATTTGGAGCTTTTTGCTGAATTCCAAGGCTATATCCTTATAGGCCCGGTCTCTTACGAGTCTTCATTCGCCATCAACATTTGGAATTAGGCCATTGCCATTGTTTATTTGTATGTGTGATCAATTCACGGAATAAAGACGAAAGAAATAAGCTTTTGAATTCCTTTCAGCATTTAATTAGTTTTTGATTTTGATGGAAGAAAGTGAACTTATTGTCAAGCCAAAATCTTACCTGGGATTAACCGTATCTCGATGGATTATTCTTCTATCAAGCTGCACAGTATGTTCATGCCCATTGCAATGCAGCACCCTATACTCAGTCTCTTTAGCTTTTCTCCTACGGATTTGTTTTTCTGATTGGTGCTTTGAGCTCATATGCGAACGGATACAGCAGATCTGTCATTGTCACTATCGTTAACAGGGATCTATTGACTGGTAAAAGCAATTCTCATTCTTACTAATTCAGAGCTAACTCCTATTGCCATCGTAGCCATGTTTTGCACCTCGTTTTTGTGTGTCATCACGGCTATCATTGGGATCTTTGCTGTCCAAAGAAAAGATCGACATTTTCTGGCATGCCACGCAATTCTGCTATGGCCATGTCTGGCACTTTTGGCCACTGTAGCCTACCTCGCTTACAGAAAAACAACTTGGGATTTAAAGACACAGCTTGGCATGCAATGGCGATATGACTTTACATCCAGCGAACATTTCGCATTGCAAGAAAACCTACATTGCTGTGGATTCGAAAATTCATCAGATCATGCAAGATACAAATCGCGCTGCTCTCAAGAATCGCTTTTGCAAGGCTGTCATGAGAAACTGCATACATTTGAATCCTACTTTCTGGCCAAAGTGTATACCATCTGTTTTGCTTTAATCCCAATTCATATGCTGATCATTGTCGTGGCTCTGATTTACGCTTGTCCTTCTGTGCCAGGTCGATATTATGGCAAACCAGCGGCCATCAGATCGCCATCACTCAAGAACGAGTATATTTCTCATAGTCATGATGCGCCGAGCAAGCCCACGCACCATTGTCTCGCTTGTGAAAATTGGTCTTTCTAAGCATACTAATAAAAGACTCGTGTTTCCGTATCATTACATCAAGATGTCTTCCTTTGTTGAGATTTTCTAAATAAGTGCAACGTAATTTCGGTTGGTATGATGGATTTACACCGCTTCTACTTAAATCTACATAATGCACACTACCCCAACCCAATGATAGATTGCTGTTGTAAGTGTAAAGCATGTAAATCCACATTGACAGATTCGTATAACCTTGAGATGTAATTGTCATGTTTATTGTGATCAGTTTTTCGCAAATTGAGTAAAATGTGTAAGTTTCTTGCATATGAAGTAGGATAAGTAGACAGAGAGAAAATATGGAATGTGTTTTGTATTGATCTTGTTTATACAGTGTTTCTGAGAACTATAGGCATAATGCTTTAGTCATTCATTTCTGTTTATTCATCATCTCACTTACCGAGAACGACGGTATCACCACGAAGGAACATCTTACTGACAAAGCGATCCTTATTTACAGGCTTAGCCTTTGCTCCCTTTCCACTACGAGGCGTCTCAGTCCACATCTACAAGCGAACCAAATGAATACATACATCTACTTGGATTAATTGCAATATTCACGTACCTCTTTGACATTTTCGAGCACCATATTACAATGACGATCGAAAGCCTTGACACGAGCCAACAATTTGTGGTTATTACGACAACTGATCAAGATTTGATTGTTATTTTTGACGGATTGTTGCAAAACTGAAAGTGGACCAGTGTTGAATTCAAGTTCTTCTTGTTGACGGAGCTCTTCCTCAGTCATCTCTGATCTTGGCTTGTTGGCGATGGAGCTACATTGAGAGGAGCAGAGATTAGTATCAACATTTGATACATTTCTTCATCAAATTTGTGTTTGATTTGGTATATATGCATACCTCATTTTGTTGTATGTATAGTAAAGAAGACGTGTTGGTTCCTTTAGGTGAATTTGGTAAAGGATTAGAACAAAATTTTTCGCTCAGTCGAAGGAGAAAGACGAGAGGTGACGTAGAAGTGCTCTTTCTGCGGATATTTAATGGAAATGAAGGCATTGCTCTTTGGATGGCAACAACATTTGCATATTACATTATGTACCTGATGAAAATAGTATATACAAAAGGCATGCATTGACCATGTACATCCAATGCTGATATGAAATGTTGGCTAAGGCAGCAATGCTTGACTATCATCAGATGTCATGAAGACAGAAAATTACTCTCCAGTGTCACATCTGATAGCATGTGGCTCAATAGCATGGTATATATCAAACATCTCTTGGATCAGAAAATCATTTGGTTGTCATGACAACAAATTGGTTGCTACCTGTCAAACTTAGAAACGTCAAATCTTGAAGCAACACCACAGATCATGAAATGGCAATGCTTTTATACACATCCTTTGCTCAACTCCGGCTTGCAATCGACTTCTTCTCTGACGCCTGTGGAAAAAAAAAGTCTCATCATCACCCTGGGGATTAGGTTGACCTGATTGTAAGCTCCCTCCTATTGTTTTGATTATAGACCCCGAAGGTGGTTGATTTTGTAAAGAAAAATCCTTTTCTTACCCTTTAACCTCTTTCTTTTTTCTAATAAAACCCCCCCTCTCCCTACTCTGTTTTTAAGTTTGAAATATGTTCTCTAGAATTGCTTCTCAAACTGCTAGACGCTCTGTTAAGCAATTGTCTCAACAGGTATATAACAAAGCCAGCGAGCTAGCCGAAAAAAATTCATCATAAACATTGGAGATTTAACCCCCCACATTTTCGTTTTGAACAGACTCGTTTTGCTTCAACCAAGCCTAGTTTCGCTGGTGTAAGTTGTGAATTTCAATACACCCGATCAACAATATTCATCGTTTCTCAATAGCACTCTAACAAGCAAACTACCGCTGTCACTGCTGGTATCATTGGTGCCACTGCTTTGACTTACATGTACGTTGATGCCTCTGCCAACATGGCCGATGAAGGTCTTCACCCTCCCAGCCATCCTTGGCCCCACAGTGGTCCTTTGGACACTTTTGATCATGCTTCGTACGTATCATTTGCACAAAACAGTAGAATCAACAACTAAAAGCAATGATTTGCTATAGCATTCGTCGTGGTTATCAAGTTTACAGAGAAGTTTGTTCCGCTTGTCATTCTCTTGATCGCATCGCATGGAGAAATTTGATCGATGTCTCTCACAGTGAGGATGAAGTCAAGGCTATGGCCGAAGAATTCGAATATCAAGATGGCCCTGATGATAACGGTGAGATGTTTATGAGACCTGGCAAGGTAAAAGAAAGCAAAATTCGAGTTGTTTTTGCAGGGTTGCTAATGTATATATAGCCTGCTGATTATATGCCTAAGCCTTATCCTAATGATGAAGCCGCTCGTGCTGGTAATGCCGGTGCCTTGCCCCCAGATCTCTCTTTGATCACCAAGGCTCGTCATGGTGGTGAGGTGAGTTTTTAAAGATTACCGATCTGATGGAAAGTATACTCATTCAATGCTGTTGCTAGGATTATGTTTTCGCTCTTCTTACAGGTTATGTTGATGCCCCCGGAGGTGTCGAGGTTCGTGAAGGTTTGAACTATAACCCTTATTTCCCTGGTGGCGCCATTGCTATGGCTCAAACCCTCTTTGATGGTGTTGTTGAGTATGAGGATGGTACCCCCGCTACTGCCTCTCAAATGGCCAAGGATGTTTGTACCTTCCTTGCATGGGCTGCTGAACCCGAGCATGACGATCGTAAGAAGATGGGTATGAAGGCCACTGTCATTACTGTTGGCTTAGTTGCTTTATCTGTTTACCTCAAGAAGTTCAAGTGGGCTCCTCTCAAGACTAGAAAGATTGTTTACAAGTAAGTGGAATTATGTGGATTGGATGATAAATCTTGCTAACTCTGCTCTGCGATATAGTCCTCCCAAGTAAATTAAATTATTGATGTATCTCCCTTTCCTTTTATCTCTCTCTTTTCTCAATGTCTTCCTTTTTCATTGAAATGCCATTAATTTTATCATAATCACTCTCTCACTCAAAACGTATATTTTTCTCTTCCTCTTTTGCCCATCACAAAAAAACCTTGCTATTATTCTATTTTGTATACTCTTGCACACACACACTCGCCTTTTTCCTTTTCTTACCTCTATTTATTTAACAGGAAAAAGACAGAGGATTTTGATATAATCTAATTGCTTTTTTATTTAATCGAAAATGACAAAAGAGAGATTTAGAAGGATAATCTCTTTCTCTTTTTTTATTATATAAAAAATAAACCCAAATGTTTAGATTTCTCCATTCGAACACTCTGTTATCTCCATGTCAGGTTCCGTTTACCATAGGGATCTTCTTCATAGCTCTTCTTTTTGTCTTTTCGCTTGACGAAAATGACGCCTGATTTAATGATTGAGTTTTGGTATTTGCCATCATGTAACATGTTGACTGACAGTGGCCAATATCTGTCACCGTCTAGTTTGATCGACTTGATGAGCTTGTAATCAGGTACAACAGATGGCGCCTCAATGCGCACTTGCCGTACTTTGCCCTCTCCGTCATCATTGTATATCTCCAGCTTCATGGGAACTCGGCATGGTTTCTTGTTGCCAACATCAAATGGCATCAGCCAACGTGAATCCACAGCCAATACCCATAAATGGCGAAATGCTTGCAGATGATATCTGTTGTCTCCAGTTGTCATTGGATAGAAGGGATAAAAAGCGCACAGTAGACCAGCAATTGCTTCATTGGAAGTTGTCAGTGTATAGCCACCCAAGCCCATGAAGAGTAGGCCCAACGACATGGAAACAGCCATATGATTACCATAGGTCATGTCGCTTGTCACTCGATGGTGCAGCTGTTCCAAGCGCTGCAAAAGTTCTCGATCGCCTGTACCAGCCATCACCATTGCTGCTGCTGTACACAGCACATCTACGCCAGTTCGTATAACACATTTGGTTACTCGTTGCTGTGGTGTTGATCCAGGCAGATTCAGCTCCTTGATCAGAGCGTCCAGGCGATTCAACAGGGTTTGGAAGGCCGTAGAATTCTTGGAACCAGCAAAACGCAAGCCAATACACAAACAGGCACCACAGATGATGTTGATCATAGCTTGCTTGCAGACCTCAACATCCAGAGAAGAGTTTTCATCCGTCATGTCCTCATTGAAAAAGTCTGGCAACTGCTCATCAATCCAGGCCGAAGTAGGCTGAATGGTGCTCCACATGATCAAGTTTTTGGCTACCACACGCATCAACAGGAAATCAGGACGCACATAGTTCAAGTAGGGTCTCGTCTCGAGTAGCTCAATGCCTTCTGCCACACGGCTATTCTCAGTCTTGAGATACATCAACGCCAGTGCTACTGTAGCGCCAGGAGAGGTGACATCTAGATTAATGGAACTGGTCGCTTCTTCGGACGCTCTTCCTGTCATCAAGCTGTGAAGTTTGTTTCGCAGTTGAGGATCCACCACCGGCAACGCATTCTCACCCAGCCCTAGTGTCATGAAACCCAGAGAGAAGCCAGCAGCCAGAGCACAGCCTTCATAATCTGCGTCCAGGGTAGACGGGTCAGTGTAAGCATGCTTGGCAATTTCACGCAGCATGATAGACGCCATGAGTCTATCGCAAGAGTTCATGTAGACCAATCCCATGCTTAGCAGACCAGTTGCTTGGATCGAATTAGAGTGATTAAATGAAGCAGATTCAGGCGGCAGCAGTGCTGGGATATACACGCTCAAGACTTTGGTGACCTTGATGTCCTTGGTGCCTCTGTACGCAACTGCAGCCCCCAGGATGAATCCAACATTGACAAGATCGCACTGCTGCGTCACAAAGCGATACCAATGCACAAGAGGCAGCTTCTTCAAAATGCCGTTCAAGCCAAGAGCCAAGAGGATGCCACCGCTTTGAGGGTCCAGTTCTTGAGGTACACAAAAGTCAATCCAGGAATCACTGCACTGATTATTCGGTGATATTCTTAGACCAGCAGCAACACCATTGTGGAATTGGGGCCAGTGCAAAAACTCTTTGCTCCACTGAGAGTCGTCCACTGTCACCACTGTACGCAAGGGCAAGATTTTAGCAGACAAATTGATGGCTTCTGAGGGCAGCGCCTTGGTCAAATCAGGAACATGTGTACCGTAGGCATAAATGGCACGACCTGCTGCGAGAGACAGTGTGCGCTGGACCAGCATGGCCACCTGGGATTGATGTTCTACCGCCAAGTCTTCGTCACTCAGATCAGGCAGCTCCACTACTATATGATCTGGTATACGTGTCGCGTCCAACATGATGCGTACTTTTTCTATAAAACCACCAAAGCCGAATCGAAGACGTTCTGTTTCCATGTTGAGAACATCGGATTCATAGACACATTTGACGACAGGCGTTGCAGAGTAATCTTTCATCATGGTATTCATGTTTTGAGGGTGATCAGAATCCTGCCAGAGGTGTGAGAATAGTGTATTTTGATAGTAATCATGTCTATATCTTGCCTTTAAAAAGGGCAGCTTGAACGTATCGGTGTTGGGGTCACACACTGTTATCTTCATTTGAAGCTGTTGATAGATATCGTCTCTGCCAATGATGTTATACGCCTCCTTGGTCCAATGCACTAAAGGGTTTGCTTTGAGGTCATCCAGCACGTTCAAAATGGGTGTTGCCAGAGAGTCGATTAGGAGGCCAATGTCCTTGCGCGCAATACGGTGGAGAATCATGCGTTCCAGCAGCAGGCTTTTATCGCCAGACACATGGTTGATTGCGCCGTACAAAGACCACAATTCCTTGATGGTTTTGGCATATGTATTCAAGCAATGGCCAAGTGACGTTTCCAGAGTGTTTACGCCAAAAGAACTCAACAGGGTGGGATTCGATGTGGTGTAAGGTGTCATTTGTCGCAAGCAGACTTGAATGTTTGGGGGTTCCGTAAAGATTTCATCGACAATGGGATTATCTACAAGATGCACTAATAAACAACGAGTCAGTCATCAAGCAACGGACACAGTATCATTTAATGTTACAATTTCCAGTAAACGAAGGCTGTATGCCCAGATTTGCATAGTAGTCAATGTAGTTTTGGTTCTTGAGAATGATGGCGCACTGCATCAATAGATAGCCAAGCGTATTTGCATGCACTATCATTGATTTCTTGATACGATAATCCTCATAGACCACGTGCAAACTGTTGACAATTTCAATAAACACTGAGATATCCATGGTGGCATCGTCTGAAATAGTATGCACCACGCGATCAATCCATCGTGTAGGAATGCCCTTGAAATAATTTTCATCCAAGAGAAAATCAAAGTGATGAGCAGCTGCGGCCGAGGGAAATCCAAGCTCGTTCGTCAAAAAGTCGCTGTTGGAGGCGCGGATCTGTTGTAATTGGGTTTCTCGAGACGAAATACTCTTGAAATTAGGTTCGCGGTAATAATAGCCTTGCTTCTGCACGCGTAGAAACGATAAAAGAGCTACAAAAAAGTTCTCCCACTCGCTGATACAGATACGATCATCATCTGGAGGTGTTTCTTGCAGCGACAAGAATCGAGCCAGTATCTTTGGAAAATACAGCGTGTTGGCACAGTCAATGGCAGCAAAGCAATCTCGGACAAGCGACGTATCAGGGCGACCATGCAACTGACATCGTATCATGCCTTTTTCAGTAACAGCAGTAAAGCGATCATACACCGGATCAATCAGTTCGGTGACACTACCGGACATTCTCAGGGGAATGCGCTTCATGGAAGCGTCAATAAAGAGTTGCAGTCTGTTGGAGGCGTCCAGGAACAGGAGATCGCTGTAGCCGTCGCGCGTGGCATTAATAGGAACGGCAGATTTTGCTGGTATCTTCATCTCAATGCAATTACTCACTAGATGCGTGGCTTTACCCAGATTAATCACCTGAAGATGCCCCATGGAATGATTAACTATGCAAATCAGCTCTTGACCATTCAAATCATGAATCAAAAATGCCTCCGAGTTAACCTTTCTGCTTGTTTTCAGTTTGACTGGCATCCTGTTGATAAAGATAAATGAGGTTAGCTGGTTTCTCCCACTATACTTGACACAACACTAACTTGTAGGCTGGTTCTCGCCATAACAATCGAAGCGAAATCTCACTAGGATCCAGCATTTCGTTGTAAATATCTTTCTCTACTTCATTTGCATGCAGCACCTCTTCGTCTGATACATAGTCTTCATGAAACTGAGCATGTGATCGTGAAGGCGAGCTTATCTTCTGGTGATGCTGATGCTTTTTGTTTCGACTAACATTGGGCGGAGCTCCGGGTTTGAACTTTTTTCGTATGGTAGGTGCGGCATGGCTTTGGTGCGGCTTACGTTTGACAGGTGGTATCATGTTAGCTGGTGCTGGTATTGTTTGCTGGTTCTTCTCTTTGCGTCGTTCATAGGTCCAAATGTAGTGTCTATTCTCTTTGATGTTCAATGTCACAATGACGGGTAAGCGGCCAGTATCTGACACTTTAGTGGTGGCAAACAGCAATCGCTGTGGGCTTGTCAATGGTTCAGGCAATGTGGAGATGCCATTGTGATGGACATCCTTGGATTTGACAGGGCAGGCGCCTTTCAATGGGTGGGTGACAGTGACAAAAAAGGAAGAAGTGTCTTCAGGAGATGGTGGCTTCTTCACGCCAGCTGCCAGTGTGGCCAGATTGGTGATACTGTGTGATCGAGGACGGCCGGCTGATTTCTTCCACTTGTCAGGAACGTACTTTCGACTGACCAGAACACCCATATCTAGCGGCACTACATGGTCAATTTCAAAGGGTATATGAGCAGTAACGTGGATGCCATCTTCGCAGTGTAGCTTGATACAGTCTTCAAACACAATACATAATGTGCGTCGTTGCAAAGAGTCGTCTTTCTCTTCGATTTCGGGTATATTGTTCAAGGGTCTCAGTTGCTTCACTGGGTCTGTTTCATCCTCTGCGTCTTCTTCTTTGGCCGTTGCAGCGTTCTTGAGGTTGATGATAGACTGAGGTCCCTTTTTGTCCCAGTAGCCTTCTACCAAGTACTTGTCACCTTCAAAGTCGTTCAATACAGCGTCGATGGCAGGTTTGTTGGTAGGATCATTCTTGAAGAATGCTGATGTTACTGGGAACCATGCAAACAAGACTTGTTGGATCGGTTGGATCTCTGCACTATAATCAAATGTCTTGATCACACAGCCAGCTCGACTCCACACCACTGTCGATCCTCTGACATAGACCTCTTGCTCCAATTGCAACGCTGGGTTGTATAATTTGCCATTATCATACAGATTTCGTTCATCTAGGCGGTCGCCCACATCTATAGTAGTGTTGTCTTTGACGCTGAATAGCTTGTGCATTGTCTTTGGTGGTGGTATCGTTTTATTGTCCATGGTATCGATGGCTGAAAAGTCAATGACGGGATTTGCGTTGGATTCTTGGCCCAGATGAGGTTTGTTTTCTAGAAATACTTTGCCATAAGGCTCGTACCTGCCAAGCTCACTCAGCATAGCTTGAATAAATGTGATGTTAGTGGAGAAAAAGAATGAACCGAAGCTGTCGAGCCATATGCTTTGATTTGAAATATTTGTGTATGTACGCGCGCAGTCACCATAAAGTAGGTTGTGCAAAGCATAGACAATGAAATACATCCTGCATTAGCGAGATTGCGATTGTCCGCATTCAGACTTGATTTCATATAGAACAATGACTCGCAAGGGTTGTTAATACGCAATCAATATAAGCGATGTCTTGTTGCAGTAATGAGGATGCATAAATATGAAAACAGCCAAAATTCAGGCAACATTTGATGAAACCCAAGCTATTTCATGAGTACATTCACGACTAAATGTCCTTGAATTGGGTATTCTGATTAAAGACCCATCCTATTCGTGTGAACACCAGCCTTTCAACACAAAATACAAGCTTGGCATCTTTATTAGATGGCATTGCGTAGATGCCATACATATTGAGGGAAAACTTGCTCGCTCAAGGAGAATATCCATATTTGTCAGCATTTGCGGTTACAGCCATAGAAATCAGGAACAATCTAATATGCTCAAGATCATCTTTCTGACAGCTCCCTCGCAATCGAAAGTTAATTCATCTACTGGCATACCATACCCTTCTAATTTGCCGTACTATCCACAAAATAAGCATCATTTTGTCCCAAATCATAACCAACATCCTGCCCTAACAAAGCGCTATCCTAAGCAATCCTTCAAACCAAATCTCATCTATATCAAATCTTCGATAAAAAAGCGACTTGTGAAGTTAAAAAGAACACTGATTTATTCACTGCATCTTGAAGGCGAGTGTCAAAAAAAAACTATAAAATGGCCAATTGTTCATTGCGCGCGAGTAATTATATGAGAAATATCGTCCTTTTTTTGAAGCTTGTTTTTGATATTTGAAAATTGTACAGGAGAGAATTGTTGAAAGCTGAATTGAAATGTCGTTTCGAAAAGAGAAGTAGAAAGATTGAGAAGGAGGGTTATAGTTTGTCTAGATGTTTAAGCACGTCCACGGTCTCTTGAACGCTCCAAAGCTGAGAAATAATGGCATGTCAGCATGTGAGCAAATTTCATTATGTGCCTATTGTACTTACGGTTATAATGCAAGAGCTTTTCGATCAAGTCAACGTGGGTCAAGACCATACGTCTACAACAATAACGCTTGAGTCCAAGAGCATCCAATGCCTCACTAAATGAATACAGTCAACATTTGATTTACAGCCATCATAGTGTGCAATTCAAATTTACCCCTCAGTATATTCAGCTTGCAATAAAGACAAGTAGTTATCCCATTTGTTACCGATGACTTTACCACAAGAGAAACAACGAACAGGAATAATCATTTTGTAAAGATATTGAAGAGTAAAAGGCAATAGGATATCACGGAAAAAAAACATTTGAATTTGTAGTAGAGTCACGCAGTTTCCATAATGTACAACGCTCAGTGACCCTTAATCCTTTGGTAAATGAGCAAGTGGCTTTTTATTGTAGTTGATAGATATGCAAGGCACCATCATTGGATTTGCTAGTGCCTGCAGTGGCAATGTACAGAGCACCATCCATGTCAAATGCCTTTAGACTATTCAGTTTTCCTAATCCATCATCTAATTGGAGCATGCCAACAAGGGGTGCCTCTTGGTTTTTGTAATCCCACATGGTAACTCTGCCATTTGCTGCTCCTGAGATGAGCAGAGACTCGTCACTTGTCAAAAACGATCTGGTAATATGCATGAATATTGATATCTCGGCCGAGATCAAATACCGTATCACTTACAAGCAATTCACCATGGAATTGTGGCCGTTTTCCAATCTGATCTCTCGCAGATGTTTCTTTTGCTTCTTGTTGGGTGGTGCTAGTAATTGAATTGTTGAATCGCCCAAGCTGGCTGCCACCCATTCACCGTCGGGAGAAGTGGCAATCTTGTACACAAATGGAGGATTGAACATTTGAGTTGCTGAGGGTTCCTTGGGTGCTAAAAAGATACTTGGTCAATGTGACATGCGGCCCACAAGATGTATATTGATGCGAAACTCACTCATGTCGTAGATGTTTGTTGGTAGACCTCGAGAAAAATCCCATTCATACACTTTACTGTCCATGCCTCCAGACCAAACCTCCCAAGATTTTTTGGCCCTGAACTTGGCAGACATGCAGATCTATCAATTATGCTGGTTTAGTGGACTGATCTCATGTCAGGAGATAATTGGCACCATACACTGCTGTGCTTTTTGGATGTTTTCTTGTAGATTTTGTGGTTACTCAAGTCGACTGTACAACAAGATGTTAGTTACTTTTGCTTTATGATCTATCAGAGCCCTTACCAATGTTGACAACACCTTCATCATCTGCAGTTGCTAAAAACTTGTTGTTCTCGTTGATGTCAATCTATAACCGGAAGGCTGATCTGTCAAAATCTAGCAATGTTCATGCATCTATGCAAACGTACACTATTGATCTCATCGTTGCTAAACTCATAAACTTGAATCGGCTCGGTAATAATGATGCCTTCTGATCTGAGGTCATAGATCAAAACCTACATGGCTGCATTAAGACAGCTGCAGAATTGGGGTCTTTGCTATAGTTACCTTGTTTCCCGATGACAGGTATATGTATGGCTGATTTTTTCTAGCAAACTTAATGCTCGTTACCTTGGAACCAAACTAGTGGTTAACTTTATTGCTTTTATTTTGATACAATTCTAGTATGTACTTACTGGAGCATCAAGGTTTTTGATGCCCTTGAGCACCTTTTTCGACTTCAAATCCCATATTCTGCAAGTGCTATCCTCTGAAATGCCAAATGTTAGTAACGATCATGTATTTTGACATATCATATCATTTACCAGATCCAGAAGCAAGTAGATCTTGACCCAGAAATGAGTTTTTGGCGTACTCAACGGTCAGTACGGCGGCCTGATGTCCTTTGAGGCTGTGGAGTGGATGGATGCCTTTGATGCTCATGATTTACAAGTGGCTGATACAAAAGACATCCGCCCATTTGGGATAACCATTTCCAGGAAAAAATGTCAAACGGTGACTGTCTAAACATGAAGAAAAAATATCGAAATCAATAAAAAAAGCTTTTCTTCTTTCCATTGACAACGCTAATACAACCATCATGGAACATCGTCATAGAGCTGGTAGTTCTCACCAGTCCAACAAGCCTTTCAAGAGCCGTCATGCCTCCAAAGGTGCATTGAGAGAAGCCTCCAAGGGTAAAATCAACCGCAATGCTGTCAAGCAAGGCAACAATGTCAAGACTGTCAGCAAAGCCGATCGTCGCCATGCCGCCAAGATTATCCAGCAAAAGAAGCGTGAAGACATTACTCGTATCAGCCGTATCTTTGAGGGCCGCCAAGGTGCTCCCAAGATTATTCCTGTTTTGCCATTGTGCCCTGACAGCGATGTGGAGGCAGCCATTGAAGCCATCTACCGATCCCTTGCTCTTGAAATGCCCGCTCATGCCACTCAAGAAGCCACCATTGTTAATGTGGAACGTTTCAAGCAAAAGATCCAGTTGGTGCCTCTCAAGCGTAACTTTATCGATGTGATTGATGCCTTCAAGGTTGCTGATTTCGGCATCCTTCTTATGTCGGCCGATGTCGAAGTGGATCAATTTGGTATCAACTGTCTGCTCGCCATTCTCAACCAAGGTATCGTCAATGTCGTCCCTGTCGTTCAAAACATTGGGAATACACCTGTAAAGCTTCGCACCAGCACCAGAAAGTCATTGACCGCATTTGTCCAGCAATTCTTCCCTGAAGAAGAGCACTTGTTCACTTTGGATACCGATGCCGACTGTATCAGTGCCTTACGTTTCATCACAGCACAACGTCCCAAGCCCATGTCATGGCGTGATAACCATCCTTACATGCTGGCCGAGCAAGTGGAATTTGACCCCACCTCTGCTGAAACAGGTACCTTGAAGGTCACTGGTTATGCTCGTGGCAATCCCTTCAATGCCAATCGTTTGGTTCACTTGCAAAACTTTGGTGATTTCCAAATCCAACAAATCACCAGTGCCAATTTGTCCACCAACGCATCTGACATGCAAGAAGATATTGAAATCATTGATACCCCCAAGCCTGAAGAGCAAGACGATTTGATTGCTGAGAACGAGCCTGATTTTATGGATAACGAGCAAACATGGCCTACAGAAGAGGAATTAGCTGAAGCAGATGCTCGTGTGCGTCGTATGCGTAATTTGGATGGCGAGGAACAAACCAAGAAGAGAGTGCCCAAGGGTACATCCTCTTACCAAGCTGCTTGGATTTTTGACGATGATGATGCCGAGTACAGTGACGTGGAAGAGGAAGAGGAAGACGCTATGATGGAGGAAGAAGACGACGATGATGTTGTTCAACCTGCTGCCAGTGCTTTTCTTGACGATGACGAAGAGTATGAGGAAATTGATATGGAGTCCAAGGATACATACAAGGATGAATTCGACGCTGAGGAGGAAGCCAGACAGTATGAGGAGTACCTCAAGAACAGACAAAAGGAATTCGAGAACCACAATGATTTCCCCGATGAAATTGATACACCCATGCACATCACAGCCAGAGAGCGTTTCGCTCGTTACCGTGGTCTTCAATCCTTCAGAACTTCGCCCTGGGATCCCTATGAGAATTTGCCTATTGACTATGGCAGAATTTTCCAATTTGAAAACTTTGGTCGCACCAAATTGCGTGTAGTGAGTCAAGCTATTGTGGGTAATGTGAAGCCTGGTAGAAGAATTACTGTCTGGATCAGCAATGTGCCTCTTCAAGCTTATGGTAAGTCACTCCTATAGAGTTTTGCGAGATCACCAATTAACGGATTTGCTTGCAGAGGCTTACGATCGAACCAGACCCTTCATCTTATTTGGTCTTTTGCAATACGAACACAAGATGTCCCTCATCAACTTGCAAGTGCAACGTGACAATGCATATGAAGAAACCGTCAAATCTAAGGATCCTATGGTCATGCACATGGGCTTCAGAAGATACAATGTCAAACCCATCTACTCTCAAAATACCAACAAGGGCACCAACCATGTGCATAAATTCGAGAGATTCATGAAGATGGGCCGCTCCTATGTCGCTACTATCTATGGACCTGTTGTGTTTGGTAAAATGCCAGTGATGTTTTACAAGGAAACCGACAATGTGAATGGTACGTTGTATATTATGCAGCTGGTTGAACTTGATACTCATTTGAACACGATTCTACAGAACCGATTTTGGTCTCTTCAGGTACATTCATGGATGTCGATGTTAAGCGTATTATTGCCAAGCGTATCATCTTGAGTGGTCACCCCTTCAAATGTCATAAGCGATCAGCCGTTATTCGATTCATGTTTTTCAATGTCGAGGATATTTATTGGTTTAAGCCTGTTCAACTCACAACAAAATACGGTCGAGTGGGCCATATCAGTGAATCACTGGGTACACATGGTTACATGAAGTGTATATTCGATGGTACTTTGACACAGCAAGATACCATCATGATGTGTCTCTACAAGCGTGTTTTCCCCAAGTGGAACACTGAAATTTATAGAGGTGGTTTAGACAAGTCTGTGGAACAGTCTTCTGTGGTTAAGAGTACAGCTATGGAAGAGTAAATTTTGAAATACATATACACACATAATGAAGCATTTAAATAAAATAAAAATTGAAAAACAAGGTATTCGTTTATCCATCTTTTTTTTTGCATTTGCATTTGCAAGGAGGCCATGGAGATGGGATCCTTGTTTATTTATGTATAGCATCTCCATCAAGAAGGACGACGTTTCAAAATGGCTCTTTGATCTGTGTATTTTCTATTACTGATGGATACTCTATGAATCAATGAAATCAAATCATCGCTCTCGCTGAATACATGGAACAAGAATAAACCCCTTTCTTTGGTGGGGCGATAATTCAAATCTTTGTTCATCGTACTCTTCTGCAATCTTGAAAAAGCAAGATGATTTTGCTACCAGCTCTGTGGTATCGATTGCTAGCTGTTCAGAATTACCTTTGCCGCATATATTTATTTGTTGTAATGGCTGATATAGATTCTATTATATGCAATCAATCTAATCACAAGATTTGACGCGTTCAAAGGTATCGAAAGTACTGAATAAGCTTTGCTACTCTAGTTTAAAGCTCCCAAATTTTCATAGAAGGAGGTAATCACTCTTTGAAGTAGGAGTACTGAACTATGCTTGTACACGATTGGAACTGAGAACAATTCCAGAATGTCTGCATAAGGCAAGTAAGACACTCTTTCGACTCTTTCATCAGAATGGTTCAATCCTAGTCCATTGCTTAAAGCCCAATTCACCTGCTTCCTTTTGTAATGAGAGTATTATTCAAGTACTACTCTAATTCCACTATTAAGATACGCGCTCCCATGTCTACTGCAGTGAGAGGTTTCAGAATGCACAACGACAGAAGTTGGGGTTTTATATATATATATATATATATATATATATATTGAGAAGAATACAAGCGAGGCTTGCCATGAGATTTTAGCCAACCTGTATCTAGATGATCGGATGAGATCTGCCATCCTGATTTTCTTCAGTTGGCAATTCGAGTCTTTGGCTGGGATGCAGAGGTTTTTGCAATTATGGCTCATCTTGAAACAGTAGAATATACTCTGATTCTTGAAGTTTCTAGACCAAGACTTCGCATTTATTATTCACCTTTTCAATTGAGGCAACAGCCAACAAATCAAGCCACTCGAAGTGTACAAATATAATGTGGTTGTAATCCTTGTAGCTGCTTGCGCACTAAGCTGAATGCCTAATGACCCAGAGTAGATATCATACTTTACCACAAGCAACTAATTCAACATTTGATATCATAGGTCTTCATTAGGGTTTTACGTAACGAAGCAAACACGCAAAACCATAGTGATCAAGTAGTAAGTTTGTCTTTTCATTTTCATTATTAATAAGCTTATCAACAGCATAATGTATCAAAATTTGCATGAATTAGTTTTACCAGAATTAATTTGCCTCCTATTCAAAGTAAAAATTGCACAGGCTGCAGAACTGCCCTTCTAGGGATTTCAGCTACTAAAGATGTGATTCATGCCGTGTAAATAAAAGCTATAAAGCAGCACATAACCAAATTTGACAACTTTCAAGTCTTCATATCTTGACATGTAGGCCTTTTTGAGCCACCGGAATGATGCCAAACAGTTATACTTGAGTAGTAGTAACTTTCTGACACCTTTGCTCAACTTTTGAAGACCCTAAAAAAAAATGGCCAAAAATCGACTAAAAAGCATGAGGGGTACCTCATTTCATATTTTCTAAAATTGCTCAATAAGTTCAGTCAAAACATCTACTGCAATTAGCACCATTGGAAGCGTCTTGGTACTCTTAGGATGTATTAGGAAGCATAGGGTGATCATCACAGTTTATATAGTCGAATATCACAAGACAGATTACAGAAGTCGAAAAAAAGACAAAATCTGTCCAATCTTGAAAAGAAACAATAAGCTGGATTTGAATCAATTTTGGCGTGCGGTGCTGCTGCTGGCTGACCCAAATGCCTTTCTGTTGTTGATGACAATGATGATTGCGATGCTGATTAAACGGGGATCATGAATTTGGAAGGACAATCGATTAGTCAAAATACTTTTTTGAGGAGCTTTGCCTCTTAAAAGTGTCTTTTGCAATGACAACCTCTCAAAAAAAAGTCGCTGTAGATCTGATAGAAGAACTGTATTTACTCATGAGCAGCTTATGTTGCCATCTAGACAATTCTACCACCAAAAAATGTGGCATGAACAGAGATTGTGGTATACAAACTCTGCATAGGGATTGAACTCTCTTTCACATCGTCTCAGTAGTAACCTTCTTTTGATATCAGTGTATAAGTAAAGAGGATTGCTGGGAGAGGAGGGGGGCTGATACCTTCCTCTCCTGACTCTGATATAACCTTTCTTTTACTATTAGTTGCTAGTTCACAATCTACTTGATATACCAAATTTTTATTATCTTTAATTTGAGATGTCTTCGGTGAGAGGCGGCAGGGCGACGCCGTTATCGGGGCGTAGCCAGATAGATCGGCTGACAATATACTGAAATACTCTTACGAAAAAAATGTTGTCGCAATCAATCAGAGGCATATAACTTTAAAACATTGAGCACCGGACAAGGCTCTAGAAAACCTTTGTTCGCATTTACAAGTATGCTCTTGAGATCCTGAGCGAGCTAGAAGAATGGCAAGACTGAAATCATATTAATGAGGATATTCACATTCGACTAAATCTTCAAATGAGATTGGAGCTAATTGTTGAAGATAGACGCAACCATCATTTCCGATGAATATTTGGATATAGGTCTTGAATACATTCTTACTACAGACTAAAATAGCTTTTTATCCAGTGGTAATAATCTCTTTTGAACGAATCAATGAAACACTTACTGCCTACATGCCATGTAGGTATGCTGCAAATCATGATTAGGAATCTGCGACTACACATATCTTGTCGGTGATCCAGACTGATTAGCGTTGTCAGATATGAAATACTCCAAAAAAATGTTTAGAGTAAGCGATTGTCCTTCCAAATTCATGATCCCCGTTTAATCAGCATCGCAATCATCATTGTCATCAACAACAGAAAGGCATTTGGGTCAGCCAGCAGCAGCACCGCACGCCAAAATTGATTCAAATCCAGCTTATTGTTTCTTTTCAAGATTGGACAGATTTTGTCTTTTTTTCGACTTCTGTAATCTGTCTTGTGATATCCGACTATATAAACTGTGATGATCACCCTATGCTTCCTAATACATCCTAAGAGTACCAAGACGCTTCCAATGGTGCTAATTGCAGTAGATGTTTTGACTGAACTTATTGAGCAATTTTAGAAAATATGAAATGAGGTACCCCTCATGCTTTTTAGTCGATTTTTGGCCATTTTTTTTTAGGGTCTTCAAAAGTTGAGCAAAGGTGTCAGAAAGTTACTACTACTCAAGTATAACTGTTTGGCATCATTCCGGTGGCTCAAAAAGGCCTACATGTCAAGATATGAAGACTTGAAAGTTGTCAAATTTGGTTATGTGCTGCTTTATAGCTTTTATTTACACGGCATGAATCACATCTTTAGTAGCTGAAATCCCTAGAAGGGCAGTTCTGCAGCCTGTGCAATTTTTACTTTGAATAGGAGGCAAATTAATTCTGGTAAAACTAATTCATGCAAATTTTGATACATTATGCTGTTGATAAGCTTATTAATAATGAAAATGAAAAGACAAACTTACTACTTGATCACTATGGTTTTGCGTGTTTGCTTCGCTACGTAAAACCATCTTAAGGCCAGTGTTACCAAATGTTGACCTGAAATCACAACGCACTCAATCCACAGCCAAGTAGCAGGCAAGAAATCACTGGAATTAGATACGTTATGTTCTTGGAAGGGAGGCTTTTAATCTCTGTTTTGGCTACAACGACGCTTTTATGTTCAAGTTTTCCAGTATATATATAATGACTTGTCCTTTGTTTGCTTTAAATTAGTCCTTAAATAACTCCAAGACACGAAGAAGGAGCAATTCAAGTTGTGCTCCCACATGTCATCATCTCAAGCATGAAGAATCGAATGAGCTTTTTGAAACTCAACATCCAAAGATTTAAGTTACCATCTCGAATTCCAATCACTTTTTCAAACTCTTAAACTATCAAAATGAACAAAGCTATCATTAGCTTGAAAAAGCAGTTGCGCAAAGACATGGCCTCCCGCCTAGGCTCAATTGGCACGGCCGAGCTTAAGAAGCAATGTTGGTAGTAGCATTTGCTGATGATGAATGTTGAGTACTAAACTCTCCCCCTTGCAGCCGAATCAGTGAGACAAAAGTTACAAGAGATGGATGTGTTTCGTGCTAGTAAAAATGTCAGTATTTATATCAGTATGCCAGATAGCGAGATTATCACCACAGACATTATTCATGATTTGCTCAAATCTGGTAAGCATAGTCATCAGAACCTGTGAACACGCTGCTTACTTGGCAAACAATAGATAAAAGGTGTTTTATTCCTCGCTGCACAAAGAACAATATGGACATGGTCGAAATTCTTGACATTGAGGATTTTGAATCACTTCCATTGAATAAGTGGAATATACCTGAACCCCCTCTTGACCAGCCTCGATCTGATGGTACAAGGAGCAAACTGTAGAGGAAATCAGCATGCATATACTAATGTGATTTGTAGCAATCGATGATAATTATGGCAACGGATTAGACCTCATTCTGGTCCCAGGTGTAGCATTTGACAAGGAACGAAATAGAATTGGGCATGGAAAAGGGTAATTAAACGCATGACAGAAAAAAGATGATGATGACTCACGTAGCTCTAGCTACTACGATCGCTACATCAAAAAGTGCAACATTTGGGCAGATGAACATGGCATTGACCGACCTAAAACGATTGCTTTATCCTTGAATGAGCAGATTATGAATGTGGGGGACATTCCGCTCGAGGAGACAGATGAGAAACTAGACTTTGTTTTGACACCTTCAACTATATTTTGAATGATATTTTATTAAAAATGGGAGATATGAAAACAAAACTGTGGAAGAAGCTACATCCATAAGACGTTGATAAACAAAAAGGCTGTTTTGTAGTGTATATATTATAGATTTCGTTTTATTATTTAAAATGATGATGAACTGACCTATATTGAAGTGATTAGTACATGTGGCAAGGCAAACTTTCTCTAACAACTTACTCTATCCTTGATGTGCTGTAAGAATTGCTGGTAGCTCATAATGTTGTCAGTGCGATCTTCAATCAAATGGGCCAAGAACCATAATCTGAGATAGGGGTCGCCATCTTCCTTGACCAAATAGAGAGTAGGGTAGTAGTTACCGCGACGCATTTCCCTCAGCTTGCCAATGAGTGTATTGACCTTTCTGTTGAGTGGTGTCCCCAATGTCGGCAAGGTGATTTTACCACCCTTGAGTCCTTCATACGATCTAACATCAAACAGATCTGCACAGAGTTGAGGAACCACATTGCGTCCAACCCACAAGTAGATATTCTGTCCATTTTCCAAAAGATAACAACCGTGAACCTCTAAATTTTCTGCTGTCAAGTTCAAGGCAGGAGGGAATACAACACCATTTTCTGAGAATTCTCCAGCGTCAGCAGGCATATTGTGTAAAGAGTAAAGGTTGGCATAGAGATATGGGATCAATAGTTGTAAAGGCATAGTGTTGATCATATTCATAGCGTTGGATCTCATATCAGTAGGGATCTGAGAGCTTTGACGTAGAGCATCGTGCTTGATCAAACCAAGCGCAAACAAGGGGAGCAATTTGAGATTATCAGGTGCTGTCAGTTGAGGAGTCGATCCCTGGGCCGAACCCAACACATGAGTCTTGTAGACACCCATCAGATCAACTAGTTTGTTCACGATAGCATCACGAGCATCATCCAATTTAGAAGACAAACCACGTTCGACAGCTATTTCAAAAACAAGATGTTAATAGGTGCAAGCGAAACTAGTATCATGAAGATGAATTTACCCTTGACAGCGAGATAGGCAGTGATGGCTTGTTGGTTAGCACTGGCATACAGTTCGGAAATAGAGTTACTGACAGGTAGACACATGGTGATGACGCGGATACGTCTTTCACCAGTGCAAGAGGTGTGTAGCAAGGCAGTTTGGAAGCAAACGGTAGGTACCTTCAAATCGTCCTCCATGGCCACTTCTACTACGTAGTTTTGATCGCGAGGGACATTGGGGAGAGCCAAGAGATCAGATGAGCGAATAAAGAAGTTACCATGGAAAGCACTCATACGCAAACCACGAGAAGCACGAATACGAATGACAGCCTCCAAACCAATTTGTTCAGCCAACAATTCAGAGAATTCATGAGCAAATTTGAGCGCATCTTCGGAGCGACTAGCATTGAATCCAGGATAATAGTAAGTTTGACCACCGGTATAATGAGGCACACAGCTTAGAGTAGCGACATCAGAGTATTGACCTCCAAAGATAATCATATCACAAGCAACTTGAGAGCGAGAGCAATCGACAGCAAACGACTTGTAGAAGGGAGAAGCAGCATTCAAGAGCGTAGATTCCTTGGAAGTACCGAGCAATTTGACGTCTTCGCGAGGCTTCAATGATCCAGTGCCCGTGTTGGGTAGAGTGGATTGCAAGCAAATAATCTTACCACCGACAGGAGATAACAGCTTGAAAGCGGCTTGCAGTGCTGTGCCCAAAGCATTGTTGACATTGACAGAGTCCTTGAACATGTCGGGCAGCTTTTCTAACAGCGTTTTGAGGGTGGACATGCTTTCAGTCAAGTTGGCTAACAAGTCAGAAGGCTGAGGCAAGTATATATCATCCAAATCAGAGACAATCAACATCTGTGGTTCGCTGAGTTTTGAGTTCAAGTTGTAGAAATGGAGGGATGAATCGACAGTGATGATACCGACACGGGTGCGATTTTCATTGTTGGGTAAGCGGTCAAGGGAATCCAGAATGGTGCGGGCAGCAGTGGCCAACATGCCTGATTGAATAGCAGAGTAAGACACATCAATCACGAATACGAATGAAGGTGCTTGTGGAGGTCGAACCATGTATTCAGTGGGCGCAACAAACTCGACACAGCCGTAATTCAATTCAGGACGCTTCCAACGATCAGCTGGCTGTTGAGTCTGGTTGTCGTAGTCAAAGGCTGCTGGCACATCGTTCAACAAGAAACACATGTTACACTTCCAACGCTGACCGCCTTCCACAAATGTCACAAAAGGGTTGATATATGTTCTACAACGTCTGCATCTTGCAATGACACTATCCTTCACAACGGGTACAGGCTCCTACACGCAAAAACATAAGTATCAGCATGGTTGTCTCGCATCTGTCATTCTCGTAACGTACATCTCCCTCCTTTAAGCTTCTGTAAGGCGCTAAAACAAGAGCAAAGGGCAATCTGGACTTCTTAAGCAAGGATTCTGTTGCAGGGATCGCGTTAATGGTAGCGCATTGATAAGATGTATCGCAGTTCACATGAGGAGAATCTGTTACGGAAATCTATATTTCAAATAAAACCATCAGTATCACAGCCCTTTCTTGTTTTCCATCCAAATAAAACAATACTACGTACATTAGGTGGCAAGCGAATGGAGGGTCCGTTGTATCCAATATCAGCAATTTGAGGACGAGCTCCCAACAAAGGTACAGCAGGAGTGACCTAGGCCTCATTGTTAGCCGCGACATTCTAATAACGTATACACAACGACTACTTACGGGAGGAGCAGCACCCATACTCATACTACCAAACTGAGAGGTCATTTGATTTACAGGATCTTGTCCATACGCGTTGTAAGCAGGCTGCTGGAGTTGTTGAGGCTGTTGTTGACCGTAAGCAGGTTGCTGTTGCTGAGGTTGAGCATAAGGTGTGGTGGCAGCAGGCGTGCCCATGGGTGAAATAAACTGTGATTGCACTTGCTGGCTAGCCATTGCTGAAGATCCATAGGCTGGTTGTTGTTGTTGAGGTGGATAGCCAGGAGATACAGGAACATCACCAGAATAAGCCTTCGTGATTTGCTCAGGATACATTCTCTTTCTTTTATGGTGCTCGGCAGGCAAGTTTTGAGTCGTAGGCGACATTGGAGGCTCTTGAGGTAATTGCTGTTGTTGCTGAATAGGAGAGGCAGCAGCAGCGGCACCGGGAGAAGCTACCACAGGGCGAGGGCCAGGCGACTGCATGGGCGATTGGCCTACAGGTCTCATCATAGGCCTTTGTTGATTAGGATTGAATCCAGGACGAACATTACCACCAGCAGCAGGAAATCCCGGTTGAATGGGAGGTGTAGAACCATTGGGAGGCAGAAATCCCGGTCTAGGAAGCCCAGGTTGCATAGGAGGACGATAACCAGCGCCTGGTGGTGCTTGTTGAGGTCTGAAATTCATGGGACGAGGTTGAGATTGACCTGGGAGAAGAGGAGGTCTTTGCAAAGGTTGTGAAGCAGGTGATTGTGGCTGCTGTTGCATAGAGAGTGTATATACTAGTTTTCAAAAACTTCGTAAAGAGAAGAGAAAAAGGGCTTTTTCCCTTTTGTTGGACCCGCCTCTATGAAATAACGACCGATTTTGGGGGGTACACACAAAATGAGAGAAGCGTATACAGCAAGGTCGCGTTTCATTGTCATGATTGTGTCAGCAATTTGGAAATGGATAGAAAGATTGAACTCTGAACTGTATATTGGCCATTGATTTTGTCTGGTACTTTCATGTATTGGCCAATTTCTTGATATAAAGTGGTCGCTTTCATGTATATATTCATGAGCATCATCGACGTGGCAACAAGTGACGCACAGAGCTTCTATTGGGTCTTTGTTGAACAACCGCATTCAGAAAGTACATTGGGCAACTCTCACCAATCAACTGCTTCCACTTTTTTGCTGTAAGTGCCCTTGAATCAAGCATTTGAAAATTGCAAAGAGCAAGATTGATGATACGAATAGCTGTTCTCCATCACAGTCTGTGAACTGGAGAGGTGAATGCACTTTCTATGTTGGCATTGAATCCATGATTCCAGACGGTGTCGCGGTGCAGATGAGGAATCAAAACTCAAAGTGATTTACTAGAGATCAGAATTGACATCAAGCGCATTCCATGCTATTACTGCGCACTTGCATCCATTGTCTTATTACATGAAATCAAAACATGCCAGAGCACTTGGAATGAGAATTTCTTTGTGTGGTAGTCGAGCAGCATTATCATCTTGGCTGGTGTTGTGTGAAGTTACATTGATAAAATATAACAGTTCAACATCGTGTGTGATGTGGTTGAGCTGATGCATAACATCGACAGCGTTGGCATGGCATATCTGTTTATACAGCATGCGTTTTTAAGATAAATCCCTGGAATCACTTAATAAAGCGCGAAAGTGCTGCTCAAATTGCCACGTCCAGTGCTGAATATATCACAATTTTGTCCCTGAAACCAGACTGCAAGGCATACCTCTAACTCTACAAGACGCACTACATCCAAATCGAGCAATGCAGCATGCTCATACTACACATAATATCAACTTTGCCGCTCTTGAGTCAGTATTAGAGTAAATGACAGCCAAAGCTGCCGTTATTGAGCTCCCTATATCTTTGTTTGTAGGCCGTTTTAGATCGCCAGAGTGGTACCAAACGATTGCTCTTGACGAGTTCTTGATTGCCGTAGCAATCTCTCTTTTTTTTGGGTCGAAAATCATTGACCAAAATCCACCCATTTTCCATGAGGGGTATACCTTATGGTTTTTCCCGAAAATCAATCAATTGCATTTTTCATCTCAAAAACGACGTCTTTTATTATGACATGCATTAGTAAAATAAAGAGCCAGGAAGCTAATCTAACATGTGAAATTGCCATTTTGAGCAATTCTTGATACGAAACTTGAGTTTACGTCTAAATAAGCTTTTGTTGTTTTTGCCAACTTAGGAGGTATTTTTGGTGAAATATAGAGAATTTTTACCACCATTCGATAGAGAATTTAAAGAAGTACGTGAAGCTATTAATAAGCTTGGTAGATTTTCTATAGCGTTTATAGAGTTATTATCGATAGGAATATTTTTTTGTCAAATTATTGAGACTATCGTTTACAAATTTGATAAAAAGTCGGGCGAGGTTTAAATCCCCTTTCAGGCACTGGAGAATCTTATGCTTGAAATCATGAATAAAAATCGATAAATGAAACGCCAGTAGTGATGCATTGAAAGGCGGGTATTACCAAAGCGTAGCCCAGGTAGTCGCTTACAGCCAAGTGTTGTTTCTCTGTAATAATGATATGTTTCAGTCATATAAAAGAACTTCCAAAATAGGCTTCGCGCAAGATATTAGACTTCCGTAACCTACACACTTTGAGTGTAAGCATGTATTTTTTCAAGGTACTCCAACGCATTTTGATGTTTAAAGTAGTAAGAGCAACCAATAAAATAAGCTGCCTCATGATGAAGTGGCTTCATTTATAGCTTCACTATAAAACCTTATTGAATAGCAAGTAACAATTTCAGACACGCTTGATATGGTCAGAAAATCATACAAAACGGCTGGGGACCATGTTTGCTAGACCTGGCAACACATTTAAATACTTTTATATAGCATTTACTTGATAGAATCTTATTCATGCTATATTTCATGCGGTCATTCATGTGTTGGAGATATTAAATATGCTAAAAAATGTGTGTTCTCAACAACGCATTTGTGTGAACCCAACGCATTTGTGTGAACCCAACGCATTGGTAATTTAGACTTGTAACGTCAACAGTGGAATGATGTGCGCTCAATATTTATGATCCGAATGATGTCTAGCCTGATTCACATGAAAACGCCTAAAACATGCAAAATACGTCAACTAGACATATTTGACGAATGGCGACAACGATTATGACATGCAAGAAATTCTGGCAGACTCAACTTGTTACCAAGACCTTTCACAACTATTTGCATAGTGACAGTCAGAAATACTTTGCTCACCGTGGCCCAACTAACAACAGACGTTCATAAGCTTGTTCATATTGTTGTGATGAGAACTCGTAAAACAAAAACAATACATACATCATCGCACACATTTCGCTTTTTCTCCCCCCCCCCCTTTTTTTTTCTTGCATGGTAATACGAAATATATCAGGATTTATGGAATTAAAAAGATATCGATGATGTATTGGTCACACAGTGTATTTTTGTCATTTAAATCAATTTAGTTTGTAAAATCTGATGTGAAAAAAAAAGGGATCTGGAGTGGGAACGGAAAGAAGCTCCATAAAATGTGCTTCATGTTAGCTTTTTTCTTAAAAAAAAATTAGTAAAGAATGTTCCAGTAAGTTTAGAATGTATATGCATAGTCAAAATGTCCTTGATAGCAAAGGGAGTAACCATGACTCATAACCAAATTTGGTATATTGAAGTATATCATTTATTGATTGAAAGAGAGATATTGACAGAGTTATGTATGTATAGTGTTGTAAAAGGTATATGCGAAAAAGCAGAGATCAACTGCAGGCTTCTTTTTTGTAATCAGTAAGATGGGAATAAGTCGTCGTCCTCTTGATGTGAGGATGAAATGTAATGTACAGGTACAAACGGCATTGTGAGTGGTAGCGTCGAAAATGCAAGTGCGGATAGCGGTAATGCTGCTTCAGAAATCTCACTTGACAGTTGCCATTGGGAAGGATGAACGCCGTTTCTAGGACAAGATGTCTGATGAACAATGACCATGTTAATGGGTCTGTCAAAATATACACACACACACACTATATTCGCATTCAACTCACTTGATGTTGGGGGAGCCAGTTGCCGCATAATTCGCAAGTTGCAGGACAGGTTATAATAGTAGGTTGCATAGGAATTGGAGTATAGTTGTGTTTATTAGCAGGAATATAAAGAAGAAGAGAGGAGCATGCAAAAAAGACGCTTGTATTTATACACAACTCAGTTTCAAATCGCACTGTTATTTTGCAAGTGCTTTAGTATTACAAAGTTATGAGTATATCTTGTTCTACATTGATTTTATTTCATTCTTTTTGCTATTTACAGTTAGTTTCATTCAAAGGAGAGAAATTCGATTTTAAAGGCCTCTGCCAGAGCCTCCAAGACGGCCTCCTGATGCCGCTGCTGGTGGCGACGATGATTCCTCCATCATCATTGGGTCTCTATCCAAAGCTCCAAATTCGTTCATGGTCTCATCATGAAGACGAGTGAATCTTTTGCCCCCATTCTTGAATTTGCGAATGATCAACACAATAACTGTTGCTAAGCAGGAGAGTGCGACAAGACCACCTGCAATGCTGATACCAATAATAGCACCCAAAGAGAGTTTATTGCTCAGGGCTTCCAATGTGGGGGTATCTGAAGCAGTATTGGAATAGGAGACACTAGCTGCCTTTTCCCAGCTGTTCAAGTTACATTGATAGCTATCTTGAGATGCTGTACGACTCGACTCGTTGTTGGCAAAGTCTCTGAGAAATACTCGGTTACGTGTTTTGAAATAATCTGGGAACTGTGCTTGAATCAAATCTTGAAGAACAAGATCGGGTCTTGCCATACCTCGAGTCCACCAATCTATGGGTGTTATTTGTTAATTACTGAATCGCATACACACATATACACACACATACACACACACATACACACACACACACACACACACACACACACACACACACACACACACACACACACACACACACACACACACACACACACACACACACACGGAACACTTACCTAAAGCACCATCTTTGGATACCAAATCAAGTCTCCATGCTTGCTTGTTTCTGGCGAATGGTGGGGCATCAACAGAATTGACGTATTTTCTGGTTTGCTTATACGTATCAGCCTGAGTGCTTGCGGCTGAACTGATCTTATCATCAGAGAAGCCCAACCAACTTTGCCAGTTTCCATAGGATGATCCAAATGCTGATGAAACAGTCAAATCAATCACGAGTGAGGAGTTTTGTAACTGCCCTTTCATGACCGAGGGATCAGCAGGTTGAAACACAGTTGGTACAATCAATTTGGCTCCGGCGTCACTGGTGAGATTCTGAAAGTATTGATCTTGCATGATATTGAATTTGGTGGAAGATGTGTCGTAGTCCATGAACGTAATGTTGCGCTTGTAACTGATGTGGTTGACAAGGCTGTCGCGGAAAGTGTTGTAGTCTGTGGCGATGTCTTGGTAGATGGTATCAGCCAATGCTTCTTGGTTTGTGAACAGAGCAATGTATTTCACCCATTGAGCATTCTAAAACAAGAATGAGCATATGCACAACAAGCCTCACCAAGACCAATTCATCATGTGTTGTATGTACTTACACCAAGTGGCGTGTTGGCATATCCCATACCAAGGCCAACGCCTTTAGGATCATTGTTGGGTGAAGTGGGGTAAATGGCAAGACCGTATTTCGTGCGATCCAAGTTGGGATCACTCAAATTGAAGTAGGCTGGTGTGTTCGTACTGCAGGGCGTTGTTACGTTGCTTGTATTTCCAACAAAAGCGACATTGTTACTTTGTCCGAGCAACTGTATCAAAATTTCGCGTTAGCCACACCAAAAGGAGGCTTTTACTTGTGTGATACAGCACAGGTTACTTACATCGAGAAAACCGAGTGCACGAGTGTCCACAGCTGCAAAAGACTTGACAGGCACTTGAATATACGTCTTTGATTGGAAGGTAGCTCCCAATGAAGGAGCGGATTTGGTACAGTAGAGCACATAGTATTCATCCAGAGCCAAATTATGAACCAATTTATAGGTGTTGGCATATGTCACATTGAATTGAGCGCTTGCATCTATTGTTGCTATTTAGCAATGACTCTCCCTCTCTCCCTCCCTCTTTCTACAGAGAATTCACTCACCCAATTTGCTAAAATCCAGCTTGTTTGGAAAGTAATCGTGTGTCGAAAACGAATCAGCCTCCAAACAATCGCCTGTATCCGTAGTGGAAGCTGTAGCGGAAGTAGCAGATGAAGATGTTGTGGTGGCAGCGACAGTGGTTGTTGTGGCGACAGGAGTAGCAGTTGTCTCAGCAGTATCAGTGGTTGCAACAACGGTGGTAGCATCTGTAGTGGCAGCAGCGGTTTGAGTGCCTTCTGTAGTGGCAACTTGACTGGTCTCTTGAGTCAACGCAATGCCAATCCAGCCAACAAGCAATAGATAAATGAATGCAATTTTCATGATTTCCACAAAACTAAGCAAAGAAAGAAAGAGAGAGAGAGAAGCGATAATTTGTGAGATGGAGTATCTATTTATAATCTGCAATCGTTTGAGAAGAACAAAGGGGAATGAAACCTTTCTAATTACTACAATTTACTTTTCTGAAGTTGCAGTATTATCGATTGCTTCCAGAATTCAAGTGCCTCATGATACGCAAGCTATCTCTTGCTGATTCACCAAGGCAAAGAAGCCTGTTTTCACATGTATGTTGCATTCAGTACAATGCGAGTAGGATGTCGAGAGATGCAATGATTGTTTTTCTTTATGGATCTAGGCTAATGCCGTCTTCCGGAAGAGTATTTGTTTATGTAACTGACAAAATCAATGTCTGGTCCTTTCCCAACTCAGGCACATCTCCGCCTCCTTTCCTCCGGCTTGTGCGACATTTGTTACTTGAGCGATCATACATTGAATTTGCCCTACTACATGCAAATGCTGGTTTTGTAATGTCCAATCTGGCAAAGTATATAATACAGAGGCCAACGCAAATCTTGGTTCATGATAGCTTCTCAGGAGAAGAAGCAGACAGACACAAATTGCAATTTATTAGATCAAATGTGGTACAGTTGTCCCATTATTGAGTGCGTCGTGCCACCAAAAGAGATAAACAGCCGTTAAAAATAGATTTGTCCAAGGAAAGCGTGTATGAAAGAGTCAGAAAAAGCTGATATGTATTTATAACGGCCAAAGCCACTTTCTATTGTTCCAAAAACGAATCATTTAATGAATCAGCCTGACATGCAGACATGGACATTTTCTGCATAAATGATCAATGCTTACACGAGTTCTGGACAATGATTTATTCTTGGTTTCTGTAGACAACCGCTTGAAAGATCGTTGATTGGGAAGGTGTGGAAGCGGTTTACTAGATGCTTCTTGCCAGCCCTGGCTCCCTAAGCCTGACGCCTTGATTTAGAGAAATTAGAGTTTTCATTTGATACAAGAAGAGCTATTTTTACATGTGTATTTATGCCAAGTGAGCTTGTATTCACCATATCGGAACAAGTAATGGTCAAGAGCTCCCGAAAACCACATCATTTTGCGACTTCGTCTCTTGCTTGTTTATTTCGAGAGAGCTCTCTAGATGAAAATTCGCATTGCTTTGAATATCCAATATACATATAACTCTCTAAGCCATCCTATTTTGCTTTAATACGCTCTTGATTGACTTTTAGATTTCGTAAGCATGCAAAATCGACGCAAAAACGCTTCAAATCGCTTTGATACATCCAGGTTCGCTAGACTAGAGATCATAGCATAGTTTGGCCAATATGCACTAGAGCCAAGCAACGCTCAAATACTAGCATCAAAGGATTTGCTCACCAGAAGGTGCTTGTTTCAATGTTGGATTTCAAGTTGGCTTAAATAATTAGCTATAAATGGCTCTTTGAGATGTGAAATGCTTAGTTAAAGCGTTGCTTCAGCCAACTATTTCATGTATTAATGCTTTGTCTTGCATCTATTAAAGACATGATATGTTTTCAGCCAATTTATGGCATGTCACTGATCAATATCAAAGTTGGAGTGTTTCACAGCAAGGTTCAAGTAACACAATTTCTTGTATTGTAGCTTGTAAATAGATTGTTTATACGTTTTGACAAATACTCCTTTTATAATGGTCATTGTGTAGTGCCTATTAATTGTAGGGAGCACCTATTCAGAGACATCTATAACAGCTTTTATCTTTTTTACGATATCTGATCGCTGATGCTGTGTTCATGGGCAGTAATCAGATCAATCTATGCACAACAAGCCACATATTTTGAGGGCCTGAACTGTCAAAACTTCAATTATCTCCCGCTTGAATGCTCGCCCTGGTATATTGATACTTTTTTCTTGCGATAATTTGCATAATGACAAACTGCAAAACCATACTAGCATCGAAAATAGCCTCAGGTTTTAGGTAAAATTAGTATGTGTTATAAAATAGGTCGGAAAGCCAACATGCTTGTATAGAAACCATATAAAAAAGACAATATCTACTCGCAAAATCCAACCTACATTAGTCGGATTTCTCGCTAATGAAGACCCTGCTGCGAAAAAGTATGCAGAATGGACAGCAAAATCCTGTAGCGAGACAGGCGTTCGATTCAATTTGATCACAGTTGATAAAGATACACTAGAGCAAAACATCATAGACGCAAATTTAGATAAAGACGTAAATGGGATCATGGTCTACTACCCAGTATTTGGAAATCACTTGGATCTGTATCTTCAAAATAGAGTGAGCCCACTTAAAGATGTGGAGGGCTTAGGCAGTGTGGCTGTCCGAAATGTATACCAAAACAAAAGATTCATGGACGACGATAAATCGATGAAAAGCATTATACCCTGCACACCCCTTGCTATCATCAAGGTAACACATGTTTAATTATGCACATGTTCAATCATTAAATCATAGTCATCTAGATACTAGAGTACATCAATCAATACAAGGCTACTTTGCCATACGGAACTCGCTTGAAGGATCAAACCATCACCATCATCAACCGTAGTGAGATTGTGGGCAGACCTCTAGCTGCCCTACTCGCCAATGAAGGAGCAACTGTTTATTCAGTAGATCAAAGCAATGTTCAGACATTTACAGAATTAGACTCAGAGAACAAATGCAAGACAATAGACACTGATCTAAAATGCTTTGATGTGATTCCTCAATCAGACGTCATTATAACAGGTGTGCCGGCTCCCAATTTCAAAGTGTCTACCAAGATACTGAAACCAGGCGTTACCTGCATCAACTTTTCTACATTTGCTAATTTCGAGCCAGATGTTACATCAAAAGCATCACATTTCGTCCCCTCTGTCGGTAAAGTTACTGTGGCCATGCTCGAGCGTAATTTACTGCGATTATATGACTATCAGCACCAAACGATGAAATCGTAAATGTACATTTATATTATATTTCTTTTTATTTGCGAATATATATAGTAAATTAAATTTTGAGAGAGAAATAAATCAACAGGATGAAACAAAAGAGTGTGTGTGATATGTAGAAAATAAAACAAAGGGGGGGGGGGGAGATAATGATAACAAGATGAATGGGTTGTGTACGGTAGCAAAAAATCTAAAAACGTTCCTTCATACGGGCAGAGATGGTACGAAGAGTGGCATACACCTTACCAGGAGGACTACCTAAAATGAGGCTGACCACAGCATCACGGGCAATTTTGATATTTTGGAAAGATCCAAGAATATGAATTTTGCTACAAAGCAAATGTTAATACCTCTAATCTTTCATTTTCGCTCATCAAATCACATACGTATCGGCCAAGACAATTCTCGTTTTGCTTGCATTTTCAATTGTGAATTTGGTTTTACCATCACGACCAGCGATACGACCGATAGCACGAGCTAAATGGTCACCGTGCAATGTCTTTACATCCTTGATTTCAAAAGTGTCCAAGAAAATATCGTCCAATCTCAACAATGCCATAGCGTCCTCCACCTCGAAACCCAAAGCAAAAGCTCTGAGGAAATCAGCACCCTTTTGTAACGATCCTTCATCTTCAGTTTGAGGCGAAGTCTACACAACAACCCTAATGTCAATTGGACTGTCCTTTTCCCTCCTCAAATTCAGTGTATAAACCTACCTTGAGTTCGACAGTTTTAGTTTTAACATTCATTCTAACTTGAAGCTTCATGTGCTCAACCAATGGTGAGTAAATTTCCAACCAATGTCTCTTTAAGGGGGACATACGATGAGGAGGGATGGGAATCTTGCGGGAACCCTTTACAACTTTCTATAGTGATGATTCCCGGGTTAAAACTATATTCTAGATTATACTCAAGCTACCCAAATTACCTTGAGTTCAGCAGCACTGGCAGGAGCAAAGTTAGGCTTATCGGAGGCAGTGTTATCCTCCTCCATAGCAACATCATCTTGATCTGCTGAGCGGCTTGGTAAAGCAGTGGCATCAATGATAACATCATCCTCATCGGCTTGTACTGTCTTTTGAGTCTTTTTGCTCATTAAGGTGGGCGCCTTGAGGTTTTGTAATGAAGCCATGATATTTGTATAGTTGATATCGAAAAGGTATTCTCCAAAAAAATTTGATTTGATGGCCATCAGAGCAAATTGAGAAAAAAGAAAAAAAAATAGTAATTGCCGTCACGAAAACCAGTCTCTGGATCAATCATGCCCCTTTGAACAAATGGCCATTAATGCGATGATTTGCTTTACTGTCAATATGGTATCAAGATTTGCAAAGTCGGTGAGATGCAGTAGTATACAGCTGAGGAGTAGAGTAAAGAAAGCGTACCTTGAAAAGAGCAATTTCAATTCGATTATCATAAACTGATATATAAGACGTTGTATGGCTTTGCAGCTATGGCAAACAGGCATTCCGATGGCATTTGTCTGCAGTGCGAAAAGACTACCTAAAAGCAAAATGAATTCAGTTTGATTTATTTACAGCATTTGCTACGTCTATCCATTTAATAGTAGACATGGCTATATGCTGTCTCAATGACGTTCAAAGCTCCAATCATTGATTATTGCATTTGACATCCCATCTACAGTATACGAAGGACTAGCCGATCTATCTTGCTACGCTCGATGTCGGCGTCGCCCTGCGGGCTCTCGCCAAAGACATATTAAATCAGATATTATAACATTCTGATACATAAATAGATTTTAAACAATCCATTCTTAGTAAAACAAATGTTTCATCAGCGCCAGGAGGAGGGGAGGAGATATTTCTCTCAGCATCGTTTTCGCTTACACTGATATCAAACGAACCCTATTACTGAGACGATGTGAAAGAAAGTTCAAGTTTTATGCAGCATGCGAACGACACAATCCCCATTTTCTGATAGTAGAATTGTCATACCATTCGCTGCTGCTGATGCTCTTAAGATGGCGACATAAAGCTGGTCATGCGCAAAATATAGGGCTTGTGTAAGTTTTCCAGCGGCTTTTTTAAGATATTGTTATTGCAAAAGACGCCTTCATAAGGCAAAGTTCCCTAAAAAAAAAGTATCTGGGGTAAGCAATTGTCCTTTCAACTCCATTGTCCCCTTTTAATCAGCATCGCAATCATCATTGTCATCAACAGAAAGGCATTTGGGTCAGCCAGCAGCAGCACCGCACGCCAAAATTGATTCAAACTCAGCTTATTGTTTCTTTTCAAGATTGGACAGATTTTGTCTTTTTTCGACTTCTGTAATCTGTTTTGTGATATTCGACTATATAAACTGTGATGATCACCCTATGCTTCCTAATACATCGTAAGAGTACTTTTCAAGACGCTTTCAATAGTGCCAATCGCAATGGGTGTTTTGAATGAAACGATTGAGCAATTTGGTAAAATACGAAATGAAGTTTTTGGCGAAAATAGCCACATTTTTCATATGAACACCTCATAAAAGTGGTTTCAGTGGTTGCTTTGAATCAAGAGAAACATTTTGATCTAATACATAGCATAGTAAAAGTCTTCATTTTCAAGGTGAAAAATGCCACCGTTTGATTTTCGACAAAAGCCATGAGGGGTACCTCATGGATTTTGGTTACGTTTTTTAGATCCTAAGAAAGTCGAGCAAAGGAGTTAAATAGTAAGTGCTAGCCCTGAGCAATTGTTTGGTGCAACTCTGGTGATCTGAAACAACTTCCAACATGAGAAAACGCGACTCAAATGCACTTTATTTTGTATACCTCTGACTAATAAGAGGCAATGTCTATATAATGTCTGTCCTTATATGAGTTGTTTCTGTTAAGATAGATATGTTAGAACATTGTAGGAGAGAATGCACCACATAATATCAAGACTATGTCGAAAACAGGACGCGATTATTACCCTATATGTGATAACCGTAGAGTAAATGTATATTTGCCTACTTTTCAGAATCAAAAAGGGATGATGATTGAATTAATAATTACAGTTTTATTTGGAGAGAAAGAGGGTTTGATTATGAGATGATACGGAAAGATAATAGTTATATAGAAGGTTTATAGGAATTATGTATAATGAAGTAAGGAGACCTAAATAAAGTGAGGAGCATTTGCCATGATAGCAAACATGAGGCCAGCAACAAGGCCAGCAACAGGCAAGGTGATGAACCAAGAAAAGAAGCACCAGGCAAGCATTTTCCAGTTGACAGCTTTGTAGCCGTTCGTATTACAAAAACCAATGGCTGCAGATGCACCAGTAATACAGTGAGTGGTAGATACTGGTAAACCAATTTGAGAGCAGGTAAGGACAGTAAGAGCAGCAGCTAATTCAGCACAGAAACCACGAGAAGGGGTGAAATAGGTGATGTTATTACCCATGGCGCGCATGACACGATAGCCCAGGATAGCAAGACCGAAATCAATACCAACACCACCATAGACAAGAATCCAGATAGGAATACCAACTTTACCAGCGACATCAACACGAGCATTGACCCAGACATCATAGATAGATGAGATGGGACCAACTGCATTAGACACATCATTAGAGCCGTGAGCAAAAGAAGCCATACAAGCAGTGATAACTTGCAAGAAAGAAAAGAGGTATTCAGCATCGTCTTCAAAGATTTCAGCATGGGCGTGTACGTGAGCAAGCTTTTCATTTTCCAAGTTACGCACATCTTGATTAAGACCATTCATAGCAACACCAACAAACTTGTCTTTAGCAAACTTGAGCTTCTGAGCAAAGGAACCACCCTTGGCTTCAGTGGGGGTAGCATTAGCGACATTTTCGTCTTGAACAACATCGCTGTCAGTATCCAACTTGTTTAACTTTTCGTTGATTTCTCCAGAGGGTACAACTTCGCTACCAACAGTGGCTTCATGGTCATTGGTAGCAGCAGTAGTAGAAAGGACAGAGGCAGGGCGAGAGTTGACACGTTCTTCAGCAGCGATGAGCTCATCAATGGTAGGCTGCTTCTTGAGAAGGAAAATATAGAACATGTGGTACAGCTTGAGGTTTTCTCTTCCCTTGATCTTGCGAACGACCCAAGGACAGAAGCAGAATTGACCAAAAGCAGCACAGAAGGTAGCAACACCAATAGCAATACCGACAATAGTACCAATGCTCATGTCTTTGGATCCACCACCGGGAGCCTTGTAGATGATGTAGAATGCTTCAATACCAGCAGTGAAGAAAAAGTAGAGGGGAACTAAGCGAACACCCCATTTAAAGCTCTCGGTTTGACGCAAGATGGCGTATTTAGTAATCATATAAATGATGGCAGCAACGACACCAGCACAGACAGGTGAGAGAAACCAGGAAGTGATGATTTGAGCAACACCAGAAAAGCCACCACTGAAACCCCAATCGATAGAGTCAACGCCAAAAGCAGCAACACCAGTACCAATAATAGCACCTACAATGGAGTGAGTGGTACTGACAGGCCAGCCATACTTGGAGGCAGTCAATACCCAGAAAGCAGAGCCGATAAGAGCAGAGAACATGGCCAGCATGAGCATTTCTGGCTGCTCAACATAATTTTCTACAGCTAAAATACCACCTTTGATTGTTTCAGCAGTTTCAGCACCGAGCAATACAGCGCCACCGAATTCAGTGAAGCAAGCAACAATACAGGCTTGTATCAGTGTTAATGAACCGGATGAAACGGAAGTAGCAAAAGAATTGGCGACATCATTAGCGCCGATACCAAATGCATCAGCAAAAGCAACGACCATGCCTACAGCAAAGATCCATGTGTAATCACCAGGCAGCATCATTTTTTTTTTGTATATGCGTCTTTGAGAAAGAAGAGATATGGTTTGATTTGATTTGGGATTGATGGTTCACTCTCTCTTTTTATATATGGACAATCCCACATAGTTGGATTCTGACGATTCTTGATCCAACACGGAAATCAAGGAACTCAGTTCATCAAACTGGCCAATCAGTCAAATAGTCATGGCCACGCCTAACCAGGTGGGGTCCAACTTGATGGCAGAATGTACAGAAAACTAAAGATTCTGATCTCTCTTTTTTCATGTCATACACTAATTGTTTACATGGAAACCTTTCTAGTATCCCATCTGCTGTACTATCAAAGACGAATCTGCGTTGGCGTATCTCGATTTTACAGTGATCTCCTCGATGTCGTCTGTCATGTCAATTCATGCAATGAGCGTGCTGGCTTGGGATTCACATTTGTTGGTTTTGGGACGATCCTAAATCTTATATTATAGCTTGAGCTCACCAACAATATCTAGACAGATGATAGGCAGGTACAATCAGTTTACATTGCCCTGTTCGCAATTAAAGACTACATGTTCTTACAGTTCCATGAACCGTTGATCAGAAGAGTGTTGCCTATGTTTGATTGGTCAAATTAGTATTTTCGTTTTTCAGGATTTGAGAATTCCATCAATCTGCAATAGTGGATTTCACACTGAACTGAAGAGATCAAATAATCAGGCTCATTTCTGCCATGTCATTGATGCCATGGTTATACACAGAACCGATCCCCTCTCTCCCTCTTCATATGGAACATTGATACCTGGAAACACTGTATGACACACTGCTTGTATCACGGAATGTGTTTATATTTACATTTTGGAAAAAAAAAGGCTTGTGAGGTAGCGAGGTATCACTGCCCAATACCATCAACCTCACTGCTCTTTCTATTACCAACGTCCAATCATATTTGTATTTGCTGCCCACATTACCTTACTTTTTGAGATGCTCTCTTTGTACTCTATATGGAATAGTTTAGGGTATAATGAAAACACTTTCCGGAGATATCAGATCCAACTGATTAATAAGCTTCGCTGTATTCTACGAGGTTAGAATTCCATGAACTGCTATTTTTTTGGATTCAAACACATGCAGTTTGGAGCCAGCTTACGATTCGTTGACATGAATCTCTCATCTTCACGACGTATGTCCAAAAGCATGTGCTTGTGTTGCTGATGGATTTAATCATTCGATCTTATTCAAATGGTATATAATCATTGTTGATCTGTTCACAAATACGCACTGCTGATACAAAGTTCTGGTTCGTTTCAGTAGCATTTGGGAATATCTAATGTTGGGATTTGTGTACCATCTGATATACATATGAAACTTTCTGGAAATCTGCTGATCCCAATTCAAAATGTTGATAGATCCAGTGTCTCAGAGAAATATGCAACAACATCCAGTAGATAACTCACAGTCGGATCCGGGCCGGATGTAAGCTGAAAATTTGATGGAGCTTCTCCGCACCAGATCGATGGCATTTGAGAATCCTCCCACATGCAGCAAGCTCTGGTTAGTCACCGCAGTAAGCTCGCTTGATATCCTTCCTTCTTTTGCGTAGGATCACTTATTGAACAATGACTGTAAGTAATCACATTATATCAATTGTCAGATGGATAGAGACCAAGATGAAATTGAATGTGGCATGGGATGGATATTTTTTTTAATTTACTTTTGGATGGATGGAAGGGGACAGATGGGATGATTAGTTTGCAGGAACATGATGGATTAACACACGCACTCTATTAGTTGGCTATTGATCTCTTGAACCCCTCTGTCGAACATGAGAAGCGTTCTCATAAGCTCAAGCGTTTGGTGCAATCCCCCAACTCTTACTTCATGGACGTCAAGTGTCCCGGTAAGTCTTATGTTTCCATCATGTAGAATTGTATACTTATCGTGTTGCCATCTACCAGGTTGTTTGAACATCAGCACCGTCTTCAGCCACGCCCAAACCGTTGTCTTGTGTTCTTCTTGCGGTACCGTCCTCTGTCAACCTACCGGTGGTCGTGCTCGTTTGACTGAAGGTTAGTTTTATGTGGATGTTGTAAATTAGACGTATTGTGCTCACGAATCGTTATATAGGCTGTTCTTTCCGTAGAAAGGCCAACTAGAGTCAGTACATTTTCTCGCTACACCATTCAATAAAAAAAAAGAAATCGCGTTGATACGATAAAATATAAATACATGTTGGGTTCAATGGATGGTTTATTGAGTTGATTGTTTGTAAAGGGGAATCTGATTTAAATCGCACCGTAATTGGATGGTTTCTCGGCAGATTTGTTGTTTGTAGCACCCTTCTTTCTAGCTGTCAAATGCGTATAGTGCTTGCTCATCATTTGCCGACGAACAACACGGATCTTGTTCCGTACTATTTTAGAGAAAAGGATGAGTTAATGCGTTCAGTCAGTCAAATCAGCAAGGAAACTCACCATCCACATAAACATCTGTTTCGTCGATAATCTCCTATTTGATTTGGCCGTTGGATTAATATAAGAACTGTAGGACATGGCCACTTGACAACTTACTTCTCCAATCAATTCTTCAATGACATCTTCCAGAGTAATGACACCTAAAGCACCGCTTGAACCTCCTGGATCACTAGAGACAATTGCCATATGACCTAGGAAAGAGAGGGGTAAATTAATTAAATCAAATAAATTATGTAATGATGATCATGCATACTTTTTCCCTCCTGAAAGAAGTTCAAGATATCCAAGCAACTTGTATCGGGGCCAGTTTCTGGCAGAGTGCTCAAGGGCAACTGTTTCATTGGCAAAGCATCCTCAGGGTCATATGTAATCAATCGCTTGGTTAATAGCATCCCAATAAAATTTTCTTTGTCCTCGGGTGTATGCACAGGAATACGAGAATAACCTGCTGTTAGAATCTAGAAGAAAGAGCAACGTCAACTCATTGTGCTGCTCGCGCCTCAAGCACCCTTGCCTTATCGACCAGTTCCTCGTTTAGGATATCCTCTGTTGATAACGTAAAGACGTCATTCATAGGTGTCATGATGAATGAAACGGGCTTCGACTTGAGATCGAGTACGGCTCCAATGATGGTAACTTCATCAGACGTAAGGGCATCCACATCTGAGGGATGCACTGCCTGGTGCAGCGATACAAGTGACTTGAGACCTGCCTTTTTGTACACTGTTCCATGCGACTCACCCAGAAAGAAATCCAATAGCAATGCTGTTGGATAGGCAATTGGATACATAATGTACATCAAGATCAAAACAGCCCTAAGATAGTGGTCAGTTGAGAATTCCGTCCTCCCTACGGACTCGTTTATTCATTTACCAAGCAGTTTTTGCGCCAATTGCCAAACCGTGTCGAACGCATATGGCTACACAAAGAATTAGATTCCATCAATCAAATAGGGATGCTTCATCTTACATTGCGGTATCACTCTATAAAGATAATGGTTAATACGAGAGATTGATACTGTGTTAAAAAGCCAACTTACTCTCCAAAAATAACAATTAATGCAGTGGAGATTACTATCGCTTGCCAGCCACCTCCTAAAACGCCATCCAAGAGAATAGGCAAGGTCTCATTCACAATGACATTGGACAACAAGAGCGTCACCAAAACCCAATGTTTACCTCTTTCTAACAGAGCCGATACTTTCTTGGCGTTCTCCCTTTCTGAGGGAGATCCAGATTCCATCAAAACATGAAGATTTGTTTGATCCAGGCCCATTAATCCAATAGTGAGACCTATGGTAAATGTATCAGATCCAAATGCATCAATGCATCTCACATGTTGGACCATTTACCAGCAAAGACTCCGCCCAAAAGAACTAGGAATGTGATGCTGATTAGCCTTTCCCAAAACTCAGGCGATTCGTAAGTGACAGGAGGATCGACATTGGGTTCAGTTGCTGAAGATATTAAAGGATGACCCACGATATTTCTCAATAAAATAAACGACGAAAATACAGATATTCTTTTTAGCATATAACTGTAAGCGATTTGTTATCGTTTTCTATTTTTCTTGGTGATGAAAAGGAAAGAAAGAGAGAGAGAAAAAAAAAGAAGAAGGTTGAACAGAGAATTATAGAGCGAAGCAAGAAAAAAGTAGATGTGTTTACAAGAGTAAGGAGTTGAAAAGCCGCATTCTTCCTTTATTAGGAGTACAAGGTACACCGTGTTTGCTTGTTAAAAAAATGATAAAGCTCTGTACACAGTTGAACCGATGAAACGAAATATAGACAGTGCGGCCACGCTCCACAAAATGAAGCTCATGTAAGTGTTCGTTCTTTCGTCAAAATTACCCAACTTTCCCAAATTATCCATGGTGCAAATCACAATGACAAGGATCAGATTGCTAAAGATCCAGCACACCACCAACCTTGTGCGGAAGTTTCGATAGTAGTCTTCCTGTCGTGTCTTGGGATCCACCGTTTTCTTGCTGTTTTTCGGCTCCTTCTTCTGCAGATTCTTGAAGGATTCCTCATAGAGATATCCAACGTCTTTTTGTTCAGGCAATACAATTTCGGCAGTAGTTTCATCAGCTTTAGTCTCGACATGGCCCAAATAAGGTATATTTTCAAAAATGTCCTTGGTTCCCCAGCTTACATCGTGCGTATTGCAGAATGCGTAGGTATTCAGGATGTTGATATAGGAGGGTGTCAACAGAAAGTACTGTATGAAACTAGTAAGCATGTGCCACGGATCTAGAAAGATGATCCCCGACAGAATAAATACACCAAATGTGGAAGCCATGGAGATGATAATATCGCGAAATGGGCCATTGGATAGCAGACTGGATATACTCTGAGGTTTTGATAGCTCTGTTGATATACCGATATACACTATCCAAGCAGACGAGAAGATGACATAGATCATGAGTAAAGAAAAGAAGGCCATGATTAGTCCGTAGGAGCCCTGAGATCTGTTTTATGTGTGAGCTATTGCTCGTGCTGCCATCTCAATACTGCACCTACCCCTGTGGTCTATTTCCCATAGCAATCAGAAACAAGCAGATAATGAGAACAGCATAAATGTAGGTCAATACAGTGTGGATAATGTCTGCTGCTTGAGCTGAGAATGGCGGTTGCTGCATTACTGCCAAGGAGCCTGTCAAAATGTAAAAGCTAAGAAAGAAGTTTCCCTTTACCATGGTCAGTTGAAGGATATTTTGTGTTTCAGTAAAAGCTTCTAGTGCTTACCAAGGCGAACCATGAAAACAGCCAATTGACACACAGGTAGATCAGTTCGATAATCAGTAGAAACTTGCGTCCTGTTGTATGATGTGTATTCAAGATTTTGCCCCAATGCACCAAACTGTATACACCGGCGAAGAAAGACCCTAAATTTAGGCTTTTGTGAGCACTGTGCTGGCTTGAACAAGACTTGATATATACCATTGAGCCATCGCCGTCTCTGAGAGATGAACTCTGCTACTGAGAAAGGTACATCTGTTTCACCGTACGCTCCTGATACATAATAAAGTCGCCATTGGGATCGTGCTTTAGCCACCAATTCATAGCACAAAATACGATCTTCTGCCAAATACATATTGGCTTCAAATATCCCCTCTGATACATCGCCACTTGATGTGTCTCCAAGAAAATACTTTTTCAACGGTCCTTCACCTGTCATATCGTTTTGAATAGCTGCATAGCGATATGCTGAGAAAGCACCAGGCAACACTTGAATGTAGCCCAGCACACTTTCCAAGGGCTTGTCTAATATATTGGAGATCTTGTACTCGAAATTCTGAGCAGCCACCAGAGGATTTAAGAGGTAAATACTGCCTTTACCTGTCATAGCTCGCACTTCTCCACACGCGCCACCAATGTCACGGTATTTCTCAAACGGTAACCATAGCTTATAGATGGAGTGAGGGCCTGGACGTGTGCCAACATCCATCAGTATGCAAACATTGGGCTGTAATACGGGACATAGTGCTTGAAAAAACCAGCGATGTGAGTTGATCTTTTTCTGGTTCTTTTCTTTCAAACAAAATATAATCTGTGCAGGTACTATATCGTTGATGGCTCCTTTGTATGTATGATCAGGTGTCAATGATAGTTGGGATGTATACTTGAGTGACTTAGAATGTTAGTATCAAACATGACATTCATATCTACTAATTTGTGCGCACCTCGTATAAATGCGCATGCACAGGCTTCTCGTTGACAGTGCTCTTGGCAATGCCTTCTTGATAGATGCCTAGTACCGAAAGCATGTCCAGCACTCTGGGATGAATTTTTTCTCTTCCGTCTGCTATGATGCAAATCACTACTTTTTGCCATGCGTGCTCACCCTATGGTATGATGTGAGTATGATGAAAAAAAACCAACTGGTCATGAACAGGTATTCATACGAACCCACATAGATGATCGATATCGCTTCGTTAATTGGGTCAAGTTCTTCATGATGCCATGCAATGTTCTTGACAGTAATACTTCATCTTCCTGCACAAAGGTATCAGTTCACATGTGTCAGGCTAATTTAAAAATGGCTTACATTATACATTGTGATGCAAATGGCAATCTCTGTTTCTCGATTCATGATCTCCTGTCGAAGTGTGTAGTTTTTCTGATGGAACTCATTTGCGTCACATGTAATTGCGGTGTATCGCATCATGTTGAACTCTTTCGGATCACGAAGTGGCACTCTTTCCAGATACTGAATTGGAACTGGGCAATTCAAGACAAGCTTGCCTTGCGGTATCTGCACAAGACGCTTGACAGTCTTGTATCGACGCACTTGTCGAACTGGAGGATATGGCAGTGCAGGATTGTATTGAACCTCTTGTGGAGCAGATGGCGGCTGTGGCGGCTGTGGCGGCAGTGATTGGGCAGGTGCGTAAAATGGCGGATAGATGCGATGCTGTGAAGAGCGAGTCGATGAAGGTGGTGGAAACGAATGATGGTTCAATGGCTGTGGAGACATCAGTAAATGAGGGGATGAAGAAGACATCATATGATGCGGTGGGATTCTGGATGGTATTTGCTGTTGACGATGCAATGGTGGAGGATAATAAGGTGATCCCTCCATCATTGTATGTATCAAGTATTAGGATATTAGGTATTAGTAAGTTGTATAGAAAAAAGAGAGCAAGAAAACAAAACAAGACCTTTGTTATTGTTGTTTATTTCTTTCTAAACACTTTTTGTGTCACTCCACATGATGATTTGCACACTTGTAGGCCATGAATATCAAAGCAGATCATGTTAGGAGTTTTAAATTCTAGTGAGTTACACTCTAGAATAAGAATCATCGGGTGATGGCTGTACATTCTACCCATTTTGACCTACTATGGTAAAGTGAGCACTGCCTCTTGTGCCACTCCAAGGTGAATCAACTATCAGATTCGCTTTAAAGATGAAGCAATCATCCTCGAACTATTGTTCGGAATTATGCCATTTTGCATAAAAGATACTCTTAGCGATGCTTTTCCATTTCAAATGTTCACAGGCCCCACACACTAAAAGACCAAAATAGACTTTTCAGCTTACATTGAGCAAATGATCTCCCAAAATCTTACTCAATTGCCCACAGTATAACCTTACTACAATCAGATAAGGAAACTTTGGCCTGGGGATTGTCCATACACCTTATACTCTAGGTGACGATTGATGGACGTTAAATAAAGCAATTCTTCGCCCTACAAAAAATAGACCTTATAATCCACAACACCATTTAGTAATATATACTATTTCAAGAGTGTGATATGATTTAATGAAATGATGCAAATGTATTCAAAATATCAGTCAAAGTAATGACGCCTTTCAGCTCTCCAGTCTCATAGTTCATCCACCAGAGCCTATGTGTTTTACGCAAGACAAAGGCAGACATGATTTGAGAAAGAGTGAAACGGTCATGGCAAGTCAATGGAGCGTACAAATCACCATGGCTTGCTTTCAAGTACATCACAACAGGCTTCATGAGAGAATCCCAGCGATTTCTGTTCAACCCACGCAAGTCTTGAGCACTAATCTCTCCAATGAGATCATTGTTATCATCCACAATAGGAAGGGCGCTAATAGTATCATCAGCAGCCAATTTCAAGAAGGCCTCTGCAGCAGTGCTTTTGAAATTAAGACTTGATCGGATACCAGAAGACTTGATCTTGTCGACGGAGAGGTCTAACAAGGCAGAGCCGATATGATGATTGTTAGCTTGGAAGAAACGGATCAAGTCCATCTGAGAAAGTAACACGAGACCGGAAGCAGATTCTTGCACCAAGACACGATGTGCCTTTTCCACGCTCAAAAGGGAAAGAAGCTGATCCAAACTGTCCGTTGATTTGAGAACGGTTAATGGCTCTGAAATGGAGATGGCTTCGCTCAATTGCATCAAGAGAGTATCACTGTTTGTTTGCAATGTTTCCACAGAGACCTGACCATAGTTTATATTTAATTTCTCACGATCATTACACAAAATATGATGACCACAACACCACGCTACATACCTTTGTGCTCAGCAATTTTAATAAATCCAAAGCACTTACAATGGCCAAATACTTCTTTTCATTGCCCTCCTTGTGGTAAATTGGAACAGAGAGAATGTCTTCGGCCAAGAGCAGATCAAAGGCCTCTTCCATAGTGGAAGTCAAAGGGAGATCAAGCAATTCACGATGCGTAGGCTTCACCTTGTTCAATACATCGCCGACTGTCTTTGACTGGATGAATTTTTGTAGGGTATCTTTACGTTGGTTGATTAATTGCATGTTAGATAAAACTGTGGTCATGTTGAAGACTTGATCTTTTATCTGGAGAAAAAATCTTTGTGTTGAAAAAGAATGAGGAAAATAAATAAAGGGTGAGAAGAATGCTGAAATCAGCTTTCTGTGTCTGTCTTCCCTTTTTAAACGCACTGAAAAAAAAAAAAAAAAAAAAAAAAAAAAAAAAAAAAAAAACGCTTATCAGAGTATTGTCATACACAAGCAAAGTGACGTTTTGAAGCCACACTGGAGCCAATGAGGTATGGATTAGGTTACGTCAAATTTTGATAGCAATGGATAGTTTCACTCGTCAACAGGAGCTATTCATTACACTTGACTTATTTTATTGGACTTGCGTGCTTTCACAAGATTATTGTTGAGCCCTTATGGATTACGACATCTAAATGCGGATGGCACAAATCAACTGCCATGTGCGAAGCTCTACCTTGGACTGTATTGTATGGCAGAATCATTGAATGTTCATAATAAAAAATACCGAGTTTCCATAAATTGCTTACTGTATGCTACTACTGGAAATGTACACATTGGATCGAAAACAGTTTTGCCTCTTTGAAATTTCAGGTAATTGGCTATAATGATGAGGATATTTAGACATTGCTGGCTTCGGTGAGAAGAGCCCCTCTATGAAAAAGACATGTGGCGACAATATCTGTATATTTCATGAGAAGAATCAGTCAGAGCCACTGTCCCTTCAACTAACGTTTGAATAGTGCTGTTGATCTACTGATTTATCTTACTTTGTCGCAATTTCCTCTTTGTTAGCATCAACAACATTGATTGGCCTCATGAGAAAGGTATTTTGCCAGCCAAAATTGTATTCATTCTCCGCTTGTCATTCTGTTCTGATTTGTTTATTTCTCAACTTTTTGGACCCGATTCGACCATATAATTGTGATGGCCATCCCATACTTCCTAATGCATTTATAGAGTACTTTTCAAGGCGCATCTGATGGTGCTAAAGAAAAGGTACGTTTTAAACAAAGTTGTTAAGCAATATTGAAATATATGAAATGAGGTTTTCGGCGAAAACGTCGAGATTCTATATATGAAGGTCTTACAAAAGTGATTTCAGGGTTGCGTTGGATCGAGAGAAACATTTTGATCTACTATATGCCGTAGTAAAACTCTTCATTTTGGAGGTCAAAAACGCGATCGTTTGATTTTTGATGAAATTTGTTTTTTGTATGGATGTTGCTTATTTATTAGTAAGTATACGAATATAATAAGAGCATCAAATGATGGACAAGTGTATATAACAAAGTGGCTTGCCATATATAAATCTATTGAAACTACTACTAATATTAATGCTTGAGATCTGACAATCTCATCACTTCAGCACAGATCTTGTTGGTGACATTGTTGGTATCAAATGGCACTCCTTCGAATGTTAGTAGGAGGTGGAATCTCCATATCATACGAATGGTGGCAGCAAACAGGTCGAAGATTGTAATCTTGATGTCGAGGTTGTAGATGAAGTATTGCTTCAGGTTCAGATTGACTATAGATTGGTATACTTGTTGTGGATTGGCAACTTTGGGATATCCCAGGAATTGTTCAAAGATGTTGGACCAAATGTCGTTTTTGTGGGGGTAGCTAACCATGAGATGTTTGGCATCTTCAGTATCATTGCAGAGGGTACATTTGTCATCTTCAACGTTCCTCAGGCGTCGAACGAAAAGAGCTGATTTACTTGGGCATTGCTTATGGATCATTCTATACCAGACATTTCTCACGGAGTGGTGCATATTTTGATGATAGAAGTGTTTCCACTGGACTTTGCTGATGGATTTTCGGTGAAAACCATGAGGTATCTCTCGTGGTATATTGTTGAAAAGCCAGCTCCGTAGTCCAGATAGTATATAAATGGCTCTCATGCGATAATTGAAGGCTAAACAGCGAAATCCTAGCATATATTGGTAGAATGACTGAATGTCACACTATATAAGATGCCAAAAAGCACGACCTTGATCGTGTCATTGTCACATTGCCATACTTTTCAATGATCATCTGGAATGATAGAGCAGCATTCTGCATTATAATATACGAGTGATTATGCTCCGGATAGTTCTCTACCAATTGCCCTTGCGTATCTTATCAAAATACTGCTACTTTCATTATAACTTCCCGCTTGCACTTGAAAACCCTTCACATCATTTGTGGATCTAACTTTTATGCGATGTTCCGCATCCGTATACATGTAAATACTTCATATACAGGCAAGTAGCATACAGGTATTATCCCTTCTTAGTCGACAGTGCGGCTAATACAGCAAAATCTGAGTGAATTTGAGCTGCGTTTTTTCGCTTTCAAAGCCGTTTTAGATTGTCAGAATAGCACCAAACAATGGCTCTCATCTGGCAGTTACTTATTGCCACTATTGCTCAACTTTTTGGGGACCAAAAAAAAAATGGCCAAAAAATGGCCAAAAAGCATGAGGTACCCCTCATGGCTTTCATCAAAAATCAAACGATTGCGTTTTTGACCTTGATAATGAAGAATTTTACTATGGTATACGAGCCTTTCGACACTTCGGGTGGTTTCCTGACCTACGCTTCGCTTCGGTGGAAACCAACCTACGTTCAGGCGGCTCGTTACTATGGTATATATTAAATCAAATTGTTTCTATCGATCCAACGCAACCCCTGAAGCTATCTTTGTGGGGCCTTTATATGGAAAATCTCGACTTTTTGGCCAGAAACCTCTTTTTATATTTTCATAAATCGCTCAATAAGTTTATTCAAAACATCTACCTTACTTGGTACCATTGGATGCGTCTTGAAAAGTGCTTCGAAATTTTATTAGGAAGCAAAGGGTGATCATCACAACTAGTATAGTCGAATCTTACAAAAGAGTTCAATCGAGTCGAAAAAAGGCAAAATCTGTCCAATCTTGAACAGAAATAATGTTTTGGGTTTGAATCAATTTTGGCGGCTGGTAGGGCCGGCTGGCAGACTCAATGCCCTTTCCATCATGAAGGCAATACAGTAATAGATGCTTTTGAAGCGTATGGAAAGTAGGTGGCAAATTATATATCACTATCGCTAGTTGTGCTGCTCTTCTTGAATCTATATTTAATAACGTCAGTCTATCAAAATACTTGTTAGATCAATTTCTTTCCTTTTTGAGGCTTTGAAAGTGTCTAGGGACCATAAATTTATCATGTTATGATATTACATACCGGCAAAATCTCTTGACATTAAATTATATGAATATGATTAAATTATGTACAAGCTTTAAAATACATTGGTCACAGCAATTGATGGACAGTACAAGCATTGAAAGAAGATGTAATCTTAATAGAGCATAATATTGAAGCTAATGACAAGACGTGGTTGTTTTTTTTATTAATGTGTATTTGAGTTTATGAGATCACCATACTTGATGGATTAAAATATTTCAGATTTTTGAGGCTATTTTGACTTGTATAAATAGAGGTAGCAGAGATATAAGAACGACTTGGCCTTGTACAGATGTCAGGCATTAATTGTCTTGATAATTGATTGAGTAAGAGGAAGCACAGATGAGAGTAGGGCTTGACCTTGTATAGATGTAGAGATGGTATATTTGAACAGTCTTGTCATTTTAGGAGCTTGTAGGAGGCACAGAGAACTTGGCTTGATAGCATTTGGAGAGAACAGCTTGCTTTAGATGAGATAGAACATGAGATGGCAGAGGTAACTAGATAAAGATGAGATAAGTACACAAGTACTGCAGGCATGAGTGCGTAACAAACCATTTGGGCAATGAAAATTGACCATCAATAAAAAGGAACCAACACTATATAAACAGGTACCATGGTGTAAACTTGCTTCACCCATCACGAGAATATCGACACCCTCAGGGCACCTTTATCACCGGATCATAGGGCTGAACCCTACTCTCGACGGCAATAAAGCGTTTGATCATCCCGTAGCATGACCAATGGGTTTGTCCTGCAGTCTACCCATGATTGTGAAGCGGTGATCCTACTCAGTCCCTACAAAGTAGCTTTTCGGCACTATGTAATCAATAGGTTAGTCAACATGGCTCATACGTCCAACAAGATAATAACTTACTCGCACAGTTCACCAAGGTCTGCATGTATCAAATATAGTGTGGCCTTTTTCTAGCATGGACCAAAAGACGTAGAGAGGACCATGGATTTGTAAGGCATTGTATGTAGCAGTAGTAGAGGCCAATAGACAGTAGAGTATTTGATTTACTTGACCATATGTAGAGAGAGAGAGAGCCCAAATGTCTTGTAGAGAGTTTGTATGTATAGAGTATTTTGCTTGTTGCAGAGAGATGAGATGAAGAAGAAGAGGGAAAAGCTGTTGAAACAAACCTCTATTTATATCCTTCTCATCGACTTTCATGTGAGTCTAGTATCCTTGCCACACTCAAATTCGTTTCCTTTTACTTTTCTCCACGATATACTACTTTGAGCGCGTGAAAATAGTACCATTTTGACGTTTGACACTTGCTCTATTTGATCGGCTTCGTCCGAGGCTTTCAACTGTTTTCTGTCTCGAGTTATGTCCATTTTGCTACTTCAAAAAGCCCTTTTTCCACCTTCACATGAAACGAGTTCCCCCATCTCTTCCTAGATGTAATTAACAGACAACTTTTTACTGGCTCATTCTCATCAAAACGTAAACAAAAAAAATGTCATTTGACTCTGAAACAAATGCAGTTGGTTGCTAGATCAAGTAATCTTTTTCTACCTCTCCTTAATTTCTCTCTCCAAAATCACACAGTGCCCGATCCATCTCTCTTGTTGTTTGTATTCGCCATGAACTCTCCATCTAATTGGGCAATACAGGATGATAAGGTTGGCTTACTTGTTGTTTACATCATCTTGGAGCCAGTGCAATTGATTCTGGATCAAGAGACAAGTGTACACCTCGGAAAGCAAGAGTATCATATGAATATTATTGCGGCAATCTCCATGGAATGGAACATAATCGATTGTTTTCGAACCAGTGCAAGTCATCTTATTTCCAACTATCATGGTTGCTGTCAATAATTTAATCAAGTGTTTGCGCTACTAGACATCATCAATATGCCCACATTTACATAGTGAGTTGGTCATTCTCGTGTATCATTCCTGCAACCTGTTTGTAGTTTTTACGCCAAGAGTATTCATCTCATAAAGAGTCAACACATTTCATGTCATTCTTTTAGGGATTGTCCTCTTTTAGAAGGTATTCGGATCATGCAAAATCAAAACAATTCATTTGCTAGGCAAAATTAAGCTTTAAAAAAAATCACATGTAAAGTAAACAAAAGGACATGAATTGAAGAGAGATAAGCAAGTAAATGGCCAATTTGTGGTCAAAGAGAGGATATTTTATTAGAAGGTATGTACATCATTAGAAAGCAAATCGCTTGAGGAATCCAATGGTACTATTTTCAGGGTTCTAAGTAAAGTACACATCGCGAAATTCATCAAACAAGGCCGTGGGATTTTCAAAAGAAAGAGGTTGCTGAATTAAACTTCACCTGCAATATCATTTTTGTCTGTGTGCTCTTTTGTTGCTTTGGATCATGCCACGCTCCTCCTATGTCACCAGCCTGTCCTTTTTGGGTCTCACGTTGGGTACGCTATCCATTTGAGAAGGAGTCTCGCTTTCTCGTATAATCGTTTCTGTGGGTATCATTGCCGTTATATTATAGGGCTTTGAGCAATCAAGGAGAGTCTTTTTTTGCCAGCCAGAAGGAATTAAAATCTCGATCGACATTTTATCACAATTCGTTGATTTCTGATCCTTTTGCGATTTGATCGACTCATTTTACCAAATTCGACTATGAAAGTTGTAGTGATCATCCTTTACAGCCTTAAGCTATCTAGAAGACAAGTGTATGTAACAAAGTGACTTGCCATATATAATATTTAATTAAACTACTACTTATATTAATGCTTGAGATCTGACAATCTCATCACTTCGGCACAGATCTTGGTGGTGACATAGTTGGTATCAAAAGGCATTCCTTCGAATGTATGTAGGAGCTGGAATCTCCATATCATACGAATGGTGGCCGCAAACAGGTCGAAGATTGTAATCTTGATGTCGAGATTGTAGATGAAGTATTGCTTCAGGTTCAGATTGACTATAGATTGGTATACTTGTGGATTGGATGTTGGACCAAATGTCGTTTTTGTGGGGGCAGCTAACCATGAGATGTTTGGCATCTTCAGTATCATTGCAGAGAGTACATTTGTCATCTTCAACATTCCTCAGTCGTCGAACGAAAAGAGCTGATTTACTTGGGCATTGCTTATGGATCATTCTATACCAGACATTTCTCACAGAGTGATGCATGTTTTGATGATAGAAGTGTTTCCACTGGGCTTTGCTGATGGTATGATTGAACTTTCGTCCAACATCAAGGTTGTGTATGTCCAGCATAATTGATCTCAAGTCTTTGTTCGCCATTCGAAGCATTGGGCGGTCTTGGTAATTAAGCATAGCAATGAAAGGCTGTAGATCTAGATGAGCCTCCATGTTTCTTGTATCCGCGAAGGATTTCAATTTGATGTTTCCACAAAGACGGCCTCTTTCTATCTGGTTCCTGATGTTTGGTCGCTTGCATTCACTTCTTGACTTTAGCTGCAGAGTACTTGTTTCCTGATCGATGTGGAAGAAGTCGTGAACTTTGCTCTCCCTGATCGAGTCTCTGCTTGTATATCCCATAGCTACTTCCTCATTGTCAAAATCTAGAATTTCCAGCACTGGCAATGACAAGAGTGTCATGACATTTGGTTTGACAGGCCAAGCGAGTGAGAGCGGAGAATGCTTCATACAGGTATCTATTGCCTCGAACATCATGTAATAAGGGTGGAAGCCTCTTAACTGGTTTTTGTATCTAGCCGTTTGGAACAGTATAGGGATTATGTGCGATGGTGAGTCGTGCGACATCTTCAAATAATCCACTAGTAGTCTATAAGTGAGACCAGGTATGTTGTTGCTGTTTTCTGTCAGCAAAGTGTTCAGATATCTGAATTGCAGAACCTTTTGTTGCGCCATTATATCAGTCAGTCCTAAACCGCCTTGATACCTTGGTAGGAAGAGAGAATTGCCCTTTAGAGGTGGATACAGGCCAGACATTACAAAATGATAAATGATTGAGGTTATCTTCTTGACTGTGTCTTTGGGCAGGGAAACGATCCGAATGACATGCCATAGCTTGGACAATATCATAGTGTTGGCAATATTCGCTCTGCCGTACAATGAGACTTGCCGTGCTGCAAACCTTTCAACAGCAGTAGTAATATCACCCAGCAGTTTAGCAATGCATACGTCTCTTTGTTGATTGCAGAACCAAATTGGATAACCTAGGTATTTTATAAATCCTGTAGACGCAGAATCATACCATTTGATTTTGAGATTGTTTGTTGCATGATCTTGGAGTTCGAGGCCTTGTTGTAAGTTCTCAATCTTTCTTCCAGATCAAGAAGTTCAACCCGAGACTTGACGAATGTCAGGACATCATCCGCATATGCGAGTACTTTCAATGGAGGAGGAGCCACCCAACTATTTGTTCTCTTGCTTATAGGCTTGACGTGTTGGAGACTATACCCCGAGATAGTTGTACTTTTGGTCACAGATAGCAGAAATGGTTCAATAGCCAAGTTGAACAGCATTGGTGATATACTGTCTCCTTGTCTGATGCCGCGTCTTTGCTCGATATATTCGATGAAAACTATAAGGAGTACCTCATGCTTTTTGGTCGATTTTTGGCCATGTTTTTTTTTGTCCCAAAAAGTTGAACAAAGATGACAGTAAGTGCTAGTACAGAGCTACTGTTTGGTGCTAGTCTGACGGTCTAAAACGGCTTCTAATGCGGCTCAAATACACCCAGATTTAGCAGTGAATTACATTTATTCCAGCAGGGAGAGGCAATGGTACTATGCTATCTACCTGAGATGAATTGCTCTTATTATTACAGACATGGAGCATCGCAGAATACTACCCAGAACCTGAGGTACAGCTTGTTTATGAAAGGCTTTCACTTGGAAAGAAGTTTTAATAGTATCAGTAAGGCCCTTTGAAGTCTGGAACCCTAAGCTGAATGCTGCTCTCAAATGTACGTGCTAAGTTTGCACCCAATATTCTCGGTGTTGGTTAAACGGTCCTTTCAACCGAGGCATTGTATTGCCTTCTCTCCGCACTTCTCACCTTGTGAATAAAGTAATCGTATACCGTTTTATCGCTAAAGTTCGACACTTACTACTAGAAAGTTGCTAAATACTGAATTCCGAACCAAGATATAAATTGCTATATTTACACTAATTAAGTGAGCCGCGGATAATGCAAAAGATGATGAAATGGCATATAGGTAGAAAGACAATTTATAAGACATATAATACAAAATAAGGGAGAGATAATAAAATGCCAAAATAGAATGAAAAATGAATAAAAAGGATATGTAGTTGTATAGATTATTTGAAGAATGGAGAATGAGGTTTGACACCATCAAAGGCAGAGAAGCTATCTTGAGGTGTCTTAAGAGGGAATTTGCGGCCCTGACGCTGACCAGTTCGCTCAGCTTCCCAATCCTCCCATTTCTTCATAATCAGTCTCTTTGAGTCGAATTTGCCATCTGCATCTCCATGTGAATCGCCCTTCTTTTCTCCTACCACCACACGAGTAGCACCCCAACTGAAATCATCAAAATGCCAGAACGAATACAAGGGTAAGACCATATTCCAAATAGGCAAAGCGCAAATATAAACTATTTCAAGATAATTAGTCTCTGGAATCAATCAAAAGGCTGACTATGATACTTACTAATCATCCACATCACATAAACAAACTTCATTGTAGTAATTGTAATCAATACTGCTGGCAGAACCAAGATGGCGATCAGTAAACCCAGTGATTGCCATTGAGGGTTGGGTGAGATGGCAGTTTCAACAATTAGATAAATAGACATGACAATAGCAGCAGGAAGCACAAATGTACCGATCAAATCAATAAACACAGAGAATTGCATGGACAAGAAAGAGATACCACAGAGATCAGACACCAAGACCAATTCCATCAAATTATGCACTGTAGAGTTAATCCAACGACGACGCTGTGATAGCAAGACGCCAAATTCATCAGGGACAACAGTACGGCAACGGGCATTAGGCACAAACATCATTTGGCGCTTAGGGAATGTACGCAACATCAGAGTAGACAGGAAGCGATCCTCACCGAGCAACAGTAGATTCTTTTCGTGAAGTGTAGTGACAATATTTTGATTGTACTCCATGATGATATCAGGATTAGCCAAGACTGGAACCCAAGAGCCATTTTTAGGTGACTTGATACGATACATACTGAAACAACCAGGTAAACAAGTGACCATACCAAACAGTGATTCAAAGGCCTTTGTATAATGATGAGAGATGTAGTATTCAAAGACCTGAATAGCAGTAACCCAAGAAGCACGTTTGTTAGCAATACGTGTTTCACCACAAAGGCCCATAATAGTAATGTCATTTGCCATGGCAGCAACCATATAGGTCAAAGCGTCAGGAAGCACTTGGGTGTCTGCATCCACCATCAGCACAGTTTCAAACTTATCGGGTGTAACGCCTTTCATCAACCAAGTCATTTTCCAGAAGATTTCATAATCCAGTTCACAGAAACGATCGTTAAACAACACACGTTGGAAGAAGGACATCAAGATAACTTGAGAATCACGTTTACCACGATTACCAGCCTTGGCGCCCTTTTGCTCCTCTTCAGTACCACATTTGACAATGGTAATGCAAGCAGTGCCGTTATAATGTCCAGCGTATACCTTGGCCATGTTCAATTGCTTTTCACCGTCTGCAACAGCAAGATAAGAACAGGGTTTAGGGTTAGCCATAGCAGGAGTCAAATCCATCATGTTGACAACAATATCAGGTGTAGACATGGTTTCGCCTGCACCAGTAATCAAGCCATCAGCAATGACGAAGAAAATCTTGTGCTTGTTGGAGTAAGTGGTGTTTGACAAACTGTCCATCGTGATTCTCAAACCCTCCTCGCCTTCTGAATAACATGTTACCAACATGACAGTATAGAGCTCAGTTTCCACGATGTCTGTACGATGACCATTTAGTCCCAAATTGGAGCTTTGAACACTCAATGTTTGGTTGCCGTGGCTGCTGTTGTTGTTGTTGGAACTGCTGAATGAATTGACAGAGCCTTGAGCCATGGGACCATAGTTGTTGTAGGGGCCTGGAATATGGTTTGCAGGATCGTCGTTGCCACCCTTGATAGAACGCCAAGCTAACCAGTTTGATCTACCACCTGGTTTGGTCAAACGACGAGAGATGAACCATTGGAAAAGACAAGCCATGGAATAACGGATGATAATAATGATGATAATGACAGCAAACATGACCGTCATGATAATGTTATCAGCAATGCAGCTAGCAACCTCTTGAGATGCAGTACCCACAGTATATCTAGCAGCGATGCAATGACGAGCTCTCTTGCCAGCAGGTGTATACAAGAGGGCATAGGCCAAATCATTACCACGAGAGATCCTGATTGCCCTGTCGACTTCTTGACCAAAAATGGAGGCATTGTTCTTTTGGTAGTAAGATGTCATGTTGAGAACACTGTCGACGATAATAGCCATGTTGGAATCATTCATGTCGTGAATACTGGTGCGAATGTCAGCCCAGTCGAAGCTGATCATGTCATTGTTGTTGCTGAATCGATGCAGACTATCGAGAGGAATGCAGGAGCCGTTTGCTTGCTTCAATGTAGCGCCATAAGGACTTGTTAGTGTACAGCTAGGGAGAGTAGGATCGACGTCGCCATGCTTGAATGGAGTACAATAGCCTCTTGTATCACCATCAAAGATAGAGCCAAGCTCCATGCCTTTGAAATCTGATGTTAAATTCATGTTGATGGATAGAAAGTAATCCTGCATTGTCTCAAACTTGTAGACTTGGCCAAAGACAGACACTTGCTCTCTTTGAGTAGGCACTCTCACGCCCTGATCGTTGATGCTAGAGTAAGGATAGCTCAGTCTGTCTCTTGGACATAAATCGATGTTCAGACCATAAATAACGTATGCTAATAAACCGCACAAAAAACCAACCAAGTAACACAATGTAACCTGAATTGATATTTTGAAATGAATTAATTACACAATCAAACTTGATTTTTCGCGCTGGTCATGCCACAAACCTTTTCTCTCCATGCTTGCTGCATGTTTTTATTTGATTTTCCAAACCAAACACGAATAATATAGGGAGGATAGCAACATGTGCAAAGAAACGCAATCCAGGCCCACCAGTTATTGAGCGGACTAGGCTCTTTCACTTCTTCATCTTGGTCCCTTAAGCCCGACATTTGACTGGAGACAGGCATTGCGCCGTTGTTCATCTGTTGTTGTTGCTTTTGTTGAGCGAGCTGCATTTGCAGATTGCTGGACATTGGTTGATTGTGTGCGTTGTGAGGGGTACCGTCATTACCACCATTCCCGCGGTTAATCTTGCGATGATTGAGACCAGATGTACGACGTTGGCTTGGCCCTCCTGCTCCGAGGTTGTTAGAAGCATTGATCATACCAGGTCTTGGCCGCTGACGCTCAGGTCTTGTCAATGACTTGGATCTATTGATATTAGTAGAGCCTCTATGATATGGACTTGGCTGTAAGTGATTTGGGGTGACACCGTTGGATGGTCTTGCTGGTTGAGGCATTCTATTATTAGTAGGGACATGTCCTCCGGATAAATTTTGCCTTTGTTGACGCATGTAGTTTTCAGATGCCCGTTGTCGATTCATGTTGTGTTGATCAGCCATGTAAGACGAACGATTGTGTTGAGGATAACCGTGTTGATTGACATTGTTACTATGTCTATTGTTAGAGTGGTAGTCACCGTTATATTGATTAGGTGGGTTTGACATTTCTTCTCCTCTAATTCAATGTCTAGTGTAAGGTTAGAAGTGTAACAAGAAAAGAAAGCCAGAAAAGAGAGTAAAAGAGAGAGAGAGAGAAATAGCAGAAGAAAAGGGATAGAAATGTTGTTTCTGTATGATAACCAAAATATACACATTTGATGGCTTCAATTGACATTTAAAAATACTTTTTCTGACTGAAATAAGCTGATATGTCTTGGATTTTGGGCATGTCCCTGGAAATTAGGCGGCGAACCTTTGCTTTTTCCTCACAGCTGAGCTAGCAGTTACCTATTTGAGTTGTATTTATTTATATCATACACATCAAATGTCGATTGCTGAGGCATTGTGTGAAATTTGTTTACAACAAGTTTATCTAGATGGTTGCCATGAACACAGAACTAGCAGGTAACCATAGCAACCGTAACTGAAATCCCAATTGATCCAATGTTGAGGTAACCTGTCAATGGGGACATACCAAAGACCACATTTGACCCCAAGGAAACGGCTGACATTTATAATTTTAACAGCAACTGTGGTTTATTTATATACATGAAATCTTCTAAATCAAATTTGTCATGAATGATATCTAAACATGACAGAAAACTGGTCGTAATTATCCAATCTTACAACGTACTAGGCGAAACGAGGTACGCCAAAACTTGGTTGACGTTTGACTTACTAATGTGTGATAATATTTCCCAAACAAGAAACAGAATTTTCACTCAACAACAATCGTCGCAACTACATCAGTACAAAAATGACCTAAAATTGTGATCTTAGCGCAAAGAATTTCTCATTTTTCCGCCTTGATTCAAATGCCTCCATTTGATGACAAAAAACTTGCACAATTTATTGTCAAATTTCCTAAAGGTTATAAATGCAAGCATGCTTTGTCCATGTTTTTTGATAAATATGCTCTTTTTGAAATGTAATTTATTAGAATTATATCACTTTTGTAAGGCTTAGTTTCTCATTATACCACTACACGTGTTTTTCGGTGTGTTGTTGGGCCATACTACTGGTTTGGAAGATTTCTCTGCTATTGAATCCCGAGTCAATTACATGGTGCGCATTCCGAGCTGTGCTCATCGTCGCTTCTCCCTGCGTTCGTGACTGTAATGATGCAGCAATATCATGAATGATTGGGTATCTTTCTACCAACTTCATTCTTACTGGTAGCTGCAATTGCCAGCCTCCCTTCTACGCTGCCATTTTTCTACCGCTTTTAACATTCACCGTATTATTTTTTACACTTATTCTCTCTCACACAACTTAATAGTAAAAGGTAAAGTATAGAGCTCCTCCTCATACACTATACATAGTGTGTAGGCGATAATATTTTTTTTTTTCAATTTTTTTTTTTTTTATAAAATCAAACATTTGCCTTTCATCACATCTCATATACCCTATCCATATCATCTATAACAAAAAAAACTTTTTCTTATTTTCCTATAAAACGTGTTCTAATTAAACATGTAAACATCTGGGTCCCCCCTCTTTTGTAATGTTATAACATCCTATCCATTTATACAAGATTGCCATACACACTGTCTATAGACCTAATGATGAGTTTGAAATCTGCATCAGAGATACTCATCAATCCATTCCACTCATAGATGCCTAAAGAAGTTCAAAAAGTTACCAAGCGCGAAACAAAGAAGAGAGGAAAGAAGGATCCTAATGCTCCCAAGCGTGGTTTGTCTGCATACATGTTCTTCTCTCAAGATAAACGTGCCCAAGTCAAGGAGGAAAACCCTGAGGCCTCATTTGGTATGTGAAATCACATTTTATCGTATTGCACCATCTGATGCATGTGTTCTACAATAGGTACTCTTGGTAAGCTTCTTGGTGAGAAGTGGAAGGCTATGAGTGACGAAGAAAAGAAGGTACATACTCCTACCAAATGTTTATTACACACAAAAACACTAACAACATCCAATATAGCCCTACATTGACAAGGCCGAAGCTGATAAGAAGCGCTACGAAGATGAGAAGGCCGCTCTCAACTAAATACATATCTAGCAGCAAAACTTATAATCCATTCATATCAAAGATCGTTATAATGATATCCTCTTTTCTTTTATCCTTGGCTTAAATCAAATAAAAATCTATATATTTCACAAAAACACACGCACATACAGTGTTCTCACATACAAACACGCGCGTCTATATTGGTTTTATTGGTTGGCTCACTAATATCTGGTATTATTTTGTACTTCAATCGCTCTTAAATCCACGATCACCTGCCGCATTATCCTGATTATCGTCCCAACTAGCTTGACGATTAAATGGTCTTCTGTTCTGTTGATTTTTGTGGCTTCTGAAAGGCTTTTCATCATTGAATCGATTGGGTCTTCTTTCACTATCGTTTTCTCTTTTAAATGATTTTTTTTCACCATAGGAGCCCTCTCTGTTGTAATATGCATTGTTGTCGTCTTTTTTAAATGATCGTCTGTCTCCATCGGATCCATCAAAACGTCTGTTAAAAGATCGTCTTTCTACGTCGTTTTCTTTTTCAAAAGGCTGTCTTCTTTCATTTGCATAGCTGCCTCTGTTTTGTGATTTTTTGTCCTCGTTATTGTAATTTCTTCTGAATGATCTTCTGTCTTCATTATTGTAATGTCTTGTAAATGATCCTCTTTCGCCGTTTGATCCTTTGAAATTTTTGTTGAAAGATTCTATATCCTCATTATCGAAAGATTTTTTGAAAGGCACTCGTTCATTGCTATATGATCTCTGGCGATCGCCATTGTAGGCCCCTCTGCCCTGTTGCTCAATTTCACGGCTAAACCTTGAAGACCTTCTGTAGCCAAGATTGCTTTCATCGTCGTCAAAAGATCTTCTCTTATTGTACACATCATTTGACCATTTGTTGCCGCTGGTGCTTCTTTCTTGTCTTTTTGTCGAGATGTCTTGTACCTTACCATTCGTCTTATTATCCCAAAACTTCTTGGGATTCCCTTCAGGGATGTTGTATGTCTTTTTAAATTCCTTTCTGCGCTCGCCCATGGCTTCATATCGATTTCTCTCCTGTCTCTCGCCATCTTGTGCTTCAGGAACGTACTTGGATTTCAAGATTCTTCTGATGCCTTCAACTGAAAGCTTGAACTCTTTTGATAATGTTACTGCATTATAGACTTCAGGTTGCTAAAAAGTTTTTGTTGTCAACGTCAAGTACAGTTTGGATGCAGAATTTACTTACAGTGGCCGCCAAAGCACGGATCTTCTCCATAGTAGGCCGCGATACTCGCTTCTTTGGAGCCCAATTGGATGCTGCTGCGGTAGATGCGCCTGTCTCGCTTGAGAAGAAGCGAGCATTGGCAGGTTTCAAACGAAAAATTGATTTAAACATAATGGAAAGAGCAAGTAAAACAGACTTGCAGGGGCGAGAAATTTTGGCATCGGCTGTTCAAGTAAGCTGACAGTCTCTGTCTATCCATGGATTGGTGCTCTGGGCTTGGTGTTGGTACAGCTAAAGAGGGCAAATGTTAGCCGAAAATACTTTATGCGATTCAATTTTATTGATATTAGCTAATAGTATTATTAGATGATTGAACTCGGACAGTAACCATTCACACATCCCTAGCTTTAGAGCAAACTCATCTAGATTTGACAGATGCGCTCCGATCTAAAGCTTGCATGTCAACCCAGACAAGTGTTTCCAACGTTCAAAGCATAGATATAGGCGGTGCCATTTGTTGGATATCTCACATTAAACCAGGTAATTGCAAAATCACTAAATATCTCTAAATGTATGAGATTAACTAAGTAAACATTGCAGTCGTACTAATGATCTGAGAAACAGAGCTAATGTAGCCAAGATATTAAAGAAATATCCTTGTACGCTATAGTGTATTTCGATCTTATAAGTTTTCAATAGACTGGCATTTTTAGATGCAAGACTTCAAAAGAAAATAGCATTTCCAAGGATATTACTATGTAATTCGCCACCTATTTTCTATTGGCTTAAAAAGCATTTATTATTGCCTTCATCATGATTGAGTTTGCCAGCCTGCTCCACCAGCCAAAATTAATTCGAACTCAGTTTTTTGTTCAAGATTGGTAGTTTTTCGACTTGATTGAACTATTTTGCATGGAAGATGCACAACGTAAATGGCCTATTGCTGAACAACAGGAAAATGATCCTACCTTTAGCGCCTTGGGTTATAACATCGGTCTTCTTCTGGACCAAGAAAAGGCGTACGATCGGGTGAACTTGGAATATTTGACGAAGGTATTGGGGAAATTTGGGTTTTCTTTTCAATTGCACCCACCTCTTCACTTCGACTCATTACTCCTAGTGTACGCGGCTCAATCAATAAACAAAATTTCACAAAAAAAATGAACTATTTTGCACGATCCGACTATATGAAGTGTGATGATAATCCCATGCTTCCTAATACACTCTTGAAGTATTTTTCAAGGCGCATCCAATGGTACCAAGTAGGATAGATGTATTGAATAAACTTGTCGAGCAATTTATAAAAATATGAAAAGAGGTTTTTGGCCAAAATATTGAAATTTTACATATTTAGATCCCACAAATATAATTTCAGAGGTTGCGTTAGATCGATAGAAACATTTTGATTTAAGATATACCAAAATAAAACTCTTCATTTTGGAGGTCAAAAACGCGATCGTTTGATTTTCGATGAAAACCATGAGGAGTACCTCATGCTTTTTGGTCGAATTTTGTCCATGCTTTTTTTTTGGTCCCCAAAAAGTTGAGCAAAGGGTGTCAGAAAGTAACTGCCAGATGGGAGCAATTGTTTGGTGTCATTCTGATAATCTAAAGCGGCCTTGAGCGCGAGAAAACACAGCTCAAATACACTCATGTTTTGCTGTATTGGGTACACTCTGGACTGAAAAGGGATACTATCTGTATGATGTCCGTATATGAAATAGCTACGTGTATATGTATGTAGAGCATCACATAAGAATCAGATCCATAGATAATATAAAGGGTTTTTTTTTATGTGTAAGTGGAGGGTCAAAATGAAAGTAGCAGTGTTATAATAAGATGAACAAGGGCAATCGGTAGCACGAGCTGCCACTGCGCAGATTATTTTTCACCGAAGAGAAACGAAGGTAGAGAGCCATCCAAGTCATAAACACACTCGTATACTATAGTATTTACAATCGTACGTCTTTATTATGACTTTAACACACATTATGATCGTGTTTCACCACCAATTCCACCATACTTGAAGTAATTAGTTTGGAAATCTGGTAGAACCGAGTCGAAATCTTCAGTAATAGCATCTGGCTCGCCCTGGCGATGCGTAAAGTCCATACAGGCTTGCCCTTGTGACGAAATATAGAACTCTGGCTTGATCCAAGTATTTGCATGACTCATGCTGGATCGTTTCGCTAGATCCCAAGGGTGTTCAGGTTGATCACCATGAATAAAGTGCCTTTTGTCCGTGATCTTGAGTAAATTAGCGTGTACAAACAAGATGGTGTCGTCGTCTTGATCACTACCAGGAGCGTATTGTAGCATCGTATGACCGCAAAATCGATTGTTGACCATGGTGCCTGCCATGCCAACAAAGGCCTCTGTCATATGATAGGGCATATCCAAGGCTTTCCACGCATATTTGAAAGTATCTTTATCGCCATTCAAGAATTGAAAGTAGATTTCGTAATGTTTTTGCATGTACCACGCCAGTTGCAAAGGAACCCACGATTTCTCCTTGTCAATGACCATCTGTCCAGACTCTTGCTCCCATTCATCCTCGCATGAAATGTCCAATACGTCGAATATTTTGTTCTCACCATGCGTTTTCCTATACAAGTAAGCCTTATCAATTCACTGTTGCTGTTGGTTCATTTTCCTCGCTTGAAACATACCAAAAATCTGGCCAGAACAAGGCGCCTGTCGCTTTGTATTCAGGCGTGTCAAACAAATAGGTGGGGTCGTGTGCTGGTACGTTATCAGAGTCGAGGTATAATACTTCTTTGAAGGCTGAATTGATGACAGCGGCTGCCTTGATCTGAAATTGTTTGTCTGCATTTCTTCTGTGGATGATGGGTCTAACTAATTGAGGATCTGATAAATCCCTGGGAGCTGCGCCTAGATTCTCGAGCTCTTGTCTCATGTGCTCAGATGGCTGTTCGTCAGATAAATGCCATACTTCAATGTTGAGCTGACAACGATGCATGTGTCTCAGTAATTTGATCGCTGTCAGTGTGCGGTCAAAAGTATCTCTGTTGCCTGCGACAAGTACGATGCCACGACCGGATACGGTGTTCGGTATCCGAGTGCGCTTCACACTGGATACAAACTTTTGCCATCTTTTTCTGTAGACTTGAATGGTTGCTTCGCTCAGGTGTCTCCAGAACTCAATGTGAGCATTGGTGTGGTTGGGATCTATGTTGCGGCCGACTTGATCAGACTTGCATTCATTGGATTTAGGCTTTTTCGTTGGGAGGATGGGCATTTCTGCCGTCGTATTCTGTGGTACGGTGGTACTCGCTGTAGCGGCTGTGGTTGTGGTTGGTAAATGGTAAGAAGTGGTGTATATGCAGTAGACTAGGAAAATGACAAACAAGATGATGAAGCCATTTATCTTTGACCTCGAGTTGCTGCTAGTTAATAATGCCATTTTTGTCAAGTTGTGTGAGTGAGTGAGAGGGAGAAAGAGAGAGAAAAAAAAGAAGAGACGAAGCTATGATGTCTATCATATAATGGGTTTCAAAATATTTAATGTTTGGGATCGCCATGATGATATATTACTCTCTTGGCGCTAAAACCTAATGCCCTTTTTTGGGGAAAACAAGACTCGGACAAAAGGTAGCGATGTATTACAAAAATGACGTTAGTTTACACAAGGATATTGTTGTCCATGCTCTGGATGAGTGCATAGCCTAGTTGTATCATGGCCTCCTCCTTTTCTTCAGCGACAATGGCGCCCTGTCTCTTGCTAAACGACGTCGATCCTTTGGCCAATGATTTGATCTGATTTTGGCACTTTTCGTAAATGTACTTGGACAGACTATCGTCTTCATCTCGCTTCCTTATTTGCTCCACCTTTTTGCACAGCTCTGCAATTTCATCCGATTCATGCTGAATAGAAATGCCATGAGTTGTTTGAGCAGCACCGTGCTACTTGACAAAACTTACCTCAAGAATGATCAAATCATCGTTGGTAGACAACCCTAGCGCCTGCATCAGCATTTGGGCATCCGGTGACAAGATCAGCTTGGCCGACTTTCTAATCAGCAAACCCCATTGAACCAGAGATTGCAGCGTGGCTTGGTTGTACTCAGTGGACAGCACTTCGCTATAAATGGTCCTCCTCCCACTGATCAAGTGCATGCCGATCCATTGAGATAGCGTGGGCACCAACGACAAAGGCAGCGCTCTGACATCATTCAGTGCTGACAAGGCACACAGAGTGACCCAGAACGAATCGATAATAGGGTATATAAAGGATGCCAGCAAGCTGAATTGATTGTATTTCTTGCTCAAGTTCACTTTGGTCACTATTCTCTCCAGCATGTCTCCACTCTCGTTCATGTAATCTTGGTATTTCATCTTCAGTTGCTGGTACTCCTCCTTGATGTTCCACAACGTATTGAAATGATATTGAAATAGAGTTGCCAAGAACTCAAATCGCTCGATGAAGATGGATTCTGCTATTTTGGTCAGATTGAAAGACAAGTAAGTGGCCGCAAAAATTGCATCTAGAACAAACAGCTCGCGCAACTAGAAGAAGCGTGTTAGTATCCCTCCTATTCAACAAATACATCAGACATACCTGATTTGCATAATAGGCTAGCTGCAGAATACCCTCTGACCGAGTGTTGATTCTAAACGTGAACCCACTATTTCTCTCGTCCAATGTCACCAAATTCGAGTTCTTTTCCAGCAGGCGAATGTTGTAGAATATGATGGTCTCACTGTCCTCAAAATCTAAGCATCATCCGCGGCATATTAGTTACATTTGGTATGATCTCATTGATCAGCTCTTACCTTGCCAGTCCATGGAGATTCCTTGATCCTTGATGAAGCTATATAGGTACTCCAAGTGATCCTTCATGGTCTGCAAATCAATGCAGTTACCCCTGACCCGACTGTACAACAAGATGGATGCTACCAAGGATATGGGACTGATCACAAGCGCTCGTTTTTGCTCCTTTTGAATGATATTAGGCAACTGCACCGCACCTTCGCTGCCAAGGTCGTTCATGGAAATCGGCTTCCCTATGCCTACAAGTAGTCTGCCACAATGCATTGCTTGTTGTGCCGGACCACTCTTCTTTTGTTCTTCTTGCCATCCATTTCCTAGACTACGACTTCGTACTCGATGTGCTCGACTGTCACTTGGTCTCGATACTTTGGTAGGCGTTGACATGCGATGGGACGCTGTGGTTGATTTCGATCTTTCCAGTCCATTGCCGGTCCTGTTGAGTGCTGATTTTCCTTTGTTTGTATTTAAGTCTTGGGTGATTAATGAGGTAATATCAGGCACTTCTTCGTAAGATGTATTGATAGGTACAAACACGATATCTTGTTCAATGACCATATCAACGAGGCCGTCCTGATAAGGCATTTGGAAGATACCGGTCCTTGATCGTATCTTGTCTAGCAAAAGTGTCATCGCTCCACGCTCTCGCATCAAATGTTGAAGATAGGCTGAAGTAACTGCAGTTGTCAATGTGGATCGCGCGTTGGGATCTCGCTTGATAAATACCGCACCAGCAAGTCGCAAAAGATCCGAGAATGGGCCTAGAATAGCCAAGGCTTCGTCCAGAATCAGCGCTGGAATAGGCAGCTCGTATCGTATGGCCAGATACCACACGAGAACAGGGTCCAGCACAGTCTTTGACACAGGCACATACACGACACGTTTATTTTTGACAGAAGCTCGGATCTAAAATGCATCTGCATAAGCGATCTCATAATTTACCATATTTGTACATATTTACCTTTTCAAGACTGGCCTTGTCAATGTAGATGCCGCTAAACATACTTTTAAACAGTTTCTGCAAAAATGTGGCAGCAAACCAAGCGTACGGCAGTTGTGTCCTTTCCTGAATTCTGCTCAAAGATCGCATTGCTTCTTCCATGACCTTCTCAACGGGCATACCAGACCGCTTAGAGACCTACATCACGTAAGTGCTTTCTTCTTATTTGATGCAAGAGGGGGGCAACATACCTGGCGAATGGCCTTTCCAACGCCTGGGTCGTTCAATACTGTCACCTTTGTCATTTCGCTGTTTTCATCCACCTTTAGTCCCCATCGACTCTGAATTTCCTTCTTTTTTGAGCTGATTTCCAACGCCTCAATGGATCCTTCATCACACCAGTCTTCCAGGGTATCATTCAAGTATTCAATCCACATGGGCTTCCACTCTTTTTCTGTCTGTATCATCTTTGCAGGGTTTTTTAGGGAATTGATGGTGATGTCCAACATGTGTTGTATTCTCTGTCGCATTTCTTCATCAGTGTACACAACGCTCTTGAAGGGCGAGTCGATGATGGAGGGCGTGTTGGTATGAGAGTACAGAGCACACAGTTGGGATGTGGGCAAGACGCTTGTACGCATGTGATGGCCGCAATGCAAGACATACACATGGACCCCGTAACAGCTCTGCAAAAAGTAACTGTACCAATCCAGATGGTGTAACGTGTCTATGCCTTGCATCTTGTCTACCAGCGTATTGAATTGCACCGTATTGTACTGCCAGTGATGGCGGTTTTGTTTAGAAAGATTGTTGCGGATGTTGGAGGCCAGCTCCATCCACTTTTGCTGATCTTGTTGCTGATGATGATGAAAATCTTGTCGTACTGCAGTGCTGTGATAGTTTAAAGAGAAATTCGAGGTATTTGCTGTGGCATTGATGCCATTGATATGATTGCTGTTGGTGGTGGACGAGGATCGAAAGTAGTACTGCATCAAGAATCGTGCTTTGGATAACGTTTTGTTGCTCGAGAAATAGTTGTCGGCAGTAGGCAGCTTCTGGTTGTTGGGTATAGCATTGCATGGTCTAGTCCAGTAGTCTTGAATGGCGGTATATGCTTCGTACCAGGTAATCGGCTGAGTGAACACTGACGTTGACATGTTGAAAATGTAGGGAAAATAGGGTGCGGTAATCAACGTCGAGCTCTTTTCAGACATGTCGCTTGCAAATGGCACGACGAATTCAGGGCCGGGATAGACAATGGTGGGTATAGAATGGACAACGCATTTCGCCACATAGTCCACTGGAATCACACTTGCCTGTTGCTGTCCTTGATCTGGCTGAATGATGGGAATCGAATGGCCATACAGAGCCAACCAAGAAGACACGCCCGACATGCCAATAGTCCACCCTGGCATTGGTTCCAGCGCAGCAGGACCTATATAATGAGATCGGAAGATAGCCAATGGATAAGGCTCTTTTCCACCCTGAATCTGCTCGTTCCTGACTTGATTTATCCTCTTTGCAATCAAATGTTCCACGAGTGCTTTTGTAAATAAATGTAAGGTCGAGAACTTTTGCAGGATCCGCTTAATAAGGATTGATAGCTCTGATATTGTGATACAAGAGACAAATTAATGTTTCCAAATGAGGTATATTTAAAATTCAATATAAAGTACCTTTTTCATCTGCGCCAAGAAGTTGCTTTAGAAAATCCTCTGGGTCACCAAATCCAAGATCATAAATGTATTCGAGGATCACTGTGTCGTCGCTGTCTTGTGGTGTGTCTTGGTGAATGTGGATTGGCGACATATGAATGAACGAGCCTATTTCAAAGTAATTAGTCTATGGAATCGAATCAAAGCGCAACATGCCAACTCACAGACATCATCACAGTTGTCTAAATAGTCCATCAATCGAATTGTGCCTAAAACATTCGTCTATAAAGTGTCAATGTGTCGTATTCGAGTCCACAAGAGCTGTCCTACTACCTCCAAATTCCACTCCAAGGAATTCTCATATTCTGAGGTACATGCGCAATGAATGACAATGTTGGTATCCTTCATCTGAACGCTGTCTTCCATCGATAGCCCCATATGTGACAGAGACAGATCATAAGATATCGGGACGAGCTTTCGTCTCAACGTATCTTTACTCATGCCAAAGTGTTTTACTAGCTTCTGAAACGCCTACATGTTGTGTCATTTAGTATTCAGTCGACGCAATGCCGAGAGAAAGCACCTACTGGCGTATTAATGATTTCATCCAATATGCGCTGTGAAGGACTTCCAGCCGGGACTCTTTTGGGGCGAATAAGAACATAGACCTTGTCGATAACATCGCCAGCTTCCTTGAGTAATTGCCACAAGATGGACTTGCCTACAAATCCTGTTGCGCCTGTAATAAGGATTGTTTTATTGTTGTAGTACTCTTTCATTGTAGGTGTGTAAAACTGAAAGAGAAAGAAAAGGACTATTGTGTGTGTTGTACATGCAGAAAAAATATCAAGCTTTAAATTTTGTCGGGTTCTCGAACAAGCTGAAAGGAACCATGAGAATGATTTCCATAACCATTTAATTTAGATTCAAAGTCATGTTGAGCTTTTTGTGGGCACCTACCCTAAGCATTACCATTCGATTGTTTACAATCCTTTGACTATCGGCTTACATCATTGCCATGGTTGACTATGCTTGAACGCCCAATGTTTGCATTCTATTTGAGATCATTGCTGCCATTTCCGGGATAAATATTTGCATTTCTTAGACGCTGAAATTACCCCTGAATTTTTATTTCTTTTGGACCAAAAGGCCCTTCATCATGTCAAAGCTATTGCCATCTGGTAAAAGACCGTATAGTTTGCCCTTCTTTTCAAGACTTTCCACTTGAAGCATGCCAAAATCTGATGTGATTCCAACAATCTTGACTTGCTCATTATTATGGGTTGTCAATGTTACGACAGTATCACTGAACAGAAAGATTTAGCAAGTTATGGCCACTCGTAAACCTCCATTTTGTTTTACCTGTGTAGCCATCGTTGATAATATCTATCAAGGAACCAAGTGCCCATGCCTTTTTCACAAAACTCGTTGTAGTAAACTTCAAATTTCACCAAAATACCCGCCAAAACATCCTCTGCTGACAGTCGAGAAGCAGATGGATTATATTCGCTAATGATATCGTTGATGGAGACAGTGGGCTCAGCATTGGACAGATTAATACCACAGCCTATAGGTGTAACAGTGTCAGAACTGCTGGTAGTGGGTTTTAATGTCAAAGTATTACCTATCACCAATACGAATTCATCGTCAACAAACGTCGAGTTAATCAGTAAGCCTCCTACTTTCTTCAATCCATCGGATCTGGTCTCTGTGTAAATGTCGTTTGGCCATTTCAATCGAAGAGGTATATCCTCATATCCAGGTCTGGTTCTTATGCTCTCCACCACAGCGAGAGCAACGATATACTGAATGAATACTACTGGTGCGTGTCTAATATTCACATTGTGTCGAACCACCATACTGAATTGCAGTGCTCCAATTTGAGACACCCATGAATTTCGGCCTCTTCCTGCATAACAGTCTCTATAAGCAAAAGAAGACTATCCAATATGTCTTTCCCAATTACCTCGACCAGCCACTTGATTCGTAGCCAAGCATACCAAGCCACTTGGTAATGCTTGTGAGAATTTGAAGTTTCTACATACAAGAAACAATGTGAGTAACAAAAAGCAGTGGAGACACATCCAACAACATACTTGTCTATAATGGACTGTGTACTGCCAATCACTTCAGCGTACAACACACCGTTTCCAAATAACAGCCAGCCGCCTCCACCCCATTCCAAACCTCTCTTTCTTACTAATTGCTTGTAGTAATCCTCTAGATCAAAATGTGGCGTCAACGACTTGGACGGGTATATAGGCTCTGTTGCATCAATGGTGCTTTGATACACGAATTCAACCACAGGCGGCTTATCTTCCTTTATACGACAGAGTGATAGCAAACGAGCTTGCTCACTAGGAGCATCGCCCAGAGCAGAAATATGGAATATATCATGATTGTCCTCTAGGATGTGCGTTACGGGATTGGCCTTTCTCAGCAGATACGATGCTGGTTTGTACATCCATTCCTTCGTCAGGCCTGAGAGATATAGTGGTGTCATCTCGGGCACCTTGTTCTCCTGCACAATTGTATTTTCGACAGGCACAACATTCAATCCTATCAAAGCGAAGGAGGCACGAAGAAAACGTTTTCTCTCTACTTCAGACAATGTCAATTCGCAAAGTATGTTTCGTACAGTTTGGCTAACAGCACTGCCATCCGCAAGTAAGAGGTCTTGTGATGAGATATCGTACTCGGGATGTGTGGCAATCAGCAGCGCATGACCTTGACCAACTTTGCAATGGACTATTGCTGCAGGTTGTTGCTCTGATTCAGGCAAGTTGCTAGGTTCTTTGTATCGGCACAAGACTGTGACATTATCGAATCGCTCAGGATGCACAAAGTAACCTCCTCCGTTATAATACATGTTGATTTCCTGAGGTACATCTTCTCCATGGTAGTGTGGCGACATTGTCTCTCGGTCCAAACCAACAGCTACTGATCTAGCTCCACTCTCACTATTATATACAAATCCAGGGTAGGTGGTGCCTCGGCATAATCCTGGATAGAATCCCAGTTCTCTTGGTTGAATGATCTCCATCAGTGCTCTTCCTTTTTCGAATTCGATGCTTGCTGAGGCATAGTAGGCACCAGCACATAAGCCTAAATACCTACCACCTTGCTCCACAAATGCTCTGATACGGGCATTTGGTTCTTCATTCAAAGCTTCACAGTAGGGCATATCTCGACCACCTGGCATAACGAGCATAACACAACCTACTTCCCAGGGTTCGTTTTGCAAGACTGTGCGATCAATTTGTATAATGTCATAAACATGGCCCAAGATTGCTTTGAGTGTGTTGTATGTGTGCTTTACTGAATTAGGCGAAGCTCCAAGGTCATTGTAAACTAGGATGTTCATCAAAAAGTTAAAGAGAAATATGATACTAGAAAGAAGAGTAAAAAAAAAGCTTGGTATCCATTTGGAGATCTTTTCAAGAGCAGATGGTTGAAATGTGGGAAAACCTTAGACCAGTAAAACCCCTTTGCTATTTTGGGGCAGCAATGGTACCTGTTGTCTTTTGACGTTGATAACTTCCCTGCTATTTCTGAGTATGATTTTGCATAGATATTAAACGCGACATGTTTTATTTCATCCTTATATATTTTAGCCTCAATTGGCGTTCAAAAACACAGTTCAATCAATTGCTATTGATACTTCAGATCTAAAACTAATTGATTCGCTCGATAAACTTAAATCATCATCAGTAAGACGCTTCCTCACTTTCTGTAATTTAGAATCCTGCTGAGGATTCATCGGTGCAATAGCAAAGACGTATTGGAAAGCAGTAATTACTGAAGAACAGCTCTAATGTTACTTTCATTGCTGTCTTAATAATTAAGAAACTACACACAAAGGTTGTGCACCTGGCGGTACAATTTCCGTCTTGGAAATATCTATTTCCTTAAAAAACATCTCATAGTAATCATAAAAACATTTCACTTTATCCAAAGTAAGTAAAACTAAGCAATACTATGCAGGATCGAACCTGGGGCCTCTAACTTCGAGGTGAGATATTCTTCTACTGAGAAAGATTGAGCAGGAGGAGCAGAGATGCGTGGTGGTATATTGATATCTCTTTATTCAGAGTACAAAGGAGGAATATGGTGATGCTATCAAATGACTAATCTATATCCTGGTTCCTGTAGCGTGATAGACTATAGCCTTTCGTTCCTGAAAGCGGGTTTCAATTCTGACAAACGTTCTTCCGTCAAATTTATTGTGAAAAACATTCTATTCTGGATCCTCGTTGCTGTTCATTCCTGACTGGTGGTCCATGAGTTTTCACGCAGCACATCCTCGTTAACTTGCTTAAGGCTTATACAATTATCCCGTATTCAAGATCAAGGCACTACTGCTACTACGGCATTGTCAAATAATTATAAATGTCTTCGAAATTTACTAGTTCTAAACCTCATTCAATCTTGGAATAATAACAGTAAATATGTTCAATTCTAAGTGAACTTCCTCTATTTATACCTCGTTATTCTAAACAAAGATCACTGTGTCGAAGTATTATAATATCTATATAACTTTCCCACCTGGTGATAACTTTAAAAGACATTATTCCTCACATTAAACAGTTGTACAAAAGATTGTGTATTGCACGAAGTCTGCACATTATCTTACTTTTATATAAACAAGGATTTACGGTATATTGTATCTATATTTGAATAAACTTTTATTGCAAACACAAAATTATATTAAGTGACAGATCAATAAGAAATCAACTAGTTGTAGATCTTCGTTGTTCCAACCTCTTAGCCAATCAGATTGCTTGAAAACTCCGCTGACCTAAAAAAAATTTGCGAGGGTTTCCCTCTGTTTTGATGTGAGGCAAAATTTTAAGCTCCGCTATATATAGCAATATAGCTGTTACTATCATCAAATTTCCCTCAGGTGCTAGAGCATGCCTTACTTACACCACCCAGCTTTAGATTCAGGCGTTGAGACTCTCAATCATCACTAAAGTAAGTAGCGATAACCAAGTGGAGACAGCCTATCCATCTCCTAGTCTCGGATAAAGTCTTGTTGAGCTTCAGCGATAGGCACATCCACCACAACGTAATAAAGAGGTATGCTTCGAAAGAAACATAATAAAAGAAAAAAGGAAAAGAAGAAAACAACATACTACTATAGGGGTATAGTAGCATGTAGATAAAAAAGGAACACTCACACAAAAAAGCGAGTCAAAAGAAAAGCATTACAACAAATACAACATCAAAGATGTTCAGAACAGCTCGTTGTTGTTGCAACAAAAATGCATGCATGAGCAATGTGCATGGTGGTAATAGTCGAATGTCAAGCAACACAAACACGCACAATTGCATGAGCAACAGCAGTATTATAAGTGTGCAATACAACATAATGACTATTGTTGTTTCATGTGAAGCGACAGAGGCAACACAAACAACAACCCACGGTTATATAACAAAGTAGTATTACAAAGGCAATACAGTTATATAGCAGTGCATCATGCTTGTTGTTTGTACATACGAAACAACAACATCGCAAGCATGCGTTGAGCTGATCATATCACAGCCAACGAAAGAAGAAGAAAGCGCAATAAGGCAAACGTCACGAATGCATTATCACGAGAAAGGAAGCAGTAATAATAATATAAACATTCAAAGAAGTTTTATATCATTGCGACCAGAAGAAAGAAGATACTTACCACTTACCACAGCCACAGATACATCAGAAGAGTATAAGCAATTACCAGACATAGACCAGAGAACGAGCATGCACCAAAGATAGCAGACCAGGAGAGACCAGACTAGCAACAGTAATACCAGCAGCAACACCAGAAGCAACACCAGAATCATAGAAAAACCAAAGAACAAACGACACCAGAGACCAGACAAAGATTAAAGAAGCAGCCACCAGAAATAAAGACCAACGAAGCAACCGCCAGAGATAATAAACCAAAGAAGCAAATAGCAGAGATAGCAGAGATAGCAGAGATAGCAGAGATAGCAGAGATAGCAGAGGTAGCAGGGAAGCAATGGCAGCAGCATCCACATCAAACAGGCAAGAAAATTATCGAAGCCTAATAAACAAATTCAGTTAGTATTCATTCCACGCCTTCCAGTACACGTTATCGAATGGTACCTACTATATTCCACTTTAAAGAAGCAGTATCAACTACTTTTAACAATACAAGGCCTTGTTATCAGAAGCTAGAGTGTTATTTTCAATCAAAACGGTCCCCAAATGAATATGGTGTGGAATACATCCACTATGATCTGCATTCCGACAGTTCATCCAGTTACCAGATTTAGATATAAACTGTATGTACACTGGATTAGATGTACGATATCGATTTATACTATGATCATGAGAAGATATGGACTTCAGATACGCTAGTACTATAAGATTCATACTATATAAGATATAGGCTATAGATGGCACCACGGACATGGATGGCACTATAGACTTATACTTGTATTCCGACATTGACTACGGATGTTTACCATATCTGGATAGGCACCAAGATTAATGCAATATGAGCTTGTTGCTTCAGATGTGCACTTCATGATCCACGCTATAAGACACATGCTTATATCCGTGATACTAGCTACAGATACTTTATGTACTACAGACTTGTACTATATATGAGACATGCTATAGACATGCATACGATATGCTATAGACATGCCATATATCCAGATACATGCTAAAGATGTATGCTTAGCGATATACACTCAGATATGTACTATTAATATAGACTAAGAAGACTGTACCTATCGGATACATGCTACTAGATCGATATTAATTATCCTTATAGAAAGGATAGATCAGGGTACTTCGGATGAGAGTCTAATTATTCATCCAGACAGAGCTAAATCATGATTAGCTTGCTGGAGTTGTCTTTTGGCATGATTAGACATTAGTTGATCTGAGTTGACTTATTTGTCAATCTAATTAATAGAACTTTTATCCATTGTTATAGTATATAAGAAGGACCATCTACCTGGCCAGTAGAGAGACTTCAGTTTACTTTACACCTGTCAGTTTGATAATAAAATATACCTTTATCAAGTTGACATTACTGTTTTTTTTTATTCTTTTTTTTCCGTGAATTTTAGTCTGTAAAGCCTCAAATTCCACATATGGTTTGATACTAAATGCGATTTGCAAAAAGGACAAAAAACGAGGGTATGGAAAATGAGAGGGCGCCCTAACCGACGTCACGACCAGTAGATTTTGGCCTCAGTCTTCTGCCGAGGAGGCAGCTTTAACTGCTGCACTTTAATTTAAATTTCTGCAGTGGGTATTTTCGTGTTCAAATTCGACCTGATTTCACATTCTTTAAACGTTTTTGCTAAAATTGACTATGAAAATTGCCGTGGTTATACTTTAATTTTTAATGCATTTATAAAGAGTCAATGAAGGCGCATCGAATGATGCTGACTACTTTTAGCTTTCAGACCAGAAATTAAGAGCAATCTTGAAATATTTAAAAATAGGTTTTCTGTAGGAATGTCAATATTTAGCATATGAAAGTCTCAAAAAAGTACTTTACAATGTTGCATATCATCTTTACGGTCAATTTGGTCTAATATGTATTATAGGAAATGTCTTGAATCTCGGGGTGAAAAGCGCGATCGTTTGATTTTTAAGAGTTTTCCCTTGCTAATACTCATGAAAACATGAAGATTTTCATGAATTTGCAATGACCCAAAAAAAAAAGAGATAAAGAATCAGGAAGTAAAGCGTGGCTAAGAAAAGGCGTGTGGTGCTATTCCAAGCTCTCAAAACGCTTTGTGGCATGAGTTATTCTTGCTTGAAAATGGCTAGATTTGAACAGAATTTGACCTGCAAGTAAGTCGTTGTAGGTTGCATTCCCAAACGGGTAAGTAAGCCACATGTTTACTGCTTGATAATCCAGATATTCAGCATTGTACGAAGTTCAATTCTTAATCAATTGATGCTTTTATTGTAAATGTGGAATACATCCACTATGATCTGCATTCCGACAGTTCATCCAGTTACCAGATTTAGATATAAACTGTATGTATACTGGATTAGATGTACGATATCGATTTATACTATAAGAAGATATGGACTTCAGATACGCTAGTACTATAAGATTCATACTATATAAGATATAGGCAATAGATGGCACCACGGACATGGATGGCACTATAGACTTATACTTGTATTCCGACATTGACTACGGATGTTTACCATACCTGGATAGGCACCAAGATTAATGCAATATGAGCTTGTTGCTTCAGATGTGCACTTCATGATCCACGCTATAAGACACATGCTTATATCCGTGATACTAGCTACAGATACTTTATGTACTACAGACTTGTACTATATATGAGACATGCTATAGACATGCATACGATATGCTATAGACATGCCATATATCCAGATACATGCTAAAGATGTATGCTTAGCGATATACACCCAGATATGTACTATTAATATAGACTAAGAAGACTGTACCTATCGGATACATGCTACTAGATCGATATTAATTATCCTTATAGAAAGGATAGATCAGGGTACTTCGGATGAGAGTCTAATTATTCATCCAGACAGAGCTAAATCATGATTAGCTTGCTGGAGTTGTCTTTTAGCATGATTAAGCATTAGTTGATCTGAGTTGACTTATTTGTTAATCCAATTAATAGAACTTTTATCCATTGTTATAGTATATAAGAAGGATCATTTACCTGGCCAGTAGAGAGACTTCAGTTTACTTTACACCTGTCAGTTTGATAATAAAATATACCTTTATCAAGTTGACATTACTGTTTTTTTATTCTTTTTTTTTCCGTGAATTTTAGTCTGTAAAGCCTCAAATTCCACAGCACATATCGACTGTATAAGGTGCAAAAGAAGTGGCCCTTTTCCTAGCAGAGCTGGTCTTGAATGTTGAGGCTATAGGCGTTGCAACTGATCATAGTAGATGTTAGCGCTTTGAAACAACCAACTTTGTTATGGTTACTTACAAGGATACGTTTGGTTGTGCCATTGAACAAGTCTTCGGATGCTTGAGTTTGTCAAGTTTTCTTCCCTGAAGATCTTGTGTATTTCAGTATTTTTTAGCATCCAGTGGTGGTAATGCCTCGCAACTGTCAGACATCTGATTGTCACTATAGTTAGTGCCGAGTCGATCAGAGTCTCCAAAGTCATATCCGCCATCGCTACCAGGTTCACTATCGCTGTGTTCTTGCTGACTATTTCTTTCAGTGTAAGATCCAGCCTGAGTATCATGTTCAGTTCTTGCTTTCTTTCTTTGATACTGATCAGTCTCCAGGTTGTGCAAGTCTACAGTTGTTGTGTCGTTTGAAGAGTGCCAAAGTTTATGCTGTTTTTCATGTCTATTGCGGATTCTTCGACAACACTGGGCACAAAAAAATGGCATCGTTAATAATATTGGAAATAAAGGTTAAACACAACTCTGTCTGAATTGTCTTTTATGCTCCTTATATTGCATGCGTTTTAATCTGCATGATTGAAACATCAATGTCTGTGATAGCGGGAGCTATTAATTATTGGAAACATTACTAGACCAGTTTTTCTCGGTCTTTCATAGATTGTTACGCATTTATCGCATTTGATACAACCATCTCAAAGCACTGGTCTATTTTACACTTTACACTAATCACTTATTCAAAAATGTATCAAGCACAACAACTATTCTTACAAAGATTGGAGAACACTGAACAGGAGTTGTCCAATCTTAGCAAACAGGTCAAGGAATGTAATGACAACCAAACCGAAGTAAAAGCTATGCTGCAGCACATTGTTCAACAATCTACTTCTTCGAGCACGGCCAATGTTGCGAGACTACATGGAGTGATATGCCGTCCAAGCAAAGCAGACAACAAACATCTGGAGGAGCTTTCTGTTGAGCTATGCATCAGCGTCCTTGAGGAGCATCGATTAGGTGGTGGGAAAAACCTTGATGGCAAGAAGGTCTGGGAGCTTGTCAAAGATGCAGCATACAACCAGGCAAAGAAAGCTGATAGACAGTTCCCAAATATCACTTTCAGCAAGCTGGACAACAGGTTACAAGCCTTGTTGGTCAAGACCGTCATTAACGATGTAGCCAAAAAGGGCGTTGACATCTCTGGGTTCTTCAAAGATTGGTTGCCGCAGTTTGCTGTCTCCAAACCATTGTCTGGCATAATCGATTACAAATACAATGCCAGGCCAAGCAATGACACCGCAACTCACGAAACCCAATTCGATGATGATCTGGTATTTTCTGAGGGATCCCAGGCGCAATCCGAAGAAGATTCTGTCGACGATGACGAAAATTCGATTGTAGACAAGATCAATTTTCATGTTTCTCGAAATACTGGATCACAAAAGTAAATGCTGCATAGAGAAAAGTACTCTTTGATACTAATCGTAATATTATAGAAGAATCAGCATGCAACATATGCCTCTAGTAGAACAAGTAATTAAGTTTTCATAGATATAGCGCAGTAACTCACATTTCTTTTCCGTTTTATAATGTGCACTATCATTATTATAGCCAATGCAGCCATCTCCAGTATCAAAAAATGTATCTGCATCAAACAAATCAAAGGCAAAGGAATATGAAAAGCACAGAAGATCTTCATCACCAGAAACGCAAGATTTGCAAAGACAGTAAGTCTCTCATCATGCGAACCTCTATTGGTTCGATCGTTGATAAAAGGTTTCGTTATTTTTCCTCCTGATCTTGCTGACACAGACTCAGCCAGTCGATTTTCAACCATTTCTCCTTAATTATGAGTGTTCAACATTTTGATAGACTTCAAGTTTAGCTTTAAGGTTAGTGTGAAATTTGAGGCTTAATAGACTAAAATTCGCGGAAAAAAAGAATAAAAAACAATAAAGTCAACTTGATAAAGGTATGTTTTTGTTGAGGATATAGATCATCTCTGAGAGGCAAATGTATTAAGCGTCGTTTATTACATAAGAGGATCTGAGAATGAGCTGAGATGCATAGTAGAAGTGAGAGGTCTTTATTCAAGCAGCACGAAGGAATATGAGTGGTGCCATCAAATGGCTAATCTATATCCTGGTTCCTAGAGAGTGGTAGCCTATGGTCTTTCGTCCCTGGAAGTGGGTTTCAATTCCGACAAATGTCCTTCCGTCAAAGCTATTAGGAAGAACATTCTATTCTGGATCATCTTTGTTGTTTATCCTTGACTGGTGGTTCATGAATTCTGATGCAGCACATCCTCGTTACTGGTTCAAGGCTTATACAATTATCCCGCATTCAAGATCAAGGTCCTATTGCTGCGGCACTGTCAAATAACTATAAATACCTTTGATATCTACACTAGTTTTGATCCCTATTCAATCTTGGAATAACATAATAAATATATTCAGTTCTAATTGTATTTACTCTGTCTATATTTCGTTATTCTAAACAGTTTTATTATCAGACTGACAGGTGTAAAGTAAACTGAAGTATCTCTACTGGCCAGGTGGATAATCCTTCTTATATACTATAACGATGGATAAAAGTTCTATTTGTTAAGCACAAAGAACAAAAGGATTATTATTTGTAGCTTATAAAAAATGTTCGATATTATAAAAACAAGAAAAGACTTACTTGAATAAGATCAGACACAAAAACTAAAGATTTATTGATGATGAAAACAAGAGTTATTCTATTTATACTAAGTTCTGAATGCCAAAGTAGCAATTTATCTTGTACAACGCTTATCACATCTGGTGAACCTCAGTATTTAGATAGCTGAGATGCACTTCAATTATCATTGCTTGTCCCTGTTGTTGCACAACACAGACATATCTACCCATCAAGAATAATAACTTAATCTTTATAGACAGTTGTTGCCCTTCTGGCACAACATAATCCAGTGTACATACAGTTTACATCTAAATCTAATAACTGGATGAACTGTCGAAATGCAGATCATCGTGGATGTATTCCACAGTTAGATATAGCTTCTCTGCTGCGAACGATTATCAAAAGTAATCTGCTGACCTAATAAGTATCTCATTCAATCCATGCAAGTCATCAAATTTAAATTTATGAAATAGCATTGCTGCTCAAGGTTTAGATTTACTTTAATCATCGCGCATTTTAAGACGAAACATTTGATTCTTAGAATCAGAATAAGCGCGTCTACCGCTAAGAAAAATAAATTTCGTCAGATGCAGAACATTTGGGTCATTAGACAAAATTTTAATTTACTTGCTGGTTTTGCAACTTAACCTGCTACACCTTAATTTCAGGTCAAATTCTGTTCAAATCTAGCCATTTTCAAGCAAGAATAACTCATGCCACAAAGCGTTTTGAGAGCTTGGAATAGCACCACACGCCTTTTCTTAGCCACGCTTTACTTCCTGATTCTTTATCTCTTTTTTTTTTGGGTCATTGCAAATTCATGAAAATCTTCATGTTTTCATGAGTATTAGCAAGGGAAAACTCTTAAAAATCAAACGATCGCGCTTTTCACCCCGAGATTCAAGACATTTCCTATAATACATATTAGACCAAATTGACCGTAAAGATGATATGCAACATTGTAAAGTACTTTTTTGAGACTTTCATATGCTAAATATTGACATTCCTACAGAAAACCTATTTTTAAATATTTCAAGATTGCTCTTAATTTCTGGTCTGAAAGCTAAAAGTAGTCAGCATCATTCGATGCGCCTTCATTGACTCTTTATAAATGCATTAAAAATTAAAGTATAACCACGGCAATTTTCATAGTCAATTTTAGCAAAAACGTTTAAAGAATGTGAAATCAGGTCGAATTTGAACACGAAAATACCCACTGCAGAAATTTAAATTAAAGTGCAGCAGTTAAAGCTGCCTCCTCGGCAGAAGACTGAGGCCAAAATCTACTGGTCGTGACGTCGGTTAGGGCGCCCTCTCATTTTCCATACCCTCGTTTTTTGTCCTTTTTGCAAATCGCATTTAGTATCAAACCATATGTGGAATTTGAGGCTTTACAGACTAAAATTCACGGAAAAAAAAGAATAAAAAAAAACAGTAATGTCAACTTGATAAAGGTATATTTTATTATCAAACTGACAGGTGTAAAGTAAACTGAAGTCTCTCTACTGGCCAGGTAGATGGTCCTTCTTATATACTATAACAATGGATAAAAGTTCTATTAATTAGATTGACAAATAAGTCAACTCAGATCAACTAATGTCTAATCATGCCAAAAGACAACTCCAGCAAGCTAATCATGATTTAGCTCTGTCTGGATGAATAATTAGACTCTCATCCGAAGTACCCTGATCTATCCTTTCTATAAGGATAATTAATATCGATCTAGTAGCATGTATCCGATAGGTACAGTCTTCTTAGTCTATATTAATAGTACATATCTGAGTGTATATCGCTAAGCATACATCTTTAGCATGTATCTGGATATATGGCATGTCTATAGCATATCGTATGCATGTCTATAGCATGTCTCATATATAGTACAAGTCTGTAGTACATAAAGTATCTGTAGCTAGTATCACGGATATAAGCATGTGTCTTATAGCGTGGATCATGAAGTGCACATCTGAAGCAACAAGCTCATATTGCATTAATCTTGGTGCCTATCCAGATATGGTAAACATCCGTAGTCAATGTCGGAATACAAGTATAAGTCTATAGTGCCATCCATGTCCGTGGTGCCATCTATAGCCTATATCTTATATAGTATGAATCTTATAGTACTAGCGTATCTGAAGTCCATATCTTCTCATGATCATAGTATAAATCGATATCGTACATCTAATCCAGTGTACATACAGTTTATATCTAAATCTGGTAACTGGATGAACTGTCGGAATGCAGATCATAGTGGATGTATTCCACACCATATTCATTTGGGGACCGTTTTGATTGAAAATAACACTCTAGCTTCTGATAACAAGGCCTTGTATTGTTAAAAGTAGTTGATACTGCTTCTTTAAAGTGGAATATAGTAGGTACCATTCGATAACGTGTACTGGAAGGCGTGGAATGAATACTAACTGAATTTGTTTATTAGGCTTCGATAATTTTCTTGCCTGTTTGATGTGGATGCTGCTGCCATTGCTTCCCTGCTACCTCTGCTATCTCTGCTATCTCTGCTATCTCTGCTATCTCTGCTATCTCTGCTATTTGCTTCTTTGGTTTATTATCTCTGGCGGTTGCTTCGTTGGTCTTTATTTCTGGTGGCTGCTTCTTTAATCTTTGTCTGGTCTCTGGTGTCGTTTGTTCTTTGGTTTTTCTATGATTCTGGTGTTGCTTCTGGTGTTGCTGCTGGTATTACTGTTGCTAGTCTGGTCTCTCCTGGTCTGCTATCTTTGGTGCATGCTCGTTCTCTGGTCTATGTCTGGTAATTGCTTATACTCTTCTGATGTATCTGTGGCTGTGGTAAGTGGTAAGTATCTTCTTTCTTCTGGTCGCAATGATATAAAACTTCTTTGAATGTTTATATTATTATTACTGCTTCCTTTCTCGTGATAATGCATTCGTGACGTTTGCCTTATTGCGCTTTCTTCTTCTTTCGTTGGCTGTGATATGATCAGCTCAACGCATGCTTGCGATGTTGTTGTTTCGTATGTACAAACAACAAGCATGATGCACTGCTATATAACTGTATTGCCTTTGTAATACTACTTTGTTATATAACCGTGGGTTGTTGTTTGTGTTGCCTCTGTCGCTTCACATGAAACAACAATAGTCATTATGTTGTATTGCACACTTATAATACTGCTGTTGCTCATGCAATTGTGCGTGTTTGTGTTGCTTGACATTCGACTATTACCACCATGCACATTGCTCATGCATGCATTTTTGTTGCAACAACAACGAGCTGTTCTGAACATCTTTGATGTTGTATTTGTTGTAATGCTTTTCTTTTGACTCGCTTTTTTGTGTGAGTGTTCCTTTTTTATCTACATGCTACTATACCCCTATAGTAGTATGTTGTTTTCTTCTTTTCCTTTTTTCTTTTATTATGTTTCTTTCGAAGCATACCTCTTTATTACGTTGTGGTGGATGTGCCTATCGCTGAAGCTCAACAAGACTTTATCCGAGACTAGGAGATGGATAGGCTGTCTCCACTTGGTTATCGCTACTTACTTTAGTGATGATTGAGAGTCTCAACGCCTGAATCTAAAGCTGGGTGGTGTAAGTAAGGCATGCTCTAGCACCTGAGGGAAATTTGATGATAGTAACAGCTATATTGCTATATATAGCGGAGCTTAAAATTTTGCCTCACATCAAAACAGAGGGAAACCCTCGCAAATTTTTTTTAGGTCAGCGGAGTTTTCAAGCAATCTGATTGGCTAAGAGGTTGGAACAACGAAGATCTACAACTAGTTGATTTCTTATTGATCTGTCACTTAATATAATTTTGTGTTTGCAATAAAAGTTTATTCAAATATAGATATAATTTAAATCCTCCTTCTTTATTCAAAAAAGGTAAGATGCATTTATTCATTACACACTTTTGTGAGAGGGATATACCTTAATAAATTCACTATGTGAGGAATTCATTGTGGATTACATCCACTCTGGTCTGCATTTCGATAGTTTATCCAGTTACCAGAATGAGATATAAACTGTGTATGCAATGGATTAAATGTACGATACAGATTTATAAGAAGGATATAAGCTTCAGATACGCTAGTGCTATAAGATCCATACTATGTAAGATTTAGGCTATAGACGGCACCACGGATAAGAATGGCGCTACTGACTTATACTTGTATTCCGACATTGACCACAGATGTTTGTCATATTTGGGTAAGCACCAAGGTTGATGCAATATTAGCTGAAGAAAATCATGTTTCTGCCACTGTAAACTCCAATTTGGGGTTGAAGAACTGATTTTGGACGTATCATAGTATGTGCCCAAACGAGGTTTCCTTTTGTAAATTAAACAACACAACAGGGGAGCAAAATATAGTCAGAAGAGAAGAAGCCTGGTTGGCAGTTGTACTGATAAATGATGAAGCACTTTATCCTTAACTCGGTAAATTATTTGACAATTAATGTAGCGACTGAAAATCCGTTTATATGTTTAGCTATCCCTCACACTGAGTATATAGTGGCCCTGAAGTAAAGTCTTTAGTATCAACATAGGACTTATAATAGCTGTTCCCCCCTTTTCGTAAAATGCGCAGTAAACCTTTGACCCTTTGCCAAACCACAACGAAGCAAGATATCACCAAGCGGTTTTGAATATAACGCTTGCCAACATCAAATTCATTGACCTGTCATTCGTAATCATTTGTAATTAACAGATTCTTATTTAAATTTCATTACTCAAAGCTGGCAAACTTCAAGAATCATCTGTTTCTCCACAATAACTCTCCCATTTTAAAAATTTAACAAAACTATTGTTTTTATCAAAATTGTACTATAGGAATGTGATACTTTCAATGCGAATTTCAAAATCGAATTTCAAGGTATACCTCTTTGTGGAAAGAAAAGAGTCAGTGATGTTGGGTGAATTTTGCAGATACAGAAGAATTGTCGCATGTTTTCTTCTGCCATTTCGTATTTGTTTCGTTTTTCAAGTGCATTTGGTGAGGAAGTAAACGTTTTCGCTTTTTAATTCCTGATTACTCTGTTTGTGATTAGAGGCACGCTTGTCTTTGAATCGAATTCACAAGGTCTAACATCCAAACCTATAAAATAAATGCCAAACCCTGGTCTTACACACTTCTATCTAGGAAAGCTACGACGACTGTATACGAATGATTTGTCAAATACAAATTTTATTCATAACAATACATGTATCGAATATGCCGTAGATAGCTATTTTTTTTTAAAACAAGGCCAAACCATAGGGAGGTTGTCTAATGAGACTCCACTTGTCATCATATTCAGCCCAGAGAGACCATTCAAGTTCCTTTAACAATTCGTTGCGCACAGTCCAAGCCTTGCTAATATCCTTGACAGTATCAGCAGTAAATGTAGCTTCAGAGATATATTTTTGAATAGATTTGAGAGCAGAGGCAGGATGTCCAGCCTCACGATCACGCTTGACCTTGATAAGCAAAGAAGACATGTTACTGGAGCTATCATCCGATGTCCATTGTTGCAAAGAGCGAACAGTAGCCTCCAAATCTTCGCCATGTGTCTCCTTGTCTGAAACAGCAGCATATGCCATAGCCTTGTTCTTCAGAGCATTGATGATTTGCTTCTTTTTGTCGCCGTTCTCCTTGCGCTTTTCTTTTTGTTCGTCGTTTTCATCATCAGGCTTCTTGCGACCGTAGAATTCCAAGAGCTCGCTTTGGTTGTACTTGGCAAGGATGGCATCTGCAATCTTGACAATCTCAGCGCATTGCTCCTTTGATAATTGACCGGGCTTCAATAGGCAATCTACATCGGATTTACCTTCTGAGGCAGTCCAGATGGCATTGATTTTGGATTCTAAAAAGTTGACATCATCAGGATAGGCAGCTTCTAATTTCTTCAAAAGCGCCTTGTAGGCTTCAGAATCAGCAGTGAATTTCTTGAGGTACGAGATTTCCAAATCGCGAGCAGCATCCTTCAACTTTTGCTCAAGTTCGTCGTCAGTGGGCTTCTTATCGCTCTTGCTGCTTCCAGAAGATGGCTCAATGACAGAGGGAGGAACAGTGTACAAGACATTGTACTGTCCACCGTCAACCTCGCCCAAAAAGTTGAGTTTACCAACCAATGCATCTCCAGGTTTGGCTTCCTTGGGAATGGCATCCTTGCCTGTAGGTGCAGCAATGTAAAAGACCTTAGTATCCTTGCGCTCCAAAGCAATCTTGCTATAGTTGGAACTGTCCTTTGTAAAGACATCGCCCATGGTCTGGAATGTGTCGAAACTAGTGCTCTTCAAATCCAGATCCAACTCCAAAATGGTTTCATTCAACTTCTCCAATGCGGTCTCGTTTTCTGTAGACAATTGAAGCATGATGGTGTAATCGCCCTTTTGGCTGATCTTGATGTCGTGGTCAAAGACATCGAGGTAGCCTACAATCTTCTTGTTGACGTCGTAAATGATGCCAAAGACACCAGCCAAAAAGTGTTCGTAGAGCTGATTCATGACTGTTGGGAATCGAGCAGTTATGGTAGTGCTAGCATCAACCTTAAAGTTATAAGACAGAATAAGCTGGTACAGTAGATGAGAGTTGGGCAACAAATCACGATCAGGGAGCATGGGTGTGATGGTAGCTTCAGAAGGACGGATGTATTTGCGCAACTTGCTGAAAGAGACGCTAACGTTCAAGTTGTCTTCTCTGCGGATAGGACTTGAGATGTCTAATCGAGTAACTTGAGGTTCCAAGTGAAGCGTGCTTTGTCCATTGGCAAGATTGCCCGCAATCTGGACACCATGGAAATTAAGGCTCAAATCAACATCGTGTTGACCAAGGCCAGACCAGAATTGAGCTAAACATACTTCCAAATTGAGTCCTCCACGAACAGAAAAGTGCTTCTTGATGACTTGGTCGTCAGATTCAGGATCACCGAAAGAACCAGTGCCCAGCATGAAGGTATAAGTATGCTTCTTCTTTTGGTTTTGCTTGGGCACAAGCTGTAAGAGATGAAGCATGAATCTGGCGGGTGCAGTATCAGCAGGTGCGTGTGCTTTGATGACAAGTTCACAGCTGGTGGCACCTTCAGGCACTTGCACGAAACGTCTAATGATATCACCGGGACCATACTCGACATTTTTGTATTGAATGTAGCCTTGGGAGGGCACTGTTGGCTTGACGACAGCTACAGGGACGCTAAAGAGAGGACCGCGCTCAGGGGCAGAAGTGTCATAACCGAGGACTTGGCCGTAATGGAATTGACTTTCGCTGAGAGCAGTAGGATCAACCTTGATTTGGAATGCATTGCCGCTAGAATGAAGGTAGAGATAATCGGGCACAGTGATCCAGGATTCAGTGGCAACAAGGGCGACACGGACATCATATTCGAATTTGGCTTGGTTGTACTTGGGGTCTTCAGGATCCAATTCGTTCATGAAATGAGGTTGCACTTTGGTAGTGATGTATTGAATTTGGCTGGTTTCATCTAATTCGCGAAGATAAATACCACGCTTACTGCCTCTCTTTTGGACAGTAACCTAATATAGTCGTATAATGAGCTTACGAGTTCATGAGTTCATAAGAGCAGATGAATGTACTTACTCTGAATAGCAAGTCTAAATCTTTACGGTTTTTGAAGCTGTCAAGATACTCCCAAGCCTTGTCAACCTGAATGAATCCAACATTGAGAGGATCATCTACTGATTTGGCTGTTTGAACTACAGCATTCTTCAATCTGTAGGGAGTGTATTCTTGGTTTTCCGCCTTGAGAGCAGACACCAGCAATGCAATACAGCCACATGCGTTAGGACTAGACATACTGGTACCATTCTTCAAATCGAGCTTGTTCAAGACATAAACGGGAACACTTGTGATGGCACTGCCAGGAGCATAAATATCCACGCCTTGATAGCCATCAGTGGTGGGACCACGTGAAGACCAAGTGTAAGGACGCTCAGTTACGGATTCGAGAAGAGCGTACTCTGCTTGCATTTGAGCATGCTTCACATAAGCACCTACAGTGATGAAGCTCTCATCCATACCGGCTGGAGCACCAATGGAGCTGTAACAAGGACCATCATTACCAGCACTGGTGACGAAAATACAACCTGACTTGCCAATTGCCTCTTCAGCCAAGAGCTTGATAAAGTGGCCATCAGTAGGGAGACTAGAGGATTCGCCGTAAGACATATTGGCCAAGTCTACCTTGTGCATGGCAAGATGAGAGGCGGCACGAGTTAAACCAGGGCCAGTTTCCATTGATCCGAGACGAGAGTCTCCAATACGCAAAGAGATGATCTGAGCACCAGGAGCGACCTACATATATCAATGAATCTATTAGTATACTAGCTTTTGCTGCTTCCGTTGATATCACATACACCATTCAATGCAGGTTCATCTGGGAAGTTAGCAGCAGTGATACCAGCTACATGAGTACCATGACTGCCGGCCAATGTAACAATGCTATATACAGAAAATTGTTCTCGATTGAGTGTTTCCTTCCTCCTTTTAGATGACACTCACTGCGCTTACCTAAGAATGTTACCGTCATTATAAATATTGACAGAGAAATTGAGCAAATCAGCCTTTCCAAAGGTGTGATATTTGAGTTCCTTGCGGTAATCAGTCAAACAAGGTTGGTCTAAAGTAACATTAATGAGAGAAATTTGGGTTAGCGACCATTATTCCCTGTTTGGGCAACAATTACCCTTTATGTTACAATTTTACAAACCTCTCAAGTCTCCAGACTCATTCACATCAATGACAGCCCTCCAGTCCTTTCCATCAAAATAGACAACACAATCCAGAAGAATACCGGGGTCTTCGTAGTTCTTGTTCAAGTCTTTCAAGATTTCAACACGAGCCTCTAATTCGGCTTTTTCGGTGTCGTCTGTCTTTTCGTCTTGAGGCTTCTTGTTGAATTCTGCAAGTTTGGTTTGTGCTTCGCTCAAAAGGCCAGATTGCTTCTTAACAAAGTTTTGGCGACGTTCCTGAATCACATATTAGATCAGCCGTTCTGCCCTGATGTATAATACATAATTCACTTACAGCCTTGATTCTGGAGCACAAATCATTAGGAAACAGCTCATATGCACGCTTGAGACCAATGCGATACTCATCACTGGGGTTAGTCCAATCACCCAAGATCAACTTGCGTCCACTCAGGCCCTCAATGACCTTTTTACCATCCTCAATGGTTGGCTTTACAACTTTGCTCGTCTCGACATCACCTAATCCCTTGATTAATCACTGTATACATCTTGCCTCATGCATTGAACAACTCACCTCCTCCAGTACAATCCACAATATCAATCATTTTAGGTTTCCCGTCAGTAGTGACCTGCATACCAGCGGCTCCAGGATCAACACCTACACCATGACAAGAGACATGAGTATACGTGTCCATATCTTCAGGAACGACTTTGGCACTTACCTGTATCGAGGATAGCTACCACAGTGTTTCTGCCATCGTAATTGGGATACTTCTTAATGAAGCTGGCAGCTTGTGTATCTTGCTTTGGCATAAGCCCATGCACGGGATACTCTTGAATAGATTTTGAAGGCTTAAATGTCATGATTGATAGAGAAGAAGAAAAAGAAGAAGAAGAAAAAAAAAAGAAGATTGTGGGATAATTAGACACTTTTTATTTCTTTTTGTAGGACGACGCGTATGCAAAAAAAGAGAGGTTGAATCCCGATGTTGGAGTAACACCAAGCATTAAAGAGTATTATTGCTGCTGCTGGTGGAGGTATGGCCAGCAGAGGCTAAACTCAATAAAGTACCTGAAACTCGTCTCGAAGCCTTGGGTGGTACACTGTTGGACGCAGAGCTGTTGGATCCTATACAAGAGATATGTTAATCATCTTGATCATGAGCCCAGTGAATGCTTCTTACTTGATCTGTTGTCAGATGTGGTTTGAGAGTCGTTCGAGTCCAATTGCAAAGGTGGAATATGACCCAGGTTGTTTTTATCAGATGCCAACGATCTCTGAGAGGATGTGGAGGTAGAGCGACGAATCTACAATCTCTCGCTGTGAGCCGTGTGTTCATTCCTCATAGTAAAGTGCATACTTACTCTGCCACCTCTTCCAGGCGATGGAGGCACGGTTCTGAATACAGAGGGAATGCCTTCATCTAGCGGGATATCGTCTGTGGATAGCCCAGCTTGCTTACGGAATTGGATCAACTCACTCTTGTACTTGTTGCATTGCTGCATCTTTAAGAGGACTGTATATATATATATATATATAAATATCTATGAGTCTACATGTATTGCTGGTAGTTGCCCAATAATACTTGCATTCTTTCTCCATCTCAGTGGTTCTATTCTTCAGCACAGCGATTTCAGACAGTAACATTTCCGCAGTACCTGAGGGAGCGTCATTGACTGATCCAGAAGACGAGTTCCATTTCTTGGGACTATAGTAGAGGTGTGTCAGTAAATCCATTGACAACATGCTTTCTCTCTCTCTCTCTCTCTTTCACAAAGCGCTTACATGACGGGCGACACAGGCCCAGGGGATAACGTATTTGCACCATCATGCACCATGCTCATCATGGGTGAAGTTGTTTGAGACTGCTGCTGTTGCTGTTGCATCTTCATGGACTCCAACTGCTTTTGCAGTTTGTTAACTATATACTCTTGCTCCTGCTCCAGCGAATTCTCCATGTCAATCTTTTCACGCTGCAGCTGGTTCAGCTTTTTCTGCAACATGTTTGTCATGTATTCTTCCTCTTGCTCCACCTGCAAGAGCAGCTCGCCTTTCTCCTTCTTGAGCCCTGTAATACGCTTCAGCAGTCGATTTGAAATGAACTCTTCCTCTTGCTCGGCCATGGCGTTCTTTGGGATGAGATTAGTATGTGCACAACTCCTTTGCTCGGCATGCTTAGTATTTTACCATATCCACCGTCATTTGTCGAAGCAGTTTGTTATCGTGCTTCAGTATTTTGACATGTCCTTGCTCCATTTCCAACTCAAATTCCAGCTTCTTGATATGAATTTGTTGCTCAACACATTTTTCATGCAGTTGCTTAACTTGATCTCGTAACTCGCTCAAGTTTTCAATAGCCATCAACGCTTCTAAACGGTCGGATTGCTCATTTCTATGTCCCTAATAAGTATTTTGTGTGCCATCTGAGTGTAAGCTACCTTACGTGGACATGGTCTGCAACTGGCCTAAAGTAGCCTCGTACGCTTTGGTGCGAGACTTCAAGTCGGCCTCCAAGACAGCTTTGTCTTTGCGGACCTATGCCATACAGAGATAAGAGTTGAGCAGGCTGTATGTATACAAGCGTTATCAGTCGGTATGGTCTATACGTTACCTTTTCAAGCTGTTCACGAAGAGAATTTGTCATTTTTTGCTCGTTCTCTTTAATCTCGTGAAGTAAATGATTCTGCTATCGGTGAATGTGAGTGAGTGTGCTATGCCATGTACGATTCTATTGCAGCTCACCTCATTCTCGTCGTTGTCTTTGATGCTGGAAGCACTGGATGCAATCGATTTATGCTCGCTCATGGTATCTGATTGGAAAAAGAGATGATTAAAAGGAAGAAATGGCGCCCCTACCCCCCTTTCTTTGCTTTGTCTCAAAAATAAGAGACCACGAGTTTTGGCCCGCACATCCGATTTGATTTGAGATGGAGTCTCGGTTCATCAATTTTATTAGCATTGAACCTTGATGCATTATCACTCTATCGTTTTCAATAAATGCTTCGATCCTAGCCATGAAATCAGAGCTCTAGCAGGAACATCGCTACTAATATTTTAAGTCTTATTTGACAACAGTGCATTTGCAGCTAAGGGGTTACACTCTATCACTAAAACAAAATTTAGAGTTCGTTACACATGCTTTGAAACAATTAAAACATGATGTTGCTGTGGGAATGATCTCTTGTAAAATGATTAAAAGCATTTCAGTGCTTCTTTTGCGCCCTTGAATTCCCAAAGGAATAGGGCTATTAATATGCGATTGGTTCAAGTTTATTTCTGATGTCGTATTACTATGATTGATGTGTGATGCATCTGTGTAGCTGCTGAATTTATGCATCCATGTTGTGGGCTGTACAGATCCATATAAATATCAGAGCTTCAACTCTTAAATCTCTCTCTCTTTATATTTATTTCCTATTGTATATATTCATCTATTAGAATGCTGACTCCATCAGAACCTTCGCCTAATGTCGTCTCGCAAATGTCTCTCAAAGGCAAGGTTGCAGTTGGTAGGTAGTCTCACTGTAAGGCGATGCGTGTCATGTTTGAATTGACACGATGCTATCATAGTGACCGGGGGAGCTCGTGGTTTGGGATTTGAGATGATGGCAGCCCTGGCTGAGAGTGGTGCTGATGTTGCTTGTGTTGATCTATTGGAAGAAAGCTGTCTTCAAGCTACTATCAAGATTGCTGCTGGATGTCAAGTGAAAGCTACTGCTTGGGGCTGCGATGTAACCAATTATGCTGCTGTGGAGGAGCTCTTTGGTGAAATCATTAAGCAACACGGCAAAGTGGATATTCTGGTCACTGCTGCTGGGATCAACAAGGTGTGTCCTGCTGTGGAGTATCCTGCTCAGGATTTCAATACTATATTTCAAGTCAATGTCAATGGCACCTTTTATTGCATGCAACAAGCTGCCAAGTAAGTTGTGATTTTTGTATGCTATACATAGCGAGGTAACCAAGTGTCTTATCTAGACATATGATGCGATTAGGAATCCCAGGCTCCATCATCACAATTGCTTCCATGTCGGCCCATGTTGTTAACCGACCCCAAACACATGCTCCATACAATGCAACCAAGGCAGCCGTGCTTCAATTGACCAAATCACTGGCTACTGAATGGGCTCCTCATCAAATTCGCGTGTGTGCTATTTCTCCCGGCTATTTCGACACTGTCATGAACAGAACCTTACTGGCTCAACAGGGCGAACAAGGCGCTGCTTTGAGAAAGATCTGGGAGACCGAAACTCCCATGGGTCGCTTAGGTACACCGCATGAGTTGAAGGGCGTGGTTGCATTTTTAGCATCAGACAATGCTTCATTTGTAACAGGTTCTGAAATTATTGTAGATGGTGGATATACATGCTGGTAGTTTTTTCTGTTTGTTACACTTGATTCCTCCCATGTCTTTCAAAAAGAATAAAGTCAATTCGTCTAGATTCCCATCGATATGGTGAGAATCTTTCGTTCGATCATCTAATCAAAATGTTTGTATTGATTGATTCAAGTATGATTGGCTGAGCAACTGGAGAGCAAATCGCAGATGAGTGGATCAAATGACAGAAAGCAGAAGTTGCAGAAGAGGTGAAACCAGGGCAAACCAGCACATGTTGAATTGCCGCCCAACGCATATCAGGCTGGAAAAAAGCTTGGAAACTTTGCTTTTTTCTCTTTTTCAACACTTTTTCATCTTAATTTGCTAAACAACATGCTCAACTCACACAACAGAACCGAAGAAAGATCTACCGAAGACGTAAGATCCAATTTCTCGAATGACATTCTTCGATGACAGCTTGCTAACTAGTAAAATTAGATCATTTTAGAGCCTTACACCTACTTGATATCGCAGCCTGGCAAAGATATCCGGGCAAAATTGATATCAGCATTTGATTTGTGGCTACATGTGCCCAAGGATGTACTGAGCGTCATCAATAAGATTATTGGCATGTTGCATAATGCTAGTTTAATGTAAGTGTTGCTATCTTTTTACACATTGGGAACTGGATAGGGTTGCTCATCGACCCCAATACAGGATCGACGATGTACAGGATGACTCTGATCTTCGAAGAGGCGTTCCTGTCGCTCATCATATTTATGGTGTACCTCAGACTATCAACACTGCAAATTATGTCATCTTTTTAGCATTGCAAGAAGTGATGAAGCTGAATATCCCAAGCATGATGCAAGTATGCACTGAAGAGCTGATCAACTTGCACCGAGGTCAGGGTATTGAACTGTACTGGAGAGACAGCTTGACATGTCCCACGGAGGAGGAGTACATTGATATGGTGAATAACAGTAAGTTGTGGTGCAAATGATGCGTAGAGATCGTGCATTGACTCATAAGTAACACGATCGGCTAGAAACCAGTGGTTTGTTACGATTGGCGGTGCGATTAATGCAAGCAGCAAGTGAAAGTGACATGTGAGTAAATGGTGCCACGTACTTATTCTGCTGATACTGAACTGCGAAAGCAGTGATTACACACCGCTCGTCAACATTATAGGTATCCACTTCCAAGTGCGTGATGATTATATGAACCTGCAATCCACTAGCGTATGTATCAAGAAATACGATTTTGTTACAATGCGAGGAGAAATATGCTCACATTTGAATTTGTAGTATACAAACAACAAGGGCTTTTGTGAAGATCTGACGGAGGGCAAGTTCTCATTTCCTATCATTCATGCCATCAGAAAGGATCCTTCCAACCGTCAATTGTTGAACATTATTAGCCAAAAGCCTACATCCATTGAAGTCAAAAAGTATGCTTTGGAGGTGATTCGCAAAGCAGGTAGTTTTGAGTACGTGCGCGAGTTTTTACGTCAAAAAGAGGCTGAATCCTTGGAGGAAATCAAGCGCTTGGGTGGCAATCCTCTGCTGGAAAAGTATATTGAGACTATCCGAGTGGAGGCCACCAACGACCAGTAGGTTGCTATAGGATACCCCGTCAATAAATACTGTTTCTTTACCCGTCATTTTCAAAATACACTCATGAGTGCATTCCACTATCTCATCGTGGATGCTATACGAATATCCACAACAGACGTATTGCAAACCAATGTTGAGAGGAAAAAATAATGTTCAGACTACTCACATACAGACGTGTTTTCGCGCTGCACTTGGAATAAGGCACTGTCTTGTCGCTTCCAGGCACACGTTATGTACGCATGTTTATGTCAATGTCTCCATTCATTAATGCCAAAATATGACAAACAAAGTCGGTTTTCACATACTTGTGAAAGGGAATTGGTGCAAAGAAGTCGACTTCTTTCTCTGTACTACTACCACCGCTGGAATGATCTACCTTACATTCACTCTTCTGCTATTTATACCCGCATTCATTGCGTCGCCCTTTCATCATCATCTACAACGTCGAGATGTCACTACAGTCTATCAACCGACCACCATATATCAAACTGTAGTGGCAAGCACACTTGAAGGCGCGTACCGAAAAACTAGAAAAGTATACAAACACCGCCATGAAGTGATTAAGCAGGATCGTCAAGTGTTTGAAGATGAATTGGAGCAGCTCAGTCAGCAATTGGATCCATACAGGGAATACACACCAGGGCAAGCTGCAAGATACCGACAGGATGTTGAAGAGGAATACGACCCAGACGAAGAGCTTATCCTGCGCGAAGTTGATTTCGACATTTATATTGTGGATGTGGAGGAATATGTAGGCACAACTATCAAAGGCGCTGGAAAAGCTGCTTTTACGCTGCTCAATGACACCATCATCAATGGCCATGAATTAGCTACAACCACACTATGAATTAAATCTACTTTTATTAATTCTGAACATTGCTGAATCAATAAAAAAAAAACACAATAAGCTAAGTTAAACAAGGGCGAAGACAGCACAACAAGTCTGAACTAAACGTTTCTTCAGAGAATCTATCAGAAGCCGATGCACGAGCATTAGCCGCCATCTCTTCATATTCTTCTTCTGTGAGCGATAGTGCTGAATTCAAGCATTCAGCAAATGCATCTTCAGTATCAGCCAAGAACCCTGTTTGCTTGCCATCGTATTCAACAACAATGTCTAATTTAGGACCACCCGATTTATGAGCCACAGGTATTAATCCAGCAGCCATGTATTCTACTACACCGATACCGAAATGTTCGTTCCACATGGTATGAAGCCCAATCTTGGACATACCTAGGCTGGACACCAGCAGATCGTATGAAGCGTTGATTTCAAAGCGAACAAAGTCCTGTGCGTTTCCCACATTCCATTAGCACATGCACCACTACTCTCTTGCTTCCAATGCTTACATGAATTCCAAGTTTGACAGCTTCTTCGCGAAGTCCATCAATTCGCTTTGCATCTCCCTCGTTTCGAGAACTTCCCATCAACACAAGCTCTATGGGGTGCGTTGTCTTCCATTGAGGATACTTTTCAAACAGTTTTGACAATGATTTCAATTGCAGTGAATGATCTTTCTCGGGTCTGAATTGAGCGACACTGATAATCATGGACTTTCTGCCTTTTAGCGGTAATGCATTGAGTCGCTCTGTATCACACGGAGGATAGACAATCTCTGATTTGGTGTGCCATAGTTGATCAATGTGGCCCTTTGTCCAAGTCGAGTTCACCATGACGATGTTGGCAAATGATCCACAAAAGCCATAAATCTTGGCAAAAATTCGATAGTAACTATCCATAGCCGTCAATACCGTGCATCCACGTAACATTCCAACTTGACTTACATTAGCTTACCAGTGCTCCAAATGGCACTGGAGGCAAGCTTAGCATCGTTGTTGTGAGCTACTCTTCTTTCGTAGACTCGGTTGACCATGTCTGAGCTGATGGTGGGATAATGTGTGTAAGTGGCAATCTTGGCGTCAGTGAAATAATGTACAAGTGGATATGTGAATGCATAACCCATGGTATCTACAGACTGTCCAGTTAGATGATCAAGCTTTGTTAGCGTGCAATATAACTGCGTACCAAAGAAAACGTTAGGTACTAATTTGCTGATGGCTTCATAGCCAATGATGAGTGATGCGAGACTTTGGAGAATCAATGTAAATCGAGGATATCTATAGATATTGCTTGTTGGTCTTGATGCTATGGCTTACAATTTGTTAAATCAAGCTACCTGGCATCTTCTGTCAAATATCTTTTTGTTAAATATACAAATTGAAGTGTATTAGGGTTCAATGATATGTTAAAGTTGGTCTATAGTGTCATCGATACAAAAGGTTGAGTAATTTTTTTTTAGTAAAAAAAAAAAACGACCGATATGCGTACCTTGACTTTGTTGATGATTTGCTCCTTGGTAGCTTCAATGTCACCAGTGTATACAACGCAAATGACATTGCTAAAATCTCGCTGAACATCCCGCAGAGCTGTCCACAACACTCGTTCTCCTCCGCCACCTGCATTACTGTGTCCTTTGTTTATTAATGAGACATTGGGTGATAGACATGTGCACCTACCAGTAAGGATGAAAGAAGCCTAAGAATAATGGCTGATCAATGTTTGCTGCTGCAGGCCCCAGCTCTTGCAACAGTTGTAATCTGTTCTCTTCTGTTGTATTCTTGATGTAAAATTTAAGCACAGAGAAGCTCACCCAGCTCAGGACAAGTAGCGCCGTTATCCAAAACGATAACGACATGACAAAATCTACCATTGAAAAGCAAAACAAACGTAGATACAAAGAAATAGCGAGGCATTTCACGCTTTAATTTTATATACTAAAAACTTTCCTACAAAGAACTCAGCCAGTCAAATGCTGCCAGATTTGTGTATCTTGCATTTCAAATTGATTTGCAACTTGGAGACATATCATACGAACGGAAAAGACATACGCCGAACGGTGTGGAATGTGGAAATACAGGTTGTTTGTCATTGAGAAGACACCCTCGTTCAAGCAGGCCATGCCTGTATCAAGCTGTAACTGAATGTCACTTTGAGTGCAATTGGCATGTTGCTGCCAGTTTCGCCATGTCAGGATGCCGTGGAATGATCTGCTGCTTTTGACATTGCTTGATGATACCTGCAAATGCCGACTCTTGCCAGTTGTTGGTAGACTCTTCACAATTTCCTCGAAATGTATTGTATAATGCAATAATGAAGAGCATTCACTCAAAGCCAATGCTAAATATGCTTGTCTGTGCCATCTCCTTCGTTACTGAATGCGGAAGATGGATTTGTTACATAGCGACCAATGTGATTTGACCAAAACACCATGACATCTCAATATACAACCCTTAAAAAAACAGCTGATCCTTGCAAACAGAATGGTATCTTACATAATAACTTTTCCTAATGACCAAGTCCTTGGCAGACAGAAACTTGAAGCAGTAAATTGCATGAAAAAGGAGTAGTAAGTAGCACTACCACATAGTCTCATCGTCACATCAACAAGCCACTGCGATCAATTAAAAAGCGTAGAAAAAAATTGCTCTGCTCATTCTTTCCATATACTCTTCATCCCTCATCATTCATTGAATAAATCAACATGGCTAAAATTGTATTTGAAGAAGACGCCGAGATTGTCGTTCCCGAGTCTACCAAAAAGCAGCAAGACGATGACATTTTCGATCAATCCTCATCCGATGACGAAGCACCTGAAGCCATCAGCACTTCCAAAGCCAAAGAAAGCATAACATCCAAAGCACAAGCCGAGAAAGAAGCTGCTGACAAGTGAGTCGATACAATATATTCATAGATTAAGGTGGCTTACTAATGACATGTGTATTTTTCTGTTAGACTTGCTGCAGCAGAAAAGGAGAAACGTAGACAGAGAGAGCAATTCTTGAAGGATCAAAAGGAAGGCAGTAAAAGACAGTTGAAGGAATTAGAAAGAAAGGCCAAGAAGGAAAAGTTGGAGAAGCAATACAAAGAGAAGATGGAAAGACGAAAGCAAAAGGAGCTACAAAAGTTAGAGAAGAATGAAGACGAGGAGGAGGAAGAGGCAGACGGGGGAGCTGAATTATTACCAAACGATCTGTTACAACAAGCTCTACTAGAAGAGCAAGAAGAGGAAGCCAACAAAAGAAAGCATGTGACAACAGAGGAATTTGAACGCATGATTGCTGAACAAGAAGCTGAGGAAAAGGAGAGAGCCAAGAAGAGAAAGACCACAAAGGATGGCAAGGTGGTTGGAGAATATACCGTCAAGGTGTTGAATAATCGCCCTAAATTGCAGAAACCCAACAAGAGCATCTTGAATATGAGAAAGTTACATTTAAATAGATATTCTGTGCCAAGAAAGGAGGCAGTGGTGAATATCAGTAGTGGTAGAGACGGTGCTGCATTAGTGTTTCGTCGTAAATAAATTGTGTATATATACAGTTGCTATTAGCAAACATCTATTCAGTGATTTGGGCATTGTGTTGAAGAGTACTGTATCTGCAGAGCACAGAAACCGCTGCGCAAATGCGTGTTGCTTAAATGCCATTTGTAAATAACTGTTCTAAAAAGATGGCTCAAACTCGAAACCATGTCTGCCAGTGAGAAAATGTACAGTACTATGAAAAGAGCTCGGCTCCCTGAAATCAAATTGACTGGTCTGTGCCACTAGATCCGGATTTCACCATGTTTATATGCTTTTACGCCATTTCTCATGTTTGGTTGATAACATTTGGTTTTGCAAGGTAAAAAGCAAAACAAATATTGCGCAGCTAATCTGTCTCTATATATCTTGTAGATGAGATGCTATGATAAAAAATAGATAATGCTTCAAGAAGAGCAATAATACTTTCTTAACGTCATTCGTTCTGTCGATTGCGTTACAATAAACTCCTATTAGGTCTATTTTATTTAGATCCACACTATCACACAATACTAAACCCTGTTCAAGTTGATGTAATAAACAACTGGAAAAACTTGATTTCCCGAGCACATCCACAGTACATGGCGATGGTTCGACAAATCAATGTGAGCAGATATAATACAAGTGAAACTATCAAATAAGGATGATAGATTATCGTGTATCGAGAAACGTGATGGTTGTATCTTTAACCTTTTTATTGATACAGTCGCCCGTGCTTGTTTTACGCCCTTGCGGCGAAGCATTGATTCTTAACACCACATGAATTAGTAATGATTTGATTACAAATGAATGGGACAGTCAAAGGTTAGGCAGTACCAGATCGACGGAGGTGCATGAATTGGATGAAAAAGTATAAATAAGAATCATTCTATCATGTCATTTTCCCATATCTCTCAAATCTTTATCAAATGACTACGCACAAATACATTACTTTACAGCCTACTGGTGATAAGATCCCTCTCGTAGGCTATGGTACCGCAAGAATTCCTGCCGCTGAAACCGAGGAAGTGATCTATAACGCCATTAAAACTGGTAATCGTTTGATCGATGGTGCTTTACTTTACGGCAATGAACCCGAGGTTGGCAAAGCTGTGAGAAAGGCTATTGCTGATGGAATCGTCAAGCGTGAAGAGCTCTTTAGTAAGTAATAACAAGGTGTGCTCATGTCAATGTCATACAATGCTGACCTGCCCTTGTCACACAGTCGTTGGAAAGCTTTGGAACCACTACCATGAAAAGCAACACGTAAAGCCTGTCTTCCAAAAGACACTTGATAACTATGGCCTTGACTATATCGATCTTTATCTCATTCACTGTAAATATAAATAAGCAGGTCAAGGCGAGGAAGAACAAAGTCTAATGCTGAACATTACTTTTTTTTTTTTAGTCCCTTTTGCCACAGAATACGTCGATCCCAATGCAAGTATCGACTTTTTGAGTTCTAAAAAGGAATTCAAGATCATTAAGGCACCTTTACAAGACACATGGCGTGAACTGGAAGACTTGGTGGATGCTGGCAAGGTCCGCAACATTGGCATTTCCAACTTTAATGTACAATCTACTCTTGATCTTCTCAGCTATGCTCGTATCCCTCCTAGTGTTCTCGAGATTGAACATCATCCTTACCTGCAACAAAGACGTTTGGTCAACTGGGCTCAATCTCAGGGCATTCAAGTGATTGCTTATGCTTCATTCGGTAATGCCGTCTTTGACAAGCTCCCTCCAGGTACAGAGCATTTGGAAAACTTGATGAAGCATCCTGTTATTGTCAGTATCGCAGAGAAGCATAAGCGCGATGTTGGACAAGTTCTGTTGGCATGGGCTGTTCATCATAACGTGATTGTCATTCCCAAGACTGTTAATGTGGATCGCATGAAGTCTAATCTCAATATCGATGGCATCAAATTGGATGATGAGGATTTGCAAAAGATTGCCAAGTTGGAGGCGAATGCTCGCTTCAATGACTTTTTCGACGGCACCTATGGCTTTGATTTCCCTCTTTTTGCTTAACTACCCTAATCTTGTATGTGTCATTGTACAAAAATTGTAGTAATAAAAGCCAATTTGTAACATATTATTCTACTAAAATCATAACGTAATAAATTTATGGTCCCTAAACACTTTCAAAGCCTCAAAAAGGAAAGAAGCTGATCTAACGAGCGTTTTGATAGACTGACGCTATTAAATATAGAATGCAAGAAAATAGCATAATCCACGATAGTGCTATGATTTGCCGCCTACTTTCCATGCGCTTCAAAAGCATCTATTACTGTATTGCCTTCATGATGAATGAAAAGGGCATTGAGTTTGCCTGCCTGCCCCACCAGCCAAAAATAATTCAACTCCAAATAAATAGTCTGTTCCAGATTGGCCAGATCTTAACAATTTCGACTCGATTGAATTATTTTTGTATATTCGACTATATAAAAAATGATGATCATCCTATGCTTTTTTAAGCAAGCCCCTGGTGGTAGGGCGAAGTGGTAAAACTCCCGTATGCCAACGGGAGGATCCCGGTTCAAATCCTGGTGAACGCAAGTTGTTTGATTTTTTGACCTAGTACTGATGTCCTCGTTTGGTGTTTTGTATTCTTATCCATTATCTATTTTTGACGATTTCCGCAAGATTGCATTGGCTCTAGGAGTCGCACCTTATTAGTAGTAGATTTCTTTCCCAACTTAGTTCAAAATATCTTATTCCCCTTCATTGCAGACATTGGGTCCACCAACAGTCTTTTCTATCCCTCAGTATGACATTTAAAGGACTTTAAATAAAACCTGGAGCTCGACTCCCCTACAAAAAAAAAAAAAAAAAAAAAAAAAAAAAAAAAAAAAAAAAAATGCTTTTTTTAAGCAGCCCGTGGTGGTAGGGCGAAGTGGTTAAGCATCCAACATGCCATCTGGATGATCCCGGTTCAAATCTCAGTGAATGCATTTTTGGTGATTATTTTGACATAGTACTGATGTTCTCGTTTGGTGTTTTGTGCTCTTATCCAGTATCCATATTTTGACGATTCGCATAATTGTATTGGCTCTAGGTGTCGCACCTGATTAGTAGTAGACTTCTTTCCCAACTTAGTTCATTATATATCGTATTCCCCATCATTGCAGACATTGGGTCCACCAACAGTCTTTTCTTTCCCTCAGTATGACATTTAAAGGAATTTAAATAAAACCTCGAGCTCGACTCCCCTACAAAAAAAATGCTTCTTTAAGCTTTCTTGGAGTGCTTTTCAAGGCGTATCCAATGATACTAAGTAATATAGATGTTTTGAATAAACATATTGAGCAATTTACGAAAATATGAAAAGACGTTTTTGGCCAAAAAATCGAAATTTTACATATCAAAGTCCCACAAAGATGATTTCAGGAATTGCGTTAGATCGATAGAATCATTTTGATTTAAGATATACCGTAGTAGAAGTCTTCATTATCAAGGTCAAAAACGCGATCGTTTGACTTTTGATGATAACCATGAGGAGTATCTCATGCTTTTTGGTCGATTTTTCATCATGTTTTTTAGATCTTCAAAAAGTTGCGCAAAGGTGTCAGAAAGTTAGTGCTAGATGAGAGCAATTGTTTGGTGCTATTCTGACCATCTAAAACGGCCTTGAACTCGAGAAAACACAGCTCAAATTCACTCAGTTTTTGCTGCATCAGGCACACTCTTGACTAGAAAGGGGCAACATCTGTATGCTACTTGCCAGCATAGAAGTATATACGAGTATACGAATGTGGAACATCAAATAAAAATCAGATCCAAAGATAATATGAAGGGGTTCCATGTGTAGGTTCGTCGAAACGAAGCGAAGGTAGGGAGCCATCGGAAACATAAACACTCGTATACTATAATGTTACTTTCGGATTGTCTACTACATTTAAGGACCTTCTACAAGTATCTTGTAACTGTGTGTTTGACTCTTCTAGGGTGCTCCATATCAGTGTTAACGAGACTTACTGCAATACTGATAGCGAGCAAGCTTGCATTACCTCTCACTACTGAATATAATGCAAAACACAGCAAAATGAGGTGCATTTGATACGTGTATTTTCGTGTTTGAATCTGTTTTAGACCTCCAAAATAGCAACAAACGATTCCTTGCGTTTGGCATTGGCTTCCTAACGCCCTTCCTCAACATTCTGGGGACCGAAAAAACATCGTAAAAAATTGGCCAAAAAGCATGAGGTACCCCTCATGGTTTTCACCAAAAATCAAACGATTGTGTTTTTGACCACAAAATTGGAGACTTCTACTATGGCATATATTAGATTAAAATGTTTATATCGATCCAACGCAATCCTTGAAATCATCTTTGTGGGGTCTTGTTATGTAAAATTTCGACTTTTTGGCCAGAAACCTCTTTTCATATTTTCGTAAATTGCTCAATATGTTTATTCAAAACATCTATATTACTTGGTACCATTGGATGCGCCTTGAAAAGTATTTTTAAAAAGTATTAGAAACGGCAAGATGATTATTACTTTTTACATAGTCGAATCAAGCAAAGTAGATTAATTGAATCGATTTTGATCAAAATTTGGCCAATTATCTAGAAAAAAATGGCGGGAGTTTAATGTATTTTGGTAGTGGTTGGCACAGCCTATGCCAGCCTATTGTAACAGTAATTAATGCTCTTGGAAGCACATTTAACGATGATTACAAAACAAAGACTACTATGGCTTAGTCTTTCTTTTCAACCTTACCTGTTTTACGCATTTGGCCTGTAAAATGTCTACGTTGGGTTGGAACCGAGAAACGAATGCAGGAAACACTTTGATTTCGACATCTTGTTTAAAGCTGTATTCCCTATTACAGTTGTAATCAGAAACCGTTAATCTTCAAATAGAGTTTTCACATAGTTCATCAAACTGTCGCCCCTGATATATGTGCATGCATTTACACCTATCTGAATTATGCAAATGGTTATCGCATACACCTTAAACGCTCTACAGTTGACTATTGTCGACGATTTTGACAGTGAAAAACGGCCCTTTTTCAAGCATATTCAAAGTTGCTCTCCTTACTGCCAAAAGTTTAAGCGATTTAAAGAACTGGTAAAGGATTACAGATAAGAAAGATAGCACTATTCATCAATCGTTCAAAGTTTATTTATGCAGAAACACATTCCCTAGAAGAATCATCGAGTGTATATGTCTGCATCCACAGACCAAAGTTTGCTCAGATGCTTTGGTTTCAAGTTGTCCAAAAAATGCTGCCTCCATTCTCTGATAAAGACCTCCAGATCAGGCCAGGTTTCTTGTCCCTTGTCATTCAAAACACACCTGCTCGTCAGCTGCTGGATAGCACTTTGTCCGTGCTCTATGTAATCTGGGCCCTTGAAATGATCCACAAGCTCGCTGCACTCTCTTAAAATATCACCTAAATCACTCCCCTTGTACTCTTTCTTGTCGTAATCTCTCCAAAAATTGAGCACTGTCGATTTAAGCACTTGCTGCCGATCTTGGGGTATTTTATCGGATGCTCTGATCAAGGCGGATGCTGCTTTTTTGGCATTTTTGTACTCTGGAAAGGTACACCAACCACTGCCCTCGAGTGGAATATTGAATCGCTTGACACCTGCCTTTTTAAAGCTCATTGCTTTTTGTTCATAGCTATCGTGGCAATGTTTACATAGCAGTAATAGATCCCTGCTCTTTCATCACGATGAAGTTTAGTGTCTGCCATATCAAAGGTGGTGAACTGTGATCTTACTGATTTCGATTTCACGACCAAGGGCATCCAGTGCCTATACATTTCCGGCACTAGAAAGCAAAGCGCCCGGTTATGATACAGCCAACACTGACAGTTGTATCTGCTTTAACTTACCCACATGATGCATTGTGAGATGCTCGTTTCCTCCACACGATACACAAATGTTGGATCGATCTTCTACCATGTAATCTCCATGCTTGTGTCCATCCCCTTTGGCTTCGAAATTAAGCTTAATGGCTCTCTCTTCTTTTGGTAGTGCTGTCGCCAATTCTTTTTCTAAATACCAGCGTGCTTTCTTTCTACGTACATTACTATCAATCAGGCATTGATATTGTATTCTAATATATTTACTCGTTGCAGCGAAACATGAGTTTATGATGTTTTGAATAAACTCTCCAATTCTCGTAAATGATATTGGATTTTTTGCTGGGCATAGAGACAGGCTTCTTTTCACGAGGCATGTTGGATTGTATATGTGTGTTGATATAAAAAAGGGCCAAGGAAATACGACAAATTTTTTTGCGGTCAGTTGGTTGAGAAATTTACAATGGGGTTTAATATTTGTTAAATGGCATTTACTACGAATATTATTTGACTAGTTCTAATTGATCTGCGCATTTCCTTAAAATCTCTTCCGTCTTGATACCAACATTGGCGACATCCTTAGCCACAGCTTGCCAATGTTCACCATGACGAGGTTCAGCCACCACACATCGCTTGATGACTGTCTCCTGCTGTTCTTTTGTGCCATGCTGCAGCTCGAATTTATACCACCAAGCAAACGAATCACCTTGATCTGGGTCGATTTGAATGGCCTTTTGGAACCAGTTTCTGGCCTTTTCAATCTTGCGATCTGTCCAAAACAATCTTGCTACTGCCGTCACCACAATGGGGTCGTGCTCACATTTCTTGAGAGCATCCACACTACGAGCCTTTCTTTGAGGTCTGGCTTCCATAAAGATCACTTCTGTCCAAATAGCGCCTGATGATGGGCATTCCTGCAGAGCTTTGGCTGCTAATGATTTGGCGACTGCTACGTTATTATTTCTCCTTTCAATGCGAATAGCTTCCACCCAAAGCTCAGGTGTCTTGGGATTGACGAAACGACCCTTTTCCAGTGTGGCACGTGCCTTTGTCACCATGCCCAACTTCTCCTCTAACAGTGCTAATAAGATCCACAGGGTGACACTCTTGGGACAGCTCTTGACAGCCTTGTTGTACACTTCGCGCGCTCTAGGCAGATTGCCCTGAGACTCTTCAATCTGTCCTTTGATCATCCACAATTTGTCAAAGGTAGGAAACTTTTCTAGCGCAACATCCAACAAGGCATTGCACTGGTCGTAGTTCTTCATTTGTCGCTCCAGCATGACAGACTTCATCCACACACGTTCTGTGCCTGACTCGCTTCTAGCCAATTCCAGCAGCTTTCGTGCACGGTCGTATTCATCGTTCTCGCTTTCCACCTTGACAGCCGCCAGCCAAATCTGTTCACTGTTGGGGTTGGCTCTGAAAGCCTCCTCCAAAATGGTACGTGCGCTTTCAACATCCCCAGCCAGCCACTTTTCTTTGGCGCCCATGAGCCAGAGCACTTCGGCTTGAGGACAGTACTTGACAGCACGTTGTAACAGCTCTTCCAGACTTTGTGGTGTGCCATGGCTCTTTTCCAGATAAGCAGCTTGTTGCCAGATGGAGGGCTTACCAGGGAACTCTTTAAGAGCATGTGCGTAGATGGCACGAGCAGTCTGAATAGCACCATGAGCAATACAGCTCTCGGCATCTTCCATCCACGTTGATTTTCTGTCTTCTTCTTCAATACCCATACCAATGGTAGCTCTGACAATAGCTTGACATGTAAGCACAGATCCGTTTTTTTCGCACTTTTCTGCTTCTTCAATCCATTGCTCACGGTCCAAGAGCACGCCAGATTGCGACAGGGCCTTTGCAGCAAGTGTAATGATACGATCAACCATTTCTGGCTTTCCATGTTCCTCTTGCAGACGAGCAGCAGCAATCCAGATTTCATGACTAGTAGGAATGGCAGCACGAGCTTTGTTGAGCACCTTTTGAGCGTTTTCATAAGTTTCCAAACGAGCAAGAGCGAGCCATAAATCCACACTGAGAGGCACCAGCTCAACAGCACGAGACAAGAGCACCTTGGCATCGTCCGGGTTTTCTTCCATGTTGATGGCAGCACGCCACAGCTTAACAGAATTGGGGATGAATTCTAGAGCACGACGCAGGACCTTCTTTTTGGCCTTGTTGTCCGTCTCCAAAGACACAGCCTTGAGCCAGATCTTGACAGATTGAGGCAAATGACGAACGGCATCACCCAAAATGATTTTTGCATTATCGACATTGTTTAAACGAGCCGCTTCGAGCCAAATGTCTTCATTCTTGGGACATTGTTCGCAACCCTTCGCAATGGTGTTTCTAGCGTGCACAGGTCTGCCAGCAACTTCTTCTAAACGAGCAGCAGCAATCCAGCCAGGTGCGTGTTTGGGGTTTGTTGTGATGACGGAATTGAGCAACAGACGGGCTTTCTTGATGTCGCCAATTTCAGCATCACTCTTCACCACCACGCTGTTCAAATCTGTCAAATAGCCCTTGGGATCAATGGTGGTTTTACCTGACACAGAGTCAGAGGAGACCTGATCTAGCTTGAGGCCCAACACCTTGTCTCTTGCCTGGCCAATCTCTCTGAAATTGGTCATCATTTCATCGCCACCTGTCAAGCCTGCAGCGGCAGCAGACACAATACCACCCAATTTCTGTTCAGTCGCATCCAGCGCATTCTCATATCCAGATTTGTCTCTTGCAGCGGCAATAATTGTATCAGGCATAGGCGTGAATCTCTCTGGTGCTTTATTGCGTTTGCGGTTTTTACCAACCAAATCACCTACTTCGGGGATGGCAGCCCATTCGGCATCATCAATTGACGTTAATTGACGCTTGAGATCTGCAAACTGCTGGGAAATTTTGGGTCTTTCGAGTCGATATTTAGCCAATTCCTCTCGCTCACGGGCTTCTCTGCGAGCTTTGCGACGTTCGTCCATCTTTGCGTCAATCATATCCCACACACGATCTGCTTCCTCGTCGTCTTCTTCATAGGGTGCAGTTGAGAACAGGCCAACTTCATTGTCTGGATCTTGGTATCTTTCATCATCCTCTTCTCCTTCTTTGGGTGCTACTTTGGAGGGATCTCTATACATGGCGAATGAGCTACGAGGTCTCTAGTCATCAATACAAAGCAACTTACGCATCTGCTGCTGATTCTCTTGCAGGACCAATATCAGAGCGAGTAGTAAAACCGGTTGCACCACGGCCCAAACCTGCAACGTAATTAGGTGGAGCAGGCTTTCCAATGAAATCTTTGATGCCAAACATGAATGTCAATGATGGAAAGAGAGGAATAAATTTTGAGAATCAAGTAGTAGAGTCGCTTTATAACTGCGTACCGCGTCACTTGAAAAAAAAGCAGTGCAAGTAGAAGAGTTTAGGCATTTGATGGCTGTATCACTCACTACTTTGTTGGTACCCTTTATATGGAAAAAAACGTGCTTTATAAATCAATTAAATTCTTGATTAATTTAATTTTCTTCTTTCTTCCTCTTTGCTATACTCTTTGAAAACACACAAAACATGTCAAGGCACAGCTCCATAGATGCTTTGAGAGAGAGGTATCAACGATCCCGCATTCAACCTCAACAGCAAAATGACAATTTATTGGGTGATGACACAAAGCCTTCTTCTATCAATTCACCTGTCGCAACTGTCTATGAAGAAGAGGAAGAAGAAGAAGAAGAGGAAGAGCTAGAAGACGACGAGGTCTACATTGAAGACGATGATTATTCCATGTATTCATCGTCGTCCAGCATTCCAGATGAAAACATCAACTTTGATCTGGTTTATGCATTGCATACGTTTGTTGCAACAGTAGACGGCCAGGCATCCGTTGTCAAAGGAGATGCAATGACCCTGCTGGATGACTCCAATTCATACTGGTGGTTGATCAGAGCACTCAAAGCTTCCGAAGTCGGCTATATCCCAGCAGAGAATATTGAAGTAGTCTTTGGTTGCATATGTTTACTGTAATATGTTTGACTGATATCATTAGATTAGACACCATTTGAAAGGCTGGCTCGGCTCAATAAGCACAGAAATGTCGAGGTAAGTGAAATAAGATGTTGGTCATAAAAATATTAATAAATTTCAAGGTAACCTCGCTTGATCAATTACAACACTATAAAAACACTGCATCACCTAAAAGGTCCCACGAAAGAAAAAAGGTCCAGGTTTCAAAAGCACTCGCATGTCAGGTACAGATCATTTTAACAGATCAGGATGACGAGAGCCTTTATGAAGAGACATTCGAGAAATGGCAGGAGGAAATGTCTGCTGAATCTTACAAAGGCGTCAGCACCGTCGTCGATGATGACAGCGATGAAGATGATAGTGAAGACGATGAGGACAACGACAAGGCCAAACCAGCAAATGCCAGCAAAAAGGACAACAAAAAGAAATTCACTCCTTTATTGAATCCTGACTTTAATAGATCAATACACACTGTTACAGAAAAAGCTCCTTCTTTGAGCTCGAGTGATGTTGATAACAGTGCATCTTCTCCTGTCGCTACATCTCCTCCAGCCCCTCCTGTTCATGATAAACTACTACCACTCACTATGATCACATCAATGGAACCTACGCCTGCGGAGAAACTGTATGCCACGACCATCCCCGAGGAGCAACCAGTAATACCATCCACACCACAACAAGCTGTTGTCACAGGCCTGAAACGACTACTATCTATTGGTAAAAAGAACAAGCCTGCTACGCCCGAAGTCTCCATGTCAAATTCTGACATTGTGCAAGATACACAGTATCACGTATTGCGCATTTTCGCTGGCAACATTAATGTGGGTGCCTTGTTCAGCACGGTTGCAGTGACACCAGAAATGAATGCCGATCAATTATTGAAATTAGCATTGCAAAAATTTCATATCCCATTATTGGATAGCAACTCCAACAAATCCAACGATGGTATAGAGTACTATTTAACTGTCAAATCAATGGATAGTGGTAGGCATAGGGTGCTACATGTGCAACCATCATATGTTTTAACCTTCTCTCACTAGATGAAATCACCCTCACACCGCAGGATAAGCCATTAGCCATCTTTGAATCACTGAACGACCACTTGACTACACCCATGCCATCGCTGACGTACATCAAGCGACTTTCTATGGAGCAGCCTACAATCAAAGTAACTCGTGTTGGTGTATCCAAAGCGAGACAACGTGCCAAAGCTCGTTTTGGCGAGGACTCAGTGATTCGCTTCTCGTTGCACAAGAGAATCAAGAGGACGATTGAAACCAGTGGCCAAATCTACGTCAAAATATCATATTATGCAGAAAATAAAAAGCACCATCATCATCACTCAGTGGGTCAATCAGAGAATAAAAATAAGATGTCTACTATGGGCTTAATACGAAAAAGCAGCCTGCTGAGAGTGGATCAGCAAGTACAACAGCAACAGCAGCAACAAGCAATGCAACAGAATGCCAATAAACAGGAGAGAATTGACAAACTGGTGGCCGTTTCCATAGCAACGCAGATTTCAGGCCTGAAGATCACCGCCTTGGAGAAGTTCCATTTGATCAATCAAGATGCTTCGCAATATTTTATGTCCCTTTCTGTGAATGGCCATGGTAATATGTGTACATGGGATCCGAATATAGTATGTCATTAATTTAAACAATTTCATGTATTACAGAAACGCCGTTGAATCCAACTTGTACCATCTCAGACGCACTTGGTGATCCTGGCCTTATACCCAAACTATTCGTCTTGCGTAAGCGATCCAGTCCCAGTGATGTAGTGGCACAGAACCCAAGCACATTAGATGCAGCAGAATCCACAAATAATCGCAGATTCATGAGGTTTCTAAAGCAAGACAAGGACGCTGTAGCATCATCATCATCTACTTCATCCGTGGATTCATTTCAATCAAAGGAATCAACTACAGGTACGGTTTTGCGACGATTAGATCAAGCTATCCAGTCTCTGGAGAATGATAAACGTCAATTATCGAATACACCACTGCAACAACAGCAACAACAACAGCAACAGCAAACAATGAGAATACTGCCTGCGCGATCCAACAGTTTATCCGCAATGAGTAGCTACAGCAAAAGAACAAACACGACTAGTAACCACATACCCAAGACAAAGATAGAACCATCCATGACACCTACTCAGCAATTCAGCAGTAAGTCTATGCCATAGTCATTGAGGAATAGTGTACTAAAGCAATATACTGTATAGTTGACAGCCGTAAATTGCCTACTCGTTCATCTTCTCTCAAGATCAATGGCGATGCCTTTGATAATCCGCATAAACAAAGTCTGTCGAATATGGATGATCTGCAGCTTGTAAGTCTAAACATGATTTTAGTAAATGTCAGGTATATACTTATAGCTTATTTAATTTTATTAGGAATTGAGTCGTATTGCATCGTCTCATCAAAATCATCCATCTCACCCCAAGAGTAGTGCTGGCATGTCTTCGACCCGAGAAATGTAAATTAGCTCATTGACATTTGTATTTTGTATCCGCCATTTCTTGTAATCTACCTTGAACTAATAAATGCTCAATGTAAATTGAATTCTGTAAAAATACCATCTAATTTAGGTACGGCTTCAGTAAGTCATCTCGTTTGACAGCTTCGGTAGCTCGAAACGCTAATGTATGCAACAATGCAACTCTCCAGACATGTCAGGCACCACAGGACGGTCTTTTCTACTGTCCTGTATGCCAGAAAAAAAAACCAGATGGCAAATTTCATCCTTTCATATCAATTGAATTAGAAACAATGGGCAAGAGTGAGAAGAAGGACAAAAAGTCGGAAAAGATTATTGACAAGAAGGTACCAGATCAGCATGTCTCTCACATAAGCCTCCTTTTGACGTTTAAATCCACAGGAAAAGAAGGAGAAAAAGGAAAAGAAAGAAAAGCTGGACAAGCAAAGCAAAAAATCAAAAAAAGAACGCAAAGACAAAGACAAGTCTAGCAAAAAAGACAAGAAAGAGCGCAAAGATAAAGACAAATCTAGCAAAAAAGACAAGAAACGAAAGCACTCAGAGAGCGACAGTGAAGAAGAATTTGTTATTCACAAGAAAAATAAGATTGCAGATCCAGTTGTTGAATCAAAGGTATACACTTCCCTTACATTGCATTCTACATGTCAAATTTTGACAACTCTCTTTAGCCTCAAGCAGCCACTGAAGCTTCTACAGGCTGGAACGATTGGAATAAAGCTTCTTTTGATGGTGATGATGCCAAAAAGAGCAAATTCTTGCGATTATTAGGCGCAAAGAAGAGCACACCAGCAACAGGCACCCAAGCATTTGTACCTGCTTCTGGCAAAAAGTCTGGTGGTCTTTACGGTGGACTCAAGAGTGCAATTGACGAAGATGAAAAGCAACGCATTTCCAACGATTTGGAGAAGCAGTTTGATCATGGTTTACAGTTCAGAAAGCAAATGCAAATGGGCCGTCGTGGTGGATTAGGCTTCAATTAGAGGTGAAAGACAAAAAAAAAATTGTTTTTTTTTAATATATTTGCAAAAGTGCACAGACAAGCGAATAAAAAAAACATGACATTAGTTGTAAAAGCTATTCTTCATCTGTATAGTTCAAGGAAATGGGATCATGATTCTTTTTCTTTTTGAGTACAATAAGTTAAGCGTTCTTGGCAACAGCTATAGTAATAAAAGGTGAGATTTTGCTATGAGATCAAGCTGAATTCAAACACTTACTTTGGATGTCAAGGATAGCTTGATCCAAGATTTCTTGTTGGATCTTAGGGTCTTGCAATTGCTTGTTGACCTTCTCAATCAAATAAGCAGCCAATTGCTTTTGTTCACGCTCACGGAGACTAGTTTCATGACGAACCCAAGAGTCCAAGGTGGACTTGACTTCAGAGGCAACAGAGACTTGTTGCTTTAATTCAAAAGCTTGAGCTTCTAATTGAGCAGTTTCGCGAGAGAGTTCGAAAAGAGCCTTGGTAACTTCAACAAGATCCTTCATTTGTCCAACTTCATCAATACGCTCTTGAACGGCGCTCTTGTGGTCATCACGAGCTTGAACCAAGATGTTCTTGATACGCTATAACCCCAATACCTTCAATATTCGATTTATCTGGATCTTGAGTGATGCAAAAACTTACCTCAATGTGTTCGTTGGCCATGTTGGTAAAAGGTTCTCTAAGATACTTCAAGAGGACGCCGAGGAGACCAGCAGAGGCAACCAAGACCAAAGTTTCTTCGTTCAAAACGTAGATTTCCTTGGAGATCAAGAAAGCAGACAAACCAGTGGCAGCAGTGATGTAACCAGTCTTGGAGACGATGGAGTTGCCGGGAAGAGAGTCAATGAAGCTGTTGGCCTTCTCCTTGGGCTCCACTGTGTAAAAGCGATATGTATCAATAATGTGGTTCCTAGATTCTACCCAACAATTGCCTCTCCAAATCTATAATCTCTCTTTATCTCGTCCAATATCCATGTGTACATTGCCAATGTATGTTTATCTATCTATCTATCTATCCATATATCGCTCCCTCATCTCTATAAAATATAAAATATAAAAAACAACTAGTACCTTCAGTCTTGGAGGTGAAACCACGGATACTATTTGTATAAATGTATAAAATGCATTGCATTAGTAATTCATTTAATTGACCATCTTAAGAACAACATACGCAGAGGCACGAACGGTTTGGCGAGAAGCGGCAGCAACAGTAGGACGAACAGCAGCAGCTAAATACAAAACATTGAGTAAACAATTGACAGCTGCTATCGAGAATGACAAAAAAAAATGCTTTACCTGCGACGTTCTTGGTCAATAATCTAAGAGCCATGTCGAGAAACTAGGAATTACAGTAGGTGAATAATTGAACATTGCTATTTGATCAAAGCAGATGTCTTACATATAATAAGTTTTGTCTCTAAACAAAAAGCAATGTATATTGAATAAGCCTTATTTTAAAATGGACACCCCCACACAATTACAGACACAAAGCTTCAGTCCCCCTCAAAAAATTAAGCGAATCATAACCAGGGGGTAGCTAATCGAATTCTTCCAAACTAGAACTCTTGGAGTGCAATACATCTGCGACGACGTCACGAATATAGCTTTCCCCGCTTGTTTTGATAGCAAGATTTATATGCTTGTTTGACATTGATGATGTTGTAGATCACCTTGGCAGGTCCCTGTTTACAAATTGATGCATCTGCTTAGCAGAAACTCTGTAGATAGGTTACTTTCTCTTCATTAAGATTAAGATCAATTCATGGTGCGGGCGCCATAGCACACATTGTAGCCAAACATCACCATGTGTCTAGCCAATGACCATTGGAATTGTGCAGAAGAAGATGCATTACAATGACAATCATCTGATATGTCTGGCAGAATCAACTTCTGCATTAGTTTCATTTAACAATACTATCAAAATTTTTAATACATTTGAAATTTCAGGGTTTGTATACGAATACTCCAGGGCAACTAGAATGCAGTTGATTTTCTCGAGGTTTTCTGTATCAGGATGTTAATTTAGATGCTAAAGATGTTTTAGATAGTATTAGTTTGTATGTATCTACCTTCGCTCATACTTTTCTTTTTATTTTTTTTTCTTTTTGCAATGCAATGTTGCTCACTACTGTTAAACTCATTTTAAACCTCCGTTTGTCTTGAACTGATACTGTATAACGATGGAGTAACTGCGATTAGTTCTCAAAGAAAGACAATATGAACATATAGCAAACGCTCCGAGTTTTCAGGAACATCTTAATCTAAAGCATCTACAGTGATAGTTGCTAGCACATATTGTCGAATGTAAACTTCAGATGTGAATGTAAACTTGTCAAATCTCACCCATTATCTTGAATTCGATCGAACCAACATGATACGCAAGTTTTTCATATTGAATGCTCTAAAATACTTCAAGTAACTAAACAAATATTTTGTCCAGCTGATGAATATAATGCTGATTAGTAAATGATATATTTACATCAAGCTTGATGCGGACCACCTTAAGAATTCTTATGAATTACCTACTGACTCTATATTTATGGCACTAGAGCGCAATCATAATATCTTTTCAAAATTTTAAAGAATTGTGTGCCGTACAAGGTGAATAAAACCACCGGCAAAGCTGGTAATGGGGAGGGGGTTTACCGTAGCAAGGCAAAGATGCAAAGCCATGGTAATAAATCCAACATTTGGTAACATTGATCTATATGAGGGCTTAATTGCATCTACCAAAAATGTGGTTCATGCTGTGTAAGTAGACTCTATAAAGCAATACATACCCAAATTTGACAGCTTTCAAGCCTTCATATCTTGGCATGTAGGCTTTTCTGAGCCGCCGGAATGGCGCCAAACAATTGCACTCGAGTAGTAGTAACTTCCTGACACCTTTACTCAACTTTTTGGGTAAAAAAAAAGACATGGCCAAAAATCGACCAAAAAGCATGAGGTACCCCTCATGCTTTTTGACGAAAATCATGGCTTTCTCCGCTAAAGATCACAATCTAGTAGATAAAGGCAGAGTCTCCACTTATGGTGGCTCTACGCTGGATTCTAGCCATAATCCAGGCAACAATATGTTCACATATGCTTCCTTCTTCAAAGATATTCACAACCAAAAGCGCACTCCATTTGAAGTTGCTCCCTCCATTGTTGATAATGGATCATCCCCAGGCAAGGCCCTCGACTTCACTTCCACCTTTGTTGAAGCGACCGACGACTTCTCGTTCATCATCGACTGCTCACAATTTATTGGCATGGTGTTCAAGGAGAAGACGCTACCCAGCTGTATTCGTGCACAATATCCCAAAGGTCTTGGTATTAGACATCGTATGGTTGGCAAGAATCATAAGGTTATTGAAATGAACTTCCCCACTGAACAGGACTGTATGGAGGCCTTGGGGAAGGAGTTCGTCCTCCAGGGTAAAACTATTCAGGTCAGCAAGGCTTTGGACAAGAATGCCAACGTTGTTAGAGTTACTGTCTCGGCTATCCCTTACAAGCCTGTAGAGTTTCTTAAACCTTTGTTAATCCAGACATTTGAACAATATGGTGATATTCTCAATGTCGGTCTCTGTCACTCCAAGGATGGTAATTGGTTCACTGGTAGAGGTTTTGTTACACTTAATATGGATAAATCCAAGCAATATGAAGCTGAGTTGGCACCTCAGATCCCATTTGGAGATTTTCCGGAGAAAATCCGTTTGGTTTGGACCAATATGCAGCCCATCTGTAAGGATTGTCATACTGATGAACATGTCAAGGCCGACTGTCCTCGAGCAAAGAAGAAGGCCTGTCATAAATGCGGTAGTCTCGAGCATCTTATTGCCCAGTGTCCCCGCGCTCATTGGAATCGAAAGAAGGACCAAACTACTCAGGAACGTCGTCGCAATTCCGTTACTAAGGAGAGTAACCCTTCATCAAAGCCTACAGGAAGAGAGGTCAATCTCTTAGAATTGATGAATGTCAAGCAACCCAAATACCTCGCCAAGAAGAAGGATGTGGATGTTGCCGAAGACGCTATGGAAACCGAAGATGAATCCACCACTCCTGAACAAGAGGCTCAGGAACCAGCCGACTCAATCCACCAGGAGGAAGTAGCACCAGTTGATTCAGTTGAATCTGTCGAGCCACAGACTGTAGCATTACCTTCAGTTGCACCAACCACTGTCTTTGATCCACCCTCAACGGTGGAACCTTACCAAGATGACAGCCTTGATGACAAGGAACCAGCCTCTAAAGATGAACAGGAGACCGTTCATCTCACCAGTGAGGAATCTGAATATGAAGGCGGTGATACATCCGAAAGCTCTGTAGAATATACTAACTACCGGGACAAATACAATCTTAGTAAGGGCAAAAAGAAGACTTCTACTGCTGAAGGTGATACAGCACAGGAGGCTTCCCAGAAGCGTTCTATCAGGGAACTGGCTTCTACTCCACCGGGATCTGACCAAGAGGGATCTGCCAAAAAGGTTTCCAAGCAACAAGAGGACAGCCATATGGATGAGGCCGAGCAAGGCAACTCCACCACAACAAAATCATTATAATCTTAATGAGTGAATCAAACCAAACTAAGAATATCAAAATTAAGATAGGTTCAATCAACTGTAGGAACCTTAACAAACAATACAATCAAAACACAACAACACAATTCATAAGATATCTCAAAGGAGAACTATGCAACATATTACTATGCCAGGAAACCAACACTCCATCACACTCGTTTGACACTGTTACAACTTCCTTCAAATACCAGTTCCAATACCACCAAGCCATCTGGACCGGACAGTGTGGAATTATCAACTTCAATCAAGCCTTACACCTGCAACAACTAAAGACCTTTGACGATGGAAGAGCTATATTGGCTAAGCTCTCTCTTGTCGACAATAATATGCCACCTATGTATATACTCAATATTTATGCACATGCTGATGACTACAGGGCCAGGAATCAGCTTTTTGGTCAAATTATCACTCACCTCAACACTATGCCTAACATTCTGCCATCATTACTGATCGCAGGGGATATGAACTACTGTTTTGACAATGCTAGTTATCACCACTCTCACCGAGCAGGTAAACCGAAACAGTTTATGGAATTCTTGAACACCCATTTCTCTGATTGCCTCAACCCGAGAAATGAACCTCATGCATACACCTTCAAGCGCGGATCAACCATGTCTACCTTGGATTACATGTTTGCTGGACAGGATATAGCTTCAAAGATGAGCGATGCCACCAACTCGTTCCTCCGTCCTGAATGGACTGATCATGCTCTTGTGACCAAAACTTACACAACCGGATTGACAAACTGTGGTAAAGGCATTTGGCGTGCAAACCCTCACCTTGCCAAAAATCCTAGGTACAGACAGAAGTTGGCTGATGAAATCGAGAGATTCGTGGCGACCAAATTGGACTACAATCTTTCAGCTCAAGACAAGTGGGATTTGATCAAGCGGAAGACCAAACAGGTTACTATCAACTTTGCTAGACACCAGGATACTTGGAGAAAGGCCAGAATCAAGGCGCTGCAAAGCGAGAGGAATAACTTGCTGCGATGCTACCGGAATGACATTGAGTGCTTGAAACTGCTGCTGCCGGATGTGGAGGGAGAGCTATCCAAGCTACAGCAAGAAATTGTGGAGATTCAGATGTTGAAAGCAGGCCGCCGATGGTTGGAGCAGAGTGAGAAGTCCCCAGGATATATCAAACACACCATTGACCAGCGTGTTGACCAACGGACAATTGCAATGTTGAAACATCCTAGCACTGGAGAAGCTTGCCTAGACACGGAAACCAAACTCAATGCTGCTGAATCCTTCTACCAGGATCTGTACACGGAGGAGCCAATTGACATGGATTGCTTGAATACCATGCTCGGTCATATTGACCGTACGGTATCACCGGAGGATGCTACAATGATTATGGAGCCAATAGACTATGATGATATCTTGGACGGTGCCCGTCGAACCCCCAAACAGAGTAGCCCAGGACTGGACGGCATTGGCTATGAGATACTTTACCTCCTTGTCTCTCACCCAAGCTGTCGTGATATTATCCATCAGGTATTTAATGACGCTGTTCGTTCGGCAAAGTTCCCCAAATCTTGGCAGGCCTCATGTATCATTATCTTACACAAGAAAGGTGACAAGAGTGATCTAGCTAACTACCGTCCCATCACATTGATTGCAGCGGATTGCAAGGTCTTTACTCGCATCATGAACTCTAGAGTTGTCCAAGTGGCTAACAGGATTATCACCCCTTATCAATGCGGTTTCTTGCCCGGCCGTTATATTGGGGATCATGGAATGTCTCTCCAGGTGATTATGGATAATGCTCAGTCTGCTAGCTGGCGGAACCCCTCCAATTTTACTGCTTATGCTGGCATCATGCTTGATAATGCCAAGGCCTATGACCGGGTCCACCCAAAGTATCTCTCCCAAGTACTGCTAAAGTTTGGCTTCCCTGAAGCGTTTGTCACATGCATTACCAACCTGTTCTTCGATAACTCCATCTATGTCAATGTAAATGGCTTCTTAACCGGGGCAATCTCTCAGCGACGAGGGATTCGTCAAGGTGATAGTATCTCGCCAGTCTTGTTCAACCTGGCCATTGAGCCTTTTCTACTCTCCATAGTCAACAATGTGAACCTCACAGGATACAGCCTGCAACACGTCAAGCTCCCGCACCAAATACAGAACCCATGGATATCTCCTGCTCCCATCAAGGTCCTCGCGTACGCCGATGATGTCCTGTCCTTTGTGAAGTCGCAAGATGAATTAGTTGAGCTCCAGGATCGACTCAGAGTGTACAATCAAGCCTCCAATGCCAAGATCAATTACAGTAAATCCGTCGCCTTCCCGCTGCACGGCGGTAAGATGAAAGATACTGATGGCCAACAGGTCAAACGTTATGTCACTACTCAACTGCGTATGAAATGGTACGACAGCCACTCCACGGGTTATATCAAGTATCTTGGATACCCACTCTGGTTTGCTAATCACCAACGCGATGTCTTCGTCTCAGAGCTACTGGGCAATATCAGGGTCATGACTGACATCTACGGGTCTAGAAAGGTCTCACTCTACGGCAAGGCCAACATCGCCAACACGCTCATCCTCTCCAAGCTGTGGCATGTTATCCGAGTTGTGTCGCTCCCTCAAGAGGTTTTGAAAAAGATCAAGTCCACCATTTACCAATTTGTGATGTCCGGTTTGTTCCCACCGCTCAAGGCAAACTCATTCTTTCTACCTCGTGATCAAGGCGGGCTAGGCCTGATCGACATTGGAGCACAACAAAAGTCGTTACAGTTTCGATACCTACGAGTCTTACTACTCGGTAACCATGGTCGCCTACCTGGCTTCACATATCAACTGCTCACTCACGCACTTCGTCTCACAAACGACGTCGCTCATCATGCCCTGCCTCTCTTGTTTCCATCTGCTCGCTACAAGAATACGCTGAATGGTCTCCATCCATTCCTATCGATGTTCAATGCCATGGACATCTGCAGCCTTCACAGAGACTGGGATAGACGCCCAACAATCACTACCATCATGAGTCTCCCCCTCCTTGCTGCCTTCAACCCCTTTGCTGTTACAACAGACCTGGAATTCATGACCAAAGATTCGGTTAGGAGAAGTTGTATCCGCGACTTCTTTGCATATGACCTTGCTCAGCATAGCCTCCAGTTTCGACCTCGGTCAGAATGCCCCACACCAACCACCTTGAACAAAGTTCGTCGTGCCCTAGCCAACCATCAGATCTCCTTCCAACGCTTTGTCAACCACAACAATGCCGGTGAGATGGATTTCCTGCCTTTCGTTGAATCCATGATCTACCAACAGCACCCAATCTTCAAACTGCCGAATAGAGAGCTCCGTTTCGTCATGCTAGACATGGCTAACCTCGATGTCGGTAGACATTACAGTAACCAACTCAGCAAACAGCAATGGAAGGCATTCTACAAGAACACGATGCACTACTCAGCTCGCAACCTTTGGTACAGAATGATCCACAAACAAAGCTCAAATCAACTGGCAATGGCCCAACGCAATCTTAAACATGCCGCATCAGACCGCTGTACCCTTTGCAATGAAGTGGAAGACGCTCAACACCTGCTCATCAGTTGCGTCCATAAACTTGATGTCTGGGACTCCTCCTTCAACGAGTTCCTTAGCTACCCCAAAACCGCCGATCCACAACTTATCTACAACTCAATTATGCACTTCAAACTGAAGCATTATTATATCTACAATTATGACTTACACATTACCATATATGACCTCTTTGCCACCATTATGCGTACTATCTGGAGACACCATTATCAACAGTTTTACAACCTCATCCCCTTTAATGCCATCCAAGTCTGTCGCCACATCCGCACAGAACTGTTAAGATTGTCAAATCTTAGGCAACTCTCCCATTAGTTTATTATTCAAGATTTATATATGGCAAGTCACTTTGTCTCCATACACTTGTCCATCTCTTTGATGCATTTGTTTTATTTCTAATTACTATTCTAATAAAATAATATCATCCAAAAAAAAAAAAAAAAAAAAAAAAAACTTTTTGACGAAAATCAAACGATCGCGTTTTTCATCTTGAAAATGAAGACTTTTACTATGGTATATCTTGAATCAAAATGTTTCTCTCGATCCAAGGTAATCTCTGAAACCACTTTTATGAGGCTTTCATATGCAAAATATGGCTATTTTTGCTAAAAACCTCATTTCATATTTTAATAAATTGCTCGTTAATTTCATTCAAAACATCTATTACAACTAGCACCGTTGGAAGCGCCTTGAAAAGTACTTCAAGAATGTATTAGAAAGCGTAGGGTGATCATCACAATTTACATAGTCGAATATCACAAAATAGATTTTAAAAGTCGAAGAAGGACAAAATCTGTCCAATCTTGAACAAAAAAATGCAAACTGAGTTTGAATTGATTTTGGCAGCGGCATTGCTGCTGGCTGACCTAAATGCCTTTCTGATGATGACAATGGATGATTAGGATGCTGCTTAAATGAAGATCATGGCTTTGAAAGTACTACCACTTAGCGCAAATACTCTTTTTTTTTGCTTGGCTGGGCATTTCTATATCTGAAAACGACAGTCAGCTTGACTCATTACCATATAATACGTAATTGTAATTTTCTAATCATGATATGCAGCATTTCAACATGGCCTGTAGGCAACATGCGTTTCATTGACTCGTTTAAAAGAAACTGTTGCCGTTGACTAAAAAGCTATTTGGTGTCTAATGAAAATATCTTTAAAACTTGTATAAGAATATTCACTGGAAATGATGTCTGCAATCTCGTTGACAGTTGGCAGATTTTGAGTGTGTCTATCTTTACCAACAATTAGCCCCAGTCTTATTTGAGGGTTGAGTCGAATGTGAGCATCCTCGTTGATATGATTTCAGGCTTGTATTTTTTCTTCTTCGCAGGTCCTCACGAATATGCTTGTTAATGCAAACAAAAGCTCCTGAGCTTTGTCATGTTCTCAATGTCAAACAACTGCCTAATGTTGGCAAACAACAT